ACTGCCACCATAACTAGGAGAAAAAGGGTCAAATAACATGTGTTCAAGCGTGTACAAAGTTTAGGGGTTTGTGTTATTTTTGTGTTCTTAGCGTGCAGAACTTTGATGAAATGTGTTTTATGCGTGTTCACAAAAGTGTTATTTGGCGCTTTTTTTCCTAGTGCATGAGGAACACATCCGAATCGTGGAAAATTCCTGAAATTGGATCGCCCTTGCCATTTATCAGTTTCTATGTATGCAAAGCAAGTATTGGAATGCTGGAAACTAGAACTGACAATCACTGGTAAAAATTCGACCATTTTACATGGTGCACAGTTGGACGAAATCGTGTTAATATCGTGTACAAATCGGGTGCTTCAGAGCACGATTTTACACGATTGCTATAATCGTGTAGTTTTCAACTATGTGTAGTACACGAAAGTGGTCCACCTTACCACCATGGACAACACGACAAACCACACGGTTTTACCCGGTTTCAACAGTGTACCAGCGGCAAATGTGTATTTTGTGATTAGTACACGATCGTTACACGGTGGTCACACAAATTTTACACCATTTTGACACGCGCAACAGGATACACGAATTTCTGGACCGTGTAATTTGGCCGATTTTTTACCAGTGAACCTGACCTGTCGGATTCGATAATATTTTGTAAATATTATCAGCAGAATGTATCTGCACGCCTCTTTGAATCAAATTGCACAGTATATTGTGAGAAAGAACTGGATGTACAATGATGCATATACAGAAACACTGCACGCTGCGCGAATATGAGAAGGCGACGCGCAACCCCACTGCTGTGCGAAAACGCGTTTCTTGGCACGTTGGTGCATTTCTGGTTTTGACGAAACTGTAATGGACACACTCGTTCATTCGCTGTACACAACATGATTCCACACAATGGACCTCACCGCAAATGCCAGAAAGTAACCGACTACGTTAGGCAACGGATGCATAACGCCATGCAGAGAACAAGAGGACAAATTTCAGTGTGTCATACCGAAAGTGTTGGATAGAGCGATGCAGAACCCCGGTAGAGCGTCCAAAGTGAGCCTTTGGGCAGCGAACAGAATAAGGATACCTGAGGACAAGCGGCAGAACTGTCAGAGCCTGACAGGGTCCTGTGGAGGAACCGGCGCTAGAAGCCTATTTCGATGTGCAAATTGTGCTTGGTACGGGCATGACCAATGGCCTACTCTCTGGCAGCCACCGTTGCATGAACTGTTTACCGTAATGGCGTTCGGGGCAGGTTGACCGCAAAGTTGTGTTCTACATGTCACGGGCATCACAGCTGCCAAAACTACGTGTCGCTACCCCGCATATAGCGAATGGGGTGATTGGCAACTGCAAGTCGGTAGCTGGCTACGACCCACTGCATCCACTGCCACAGGTCTCTTTGGTGGGCCCCATCCAGTCTCCAGTCGGCTACCCCCACATGCTCGGTTACCTATGAAGCTCAGCACCCCCATTGCGGCGTAGAAGACAACGTTGTCCCTCACGCTTGTCCTCAACCTTCGCCCAGGCCACAGAACGTCAAGCTCCGCAGCAGCGGTCGGAGGACAACGGAAATTACGGCGAGGGCTGAGACACGTGCATGCGGGCCAACCGCGGCCCACCGGCAAGGGCGTCACCTTCCAAGTGCGGTGAAGTCCCCAGCGTCGACGTAACCTTGGAAGATGGGCAGAACCAGCCACGTCAAAACCTGGGTGGACCTGCGGTGGAAAGCGCCGCTGAACAAAGCCCAGGAGTCTTCATTTCATGAGTGGTTTGCTGCAAGCTAATGGTGCCTGTTGTGGATTTGTCAGCCAGACAGCGCGTTGGGGCATCATGGGTGGGCATCACTAACTATAAATGGTTGCAATCAGCAAGGCCGTACCCACCACCAGCTGTGCGCGCGACCTTGCTTTTGCGTTTTCTGCTGGAAGCTCATGACGTATTTAGCACGGCTTGATTCTGCGATGCATTGATGGGCTGCACAATTAGGGTTGTTATTGGTGTGAGCACGACCCTGTTCAGACTATCCAGTCCTTGGTGGGGCTAATGAAAATTGACTCAAGAGTCTTGCAAATCAAACTGGGATTCAATTGAAAGCATATAATTGCCCTCAGTTTGGGAAGCAGACGCTTACTGAGATGACATGTACCGCATCAGAAATCCTTGATTTGTCTGCTCAGACCGATTCGTCATTTGCTTGCACACGAACATGGGCAAGATGCAACAAATGTCAACTGAGCGCATTCACGCCCGGGAGCAACGGTGTCTAAACCGGGATCGAAGTGCTCTGAATCCAAGAATATGACAATATTTGGGCCGACCGTTGGGCAAGCGAAGCCACCTTGAGCTCCGAGACTTCGAATTTGACGGAGTGTCATGCAACACCCCAAAACCCCGATGCCAGTGTACAGCATGGCGGGCAGTAGCGCAGCAAGGCATGTCACTGAAGCGCAGCTCTAATGGAACCACCCACCCCAACTTATGTTGTCCATCGCCTCGACATGCAACAGAGATGAAACATTCCCTCTGAGAGTATTGTTTGTTGCTGTGATCAGAGCCTGGCACCGCCCAACAGCTGGACTAGCCACCCTCCATCATCTGTGGATCACTGAACAACGAACAATAGCTGAAACATTTATCGCTGCTTCACCACCATCAACAATTCTTACATATCGAGGCGAGGAGGCGGCCATCAGCTTCCCATCTCGCCAGAACAACGCAGCGTCCATGAAATATTTCACCCAAGGGATTGACACATTCCGACCACTGGGTTGCTGTGCATCATCACTGCTGCAGCGTGAGTGAAGAATGGCAGTAGCCTCAGAGTATGACGCAAGAGTTGATCCTCTCTTCCCGCGCCCACCAGTACAGGATCCGCCACATGACAGCCATGGCCGGCTCGTCCCCCCCCGCATAGTGGTCCAGACGTCCAGTGGCACCAGCGCCACGATGGCGGTGGACGTCAGCCAGGCGTAGCCCGCCACGACCAACACCGCCGCCGGCGCAGTTGGCGACGCGTACCGCTTCAACCTGCGGCCGAGGTCCCATTCAGGGAGAAATCAAATGGCGGCTTTTGCCGCAAGGGCCACCGAATCATAGCCACAGCGAGAGGCGCGGTTCAGACTCTGGACATTCCGAGGAGACCGGGGGGAGACGCAAGGAGGCGCGAGGAGAGCGCGAGGAGAAGCGAGGGGACCGCGAGGAGACAGCGAGGACACGCGCGCAGTGAGAAGGGGGTGTGGCGGGAGGGACCTACAGCCATATTGCGTTGAGCGCCACGCCTGCCAGCACGAGGCTGAAGAATATCCACATCCCCGTCCGGTGCGCTGACCCCGGAAGCCGCGGAGGCGATGTCTGTCTGGCTTCTTGGCGTGACGACTTTTGGGTCTTCGGGATTTCTGTGCGGGTGGCGGTGGCACTGGGTGACTACTGGAGCCGGAGCTGCGCTTTGCACTTGCCGTTGCGTTCCATGCCGCGCCCAGGCGTGGGCGGGTTTGGCGCGCCAGCAATTGCATCGGCAACTGCATCAGGTTGGGGGCACGGATATAGGAAGTGCCTGTCTGGATGAAACCTTCCATTGCATTCCATTCAATACAATAAATACTGCAATTCAAACCGAATCTCCAAATCATCCAACTTTCGCCAAACTTTCGTGGCGCTAGCACCCGGTTGGTTGTTCTCTTTCTTTCAGCCAACCGGTCATTGACTTCCGTCGTTTGGGGCCGTGTTTCTGGTCACCTCCGACTTCGTGTTCTCACGCCCGGAGAGGCTGCCTGCTGATCCTAGTCTTTCTGAAAGGAAAGGGATCGAGAATCGTGACAGATTCTGCATGCTCTGCCGCACCGATGCCCAACCCTCACTTCGAGCTGTATACAATGCTTCAATATGCGCGACCGGCGCCAGAATGCCTCAAACGAAATTTTTGATTTGCTAAGATTTGCTTGTGTCAAGGGGCACGACAAAAGCATCGCTCGTGCACCCATCAGGAGATGTTGGCGATCAGGGAAAAGTTCCCATGCGAATGCTGTTATTCTGGCATCCGATAGTTGCCTGGCACTGGCGCAAGAGTTGTTCGAGTGGCTGTCCGCGCGGCGAATCGACATGGGAGTGCTGCGAAGATGTTGATTCGTAAAGGATCCGTGCCTTTCCCAACTGACAGAGGGATGCCTACAACCATTTGAGCCTTGGGCTGTCGCGGAGTGGCGATTTCACAGAGCACATTTGCGACTAACATCGGAAGGGGTGGGCAGGCCGACCGTTAAAATTAACCATGTTGGCAAATTACAGAATGAACATCTGATGATGTGACCCTTGCAGCGGAGTGGAGCGCCCCGCTGTTCATGCCCATCCACCGCAGCACTGCTGAAAAGACGAGCTGCATTGGGATCGAGCTGGTATGGTACCAGAGCTGATTGCATTCTGCTTGCGGAGGCCGACTCGACCATCGACGGAGTCCCAAAGTTTCGAACTGGGAAGTGGAAGATACGCCAATGCCATGCCCGATGGGTCCCAGAACAAGCTGCACGCAGCTGATGTGAAAGGAACGGGGACCACCAACGGGGATGCAACGAGACTGAGGTGTGTGAGCCAAGAGATGCTGCATGAAGCACCAGGAAAGTACCTGCAACAGGGGAAATTAATGCGCGCCAGGAAATTAAGGTGTGTCATGCAGGTTGCCATGTTGTTCTGCAGCGACACCCTTCCCAACTCCCACCTGCAACTGCCTCACAGTGCCAATCAAAATCCCTGGAAGCCCTAGCCTCCTCCCAACCGATTGCTCTAACTGCTCTCAAGCGATCCGCATCTTCGACATTGACCGCAACTATGCCACCGCCAACTAGGCCGCATACCTTCATGGGCGGCTCGCCCCTGCGAATTTATTGTTTTACATACCACCTGTGGCGTTGGCTGCATCAAACCTAAGTGATCGACACTCATCGAACCTGCTGAATTCTGCCGATCACTGTCCTATGCTACCCAAAACATCACATAGCTTGGATCTCACATCACACCAATATGCAGCCCGACCTCTTGGGGTCTCGACATCCCCTCTCTGTGTGTTGCACCAGTGCCACCACGTCGGTGAACTGTTGCCCGCACCTTGGGCAGATGTCCCTGTCCTGTCGGGAGTCCTGTGTGGGATGGTAGTCCCTGAGGTGCTGTGTGAGCTGCTGCACTTGCGAGAAACGAGCACCACAGTGTCGGCAGACCTCTCGCTTCTGCTGCTGCACCACCCGACTCTGAGCAAACACCACCAGAGGACTTGAGGAGCTCAGTGCGCACCTCTGTTGCAGCAGTTTTGTTCATGAAAGAGAACAATCTCTCATCGCTGTGCAGGAACTGCAAGGACCAGTGCCAACCAATCCTTGGCAAATTGGGGACTGCTGCTGTCAAATTCAGACTAATGTCGGGGCTATTCCAGACAGTAGTGCCTCTCGTGTAATCTTAACTCTGTGCATACACTGTTGCTCTGCCTAGCTGAATTGATGAAAATGTATGGCACATCCAATGACAATGTAGTTCACGGTCCTGGGTTTCACCACACCACGACACTGCAAGACTGCAGGATTCTGAAGTTCAATCAATACTGTAAGCTCTTTGCAAAGCTGCATGTGTACCACTTGGCGCATTTCGTGCACCCCAAACCTCACTACAAAGCTGTGACACCAGTCGATTCGCTTACAAAATTCAGCACAAAGTTTGCAGTATTGATATCAAGCACGATTCCATGTCCATTGCGGACTGTCAAGGTGGTTGACGGTACAACACTAAACAGTTCCCTTCCATCTTGTTGATGGAGGCAACGTACGCGCCATCAACCACAAAACACAAAGAGCAGTGGTTGTGCCAGATCAAGGTGTAGGAGTTGCAACCACCTGGTTCGATGCAGGATTGACATATTGCGCCAGTTTGGTAGGCCACTGGGAGATTGGCGTTGAAGATGTGCCCACGGCAGATGGTTTTGAAGCCTCAGCTCTGCCAAAACTGGCTGCCCGCATCGCACTCCAGTGGCTGCTGACAGTCCGCCTAGCTTGCGCTGTAGTCAGCAACAGAGCTTTGTCAGCTGGCCGAATGGCCTCTTTTCACCTTCATGACAATACAGGATTTCTTCCCTCCCATTTCCTGAGGAAACAGCTTGTTGGACTGAGCCCGTCTAGGCCACCGGGACGCCTGCCGCACAGGCTGACACATCGATGCTCAAGAGGCTTGCATGCACTGCAGATGCATGGTTACCTGCTACTCGACTCAACGGAACTCATCATGTGTACAGAAAAGTCAATGTAGCAGTAGTCACCATAGTAGCAGCGCACTTGTGACAGATTAATTCCTGCAAGCAGGTTTACTGTGAAGGGCAACTCATGCATTCGGATAGTGCTATCAGGCCTTCCAGCAATGTAGAGAAGCATTTGTGAACATGCAAGCTCTTGCTTTTAAGGAAAGACTCCTGGTGCCACTGATCATCCCTGCCCTTGGAGTACAAGGAGATGCTAATATTGCTCCAGGGTGCAAACATTTCATGTTGTGTTTCACAATACTGCATGTGTCGTGTCACCACGATGTGACCTTTGAGTTGATGTGTCACGCAATGTTTGCTTGCCTGTATGACTGACACAGCCAACAGCAGTGTTCATGTGAGTAAAGTACAATGACAGCAGGGTCACTGCTGGTGTGGCTTGGCACCTGAAACTATGTTGGAAGCATGCTGAGCCGGCTACTGCAACTACACGACAATCTGAGCAAACAGCCGATATAACTAGTGGCAAACGAAATGGTCCCACAAGGGAGATTGCCCTTCAGCCCAGCTCCTCCAACAAAGGTGGCCAAATACGTTGCTCCGGCGCCCCACTGACCAGGGACTGCCATTTGCACATCAGCCCAGCTACGATCAGAGAGGACAGGACAAGGTGACCCTGTTTGGAAGAAGATACACAGCAACAAGTCATCGAAGGGACGCCCAGGTCCGAACTTCGATGGCCGCGGACAAAACCAGCGCATCTGCGCTGTCTGCCGGCCACACGGGCTGTTCCTGGATGCACGTGCCCACAACCGAATTGGCCCACATCCACGCCGTGATTGCCCCTTCCGAACCACTCAGAAGAGAACCGCCTCGCACCTATGCGGTCATCGCATCCGTGGTCCCCGGGCAGCCTGTGCGACATGCACACCTCCAGCCCGCACCGTTTGCATTGGTACCGGCTCAGCGTGGTCAGCTTCTCCCGGCACCCCCGCACGGGGCAGGACTTCTTGCGGTGCACGCGCGAGTAGTTGGACGGGTCGCAGGCGCCCGACCGCGTGTGCTCGTCGAAGGCCTGGTCGCCGCTGCGGCCGGGGGCCAGCTTGATGGCCTTGGCGCACAGCGGGCACACCACCACGGTGGCGTCGGCAGCGTCCAGGGTGCGCGGGCAGGCGTGGGACTCGAACGTGCGGTGGTCCAGGCAGAAGGTGTCGCCGCAGCCGGAGCACTTGAACGGCAGGAAGTCCTGCTGGCCGCAGGACGCCACGGAGCAGCGACCGCCGATCGCCATCAGGTCGGCCGACTCCGAGTTGGCCATGGCGAGGAGGCGGCGCGCGGGCGGTGCTGCGGGGGGACCGCCGGGTGGGGCCGCGTCAGGTCGGGGTTGGGTGTTTGGCGCGGGTGTGTGTGTGTTGAGGGAGCCATCATTGGAGGCGCGGTTTCATGGGACGCGACGCCCGGATGCAGCTGCGGGTGAGGGTCGTTCCTCTGTACTCCCGACTAGGGTTTCAGTAGGCATGCTCTTGGCATCGCGTTCTTTGGTTGTGTACATGGCGACTGTGGAAATGTCTGTTGCTGGTCGGTTTGAACTGTGAACGCCACCTTGTAAATCAGCGCACGAAGCAATGGTCCTCTAGCCTAGGGAGCTGGCGCATATTTCATGTTTCGTTTCCGGGCCTTCGCACGGAAACTCAGATTGTCTTTGATGGTGGTTTGAGAAAGTGGGTTTCGCTCACTTTCTTCCAACAGAAGGCACTGATTCTCCGGGGATTCTGAACAATTTTATGAGTTCTTATCCTTGGCACTGGCAGAGCACGAGTTTCAATGGGCAAATAGAGACTCCCTACTAGGGAACTGATGGCTACCTGCTCTCCTTCGGATGCAATATTCCTTGACTGATTGAGGAGAAGGTGGCGAATAGACCCCGGTAACTTTTTAGGCAGTTCCGAACAGAAAATGAACATTCAAGAGAAGAAAAGAACGATTTACGTGCCACCGATCAATGTTCAACGCCTCTGAGTTTCCTACCCTTCGTATGATGAACGTTCATTGTTCAATAATTAGTATGAACATTCATAGTCAATTGGTGGTTTCGCTCAAAGTACAATTAGCGAGAACCTATTTTGAGTTCTGTATGCTTAGCTCCATTGTGGCGTTAAGCTCAGACCCCGCCTCTCCCTAACACATATACACACCCGACCCCCCTAAAGCGTCAATCCTTGTTTCGATGCCGGGATGTCTCTGCAACATTCCCTAATAATACCGTACAACTTCAAAAGGAGTTTGGGAAAATGCAGCCAAAATTGTGGCGATTGTAGTGAGTCGAAAATGGGATGCCAAAAGCCATGATAGGCGATGGGAGCTGTCCCAAATCCTGAAAATTGATCCATTCCAGGGACTTCCTCGAAGGTCGAAAGTTTGAAGAAAGTTTTGAAACAAGTCATGAGCTATCTACTGCTGATCAGTGGCGTTTTTGTGCATCTTCCCACCTTCCTTTGGATTAAGTGCAATTACAGAATCGCTTAGCCTCGATGGCTGGACACACCCCCTTACCCCGGAGTGGGCCCCCCCCTAAACGTCAATTTGACACTAAGCATACAAAGTTCAAAATAGTATCTTCCCTTAGTACTAAAATTACAGAATCGCTTAGCCTCGATGGCTGGACACCCCCCCTTACCCCGGAGTGGACCCCCCCCCCTAAACGTCAATTTGACACTAAGCATACAAAGTTCAAAATAGTATCTTCCCTTGGTATTAAAATTTTCGTTTCAGTTGGTTTGAACGCTAAATAGCTTACTCAGTTAGTAAGCTCATCTTCACCAGGTACAAACGTCCATACGTGCTGCGCATGAACAAACAACAGGCGACGCGGTCGTCTTGAACTCGTACATGTCCGTCGCCATTCGCAAGGTGCAAGCACCTTGCTCTGTCTTGTTGTTAAGGAAACGACAGCTATTGCCTCATTGGCAAATTTGATACGAGGAATTAGCTCATTCACCTTGGCCAAAGGTGGTTTGGGACATGTGTCGAGCACACGCCTGGCAGGTGGCCCCCCACATCGCGCGCGGGGCCAATGGGCATTGACATGTCAACCTTTCAATGCAGGCAGCCACTGTGGACATTTGCTCGATGTGACAGTGTTTATCTCGGACGACAACAAAGACTGACACCATTAACTATCCAAGAAAACATCTGTGGGTATCAACGGCCAAACCACAGCGTGGCTGCGGACACGGCCTCGAATAGCATCCTGCCCTAACAGACATGCCTCACCAAAACGTGTTTGTTACACAAGACGTTGCATCCTTACTTTGCCATGACCAACACCCTTCAGCCACAAAGTGGCCGTAGCTTACATGCGTTCAACAATTATTAGCTCAACACAAATGCACGTGTTCAATGCACTTCTATGTACAGTTCCCACACAAAAAGCGCCCCTCAAGCTACTCAGGGCGCACAACCTTCAAGTCCGCCAGCCCGGCTGCTCTCCCTTCCAGTTCTTCACTCTCACGGCTCGCCGTTTGTTGTCATCCTGTCCCGTGCAGGCAATGCTCCAACGCATTCACTTGGCCTTGCGGGAGAGGAGGGGGCCGTTTACGTCCACGTCTTCATCCAGCTGGGCAGCCACCAGGGGGTACAAAACGAGGGATGCCAGGAAGTCCGTGAGCATGTCCCCCTCGATCCCGCGCATGGCGCGGGCGTTAATGCGCACCCGTGTGGACAGTCCTGCGAAGGCCATGTAGGAGCACCAGGCTATCGCCCAGATGTTGAAGTCGACGACGGGGATGAGGACCATCAGCACGATCCACAGATAGAAAAAGAAGCCTATGGCGAGGTACTCAGCCTGCTTCGCCGCCCTGCGAACAACGGGAACGTCCTAGCTTTAGATGGCGTCAAAAGTAGAGGTCTTAGAGCGCGACAATGGCAGTTCATCACGAATTGCCCCACTGAAGTCGCATTCCGCAAGGAGCAACAGACAGTGAAGGGAAGTGTCAATATATTTCACAGGCGCACATAAGAACATCATACATAGAATGAACTTGTTCTCCACTGCGTTCTGTATCGGCAGATGAAGCCTGCGTGCAGCATGCAGCTTTGAGCTGCAGTTGAATGAGAAATATCTTGCTGCAGATTGCTTCGTCAGTGGAAATCAGAGCCACGAAATACCAACATGCAAAACAACACGAATATTTGTGAGGCAGCTTCCTTCAAGCGCACAGCATTCTTGGAGACCTCACACTTCTCCCCTGTTCCATGCACACTTCACCCCTTGGACGTACATAATGTGAAGACAGGCAGCACTACTTGCCAGTTAGTAAATCGGTCTGTTGACTCCATAACGAGGATTATAACCGAGGGGTGGAAGGCTTGGACACCGTCGCCATGAGCCAATTTCAGGTTCCGTGTGGATGCCACGCCTCCTGCAAACACCTACTCTATTTCTTGTCTCTACCCCTGGCGGACAACAGAGCTTGCTTGTGGCTTGTGATGGGCAGTTCCATTTGGTGACACAGCCGGCAAGCACACCAGCGACAATGTGTTGAGCAGTGAAAGAGCACTGCAATCCACGTCAAATGCATTTGAAAGCACTGCCTTGTCACCTGCAAGGTGACATAGGAACTTGCTGTGTGGGGATCTGTGCGCCACACTCCACAAACTGCATTCTTACTTTGAGGTGTGAAGAGATGCGCCTGCTTTGCCCAGGCCGACCATGGGGCACACCACTGCGATCAGGGTGCGGATGAGCCGCTCCATCGTGAAGCCCTGTGTGGAGAAGACGTCTACGAGGTGGGAGCTGAATACAGCCCTGTTGTAGTTAAAATCGCCGTACTCCTGCTTCAGGACGTCCCACAGGGCAACACAGAAGAAACACAGCACAACAGTGTATGGCAGACCTGCAGGCACAGGGAGAATTGCAGTCGTGAAGCACTCCACTGCAGAGTGTTGAAGCCCTTTGGAGAGCGAGGTCGTGTGTAGAGCAGGGGTGTGGTGGGCAGGTGGAGAGTTGGAACACAAGGAGATGCCAAGAGGCACTGGCTTGCTGCACAGTCAAACCCAGCATTTGCCCTGCTGGGAGGTTTCCTCTCAGCAGCAATCTATGCAATCTGTGCAGGCTTACCCGTTTTGCAGTGTGTTCATGCAAACTTCTGTGTCAGCAATGTGCAAAAATAGTTCAGCAAATGCATGAAGTTCTATTTTAGGTGATGTCGTCGGAGATGTGATTTTCCAATTGGACAGGGGGTGGCTTCGGAATCCTGAAGGCGATGCAGGGTCTGGATAAAGGCGCTTAGGAATGTTTCACGAGATAAATATGATCAGGGCAGCAAAGTGGAGCTCATTCAAAGCACTCTGGATTGTCACAGGATCACAACGAAAGAACACCCCACTGCCACAATGGCATGCGGACCAGCTCCTTTCAACAGGTGAAGGTAATACAAAGAACCGCAACAGCACATGACTGCAATTCAAATAAGCAGCCGGAAACAACTGCCTGTGACACTGGTATCCAAAACAAAGCAATTGGGACAAGGCAGGTCTGTGTGCCAAGTCCCAAGAAAGTGCCCTGCCTCCACAGCCACACACTTCACTGACATGTCCCCTTGGGGGCTACTTGCCTGCAAATTGGAGGAGCTGGACACAAAGGAATTGCACAGCTACACTGATATACACAAGAGACAATTATTGTGATGCAATATTCACAACCAACAACAACAACAATGCTCACAAGCGGTGTCACGTAGCAAGAATGCAGGATGCTCATCCTAGATTGTTCACCTGCCACAATGGCTGCTGTCTGTAGGGCGCTTAGTGACTCCTGTCCTCCGGCAACGAGCAGTGCACAAGCGGCAGCGCCCTCAGTGAGTGCCCAGAAGACACGCTGCAGGACAGGGGGGTTTGGGTTGCCGTTGGCAGTTATACAGTCGATGACCAGGGAGCCAGAGTCGGAGGAGGTGACGAAATACAGAATAATGGCACCGATGGACAGGGCACCATAGACGTCACCAGCAGGGAATTGGTCCCAGACGTCGAAGTACTGGCTCTCGATGGGCTGTTGAGACAAAAAAAGATGGATTTTGGCAACTCTATTGAGGGTGCACTGCAGGAGCAAGTCAGTGGAGGACAACTGGCCAGAAATGAGTAATGAAAGCAGCGCAATGCACGTAGGGTGCGCGGTGAGTTTTCTAGACACGCAAAGCACATATCTATTCTGCATCGTATTCATACAAAATATTATAACATGCTCTTGTTGTGGGTTGCACACTGTGGATTCTGCACATGATACAGTTCTTTTGCCAAAACTTGTCATGGAGGTCCTTGCACTCAACAGGCGAAGACAGACGAACGCGAAATTTATCTGAACAGATCCAAACCTGGCGTCTGCGGTGCCTCTGCAGTGAAGCGGGTGCTGTGGGCTCTGGCCTAGCATGACACAGTGGGCCTCGGATTTACCTGGCAAGATAGACGAGTAATCTTGACACCATCAATCTCTTTGTAACCAAGGAAGTTCTCTGGATCGTCATCAGGACCCATCTGGTCAATATCAACAACAGTCAGGCATTATCCAGGGGACAGGGACTCAGATGCCGCAAACAGTCACAAATGGCTGTATAGAACCGTTCTTGTTATTGATGAGATCACCTGTCGCGAATGCTAAAGAAGTGTTTTGTTTTTTGTAACGGCAATGTTTCTTCAACATTGCCCACAACCTCAAATCTCATCCCTGAGAGGGGCCATTATATTGAGGAGCCAACTTCAGTGGTATTGTACAGCATGCTACAGTGCCCAGCGCTTCTCACTATGGACCAATCGGATATGTGGTCCCCTGTAATGAGCACACACACATTGTGCTCAATAGGTCAATTTCAGTTGGATTCCCACTGGATGCTCTGGTGCTGAGTGATCAGCAACTTGGGCAATCAGAAAAACACAATGCAGTCACCTGGCACGCAAACTGCCAAAGGTAGCTAAAAGAAAGCAATGCACAGCTTTTGCTACATAACCACAACAGGGGTCAACAACAGACTTAACGTGCCAGGATGGTGGAAAACTGGATGCACAACGCTGAAATTCACACTGAAGACAGTCGCCTGGGCTTAAGTGTTTGCTGCATATGTTGTATGCTCTGCCTACGTGTGACACCTCAAGCAATGGGCATTCCCCACAGTCCATCTTTGTCACTGGCTGGATATGACTGGGTTGAAGCAGGCACTAAATTTGCAGACCGCAAATAGTAACGAGGCAAGCAAACCACCAAGTCCTACCGGTGTCCCAGGACACATGATGCCGGCGGCAGCAGCCTTGCGCTCCATCCTCAGGCCCTCTCCACCAAACACAACCAACCACAAGAAGGAGTAAAAGGTGGGCAAACACAGTACCCCCAGTATGAACTCCTTAACAGTGCGACCCTGAAACACACAGCATGCATGAGCAATGTGTCCAAGGAGTGATCACGCATAGGAACATGGGAAGCACATGACCTGTTTTCTCCTCATTGATGCCTGGGTATGACCTGCGGTGCATAAAAGCCAATTCCATGGCAATCATTTATAAGAGAGGATGGCAACACAGCTGCAAAACTCATCACTGGATTGTTCTGTGATGACTGTCACGAGGCCATGCGTGCGCAGGACACTGCAGTGTGCTCAAACTTCCCAAAGCATTGAAGGTGGCCAAGGCGTCTGGTTTGCACCTTGGAGATCTTGGCAGTGAAGACACCCACAAAAGGGGCCCAGCTGATCCACCAGCCCCAGTAGAAGATGGTCCAATCGTCCATCCATGACTCTGGAGACCCTGTTGTCACAAAACAGGCAGATCGTCAACACCCTCTGTCCAAGAGCCCATGACTACCTCAAGGGCACACGATGTAGCACCATGTTCCTGAAGCAACTCTGTACTGCCCATTCTCAACTTGATGGTGCAGAGTTTCATGTCTTTTGGCGAGTACGTTCAACTAACACTCCTATACCCTAGCCATTGTTGAATGCTGTGGCCATTGTGCACGCTGCATTGCAAAGAACCAAGCCCATTACAGTCGCAAGAAATTGGAAGCCATTGGGTTACCTCTTCCGTCAGGCGTCTCTCCCAACTGGGCAAAGGCGTCTGTGTGGAATGAAAGTGGGATGAAGGAGAAGAGGTACCAGCCCCATGCCTGGACGTAAAGGTTGAGAAGGTACCTGTGACCCAGATGGACAGATGTCAATCAGCTTCGACTTAGGTACCAAAGTTTAACGAGAAAGTCAGCGAATTGTCAACAAATTGTTGCCTTCAGCAGCCCTTGGAGGGACAGACTTCAATCCACTCTTTTCTGCCCCAAAGTTCACAAACCAGCGCTCAAATCTGCAGGGCATTGAAGGCAAGATGAGGACAGACATCAGCGTCATGGGTGCCTCACAAGGTGAGGCACTTCAGCACATCTCTGCAACCTCCAAACTGAGCATTGCCGCCCATCGATGGGCACTGCATAACAAATGCATCTTTGTCCACAGCGCCGCATGCCAGAGCAATGCTCAGGAAATTTCTGCATTTATGGACAACACCTTCGCCATCAGAAAATTTTTGCCAAGGTCCATCATGTGTGTAAACACTAGCTATTGTACCAGAGTTTAGGTGAACCACACACCTTGACTTTGGCTGTAGGACAGGGTTGGTTCGGATGATTCAAGAATTGTTCGTAATACATCAATAACATGTAGGATTCGAGGACTGGGTTGGAGGAATAAGTTACCAGGCTATGGACATGGCCCAGGAGATCAATGGGCAGGTGACAGAGATATCTAAACAATGGAAGCTGCACAACTAAATTACTACAGATGACAAACCACAAGTCCAGAAAATCACCACAGATTGTAAACTTTTCCAACTGAAAGCAGAGAACCCAAAACAACCCACACATACCAAGAAGCCCCCAAGAAGAATAGGGCAGTGACAATGAACATCCCCAGCAGCCAGGTGACTTCAGAGAAGCGGCGGATGCCCATGCGAAGTCCAAGGACGACAGACGTTGTGGCGATCAAGGTGACACACCAGATGATGGCAACCTTTGTGGCACACACAAACGACATGCTCAAGTTTTTTTTCAGGATGTGAACAACACTGCAAGCCATGTGCAGCACCTGCTGCCGGAAGCAACAAGTCAAGAATGAAAAAAGCATGGAAGCCAAAGCAGTGAAAGCAATAACATTCAGTGCTGAAAATACAGTCAATGCTTCGGTTGCATTTCGATGCAGGTGATTCAGTGTTGCGGCCAACTGCTCCACCAAGCCGGCCAGCTAGGAGCATGGTGCAGACCAAAACAATCCCTTGTGCATCCATTGATCCAAGAAATTAAACAAAGTCACTGCCAGACTGTGTACTGGAGTGGGAGAGCAACAGCAACCAATAAGGCACACACCCAACATGTGCACAACATGCATGGGCTCACCTGGTTGTCTGTGGACACATCGATGTCACTGTTGTATCGATTCAACCCAATGTTGATCTGACGCACTCCCAGCCCCAGAGAGGTGCAGACACCAAATAGGGTCGTTATGACGCTGAGCACGTCAATGGCATCTCCCATCCAACCAAAGATGCGATCACCGATCTGGAAGTGCGAACAATGTCACAGCTTAATAATCAGCAGTAGGATTAGCAGCGATGAAACCTGGCGAAAACCGAATGGCTGCATGTTCAGCTCACATAATGTTGACACAGCACCATGATCAGAAATCCATTGGATGTTGCCACCTCACCAGTGGGTAAAAGCAGCTCTTCATCGTCATTGGAAGGTTCTGACGGTAGCAAATCAAGCCCAGCAACAGGCCGACGAGGGCATACACAACCCAAGCATGGATGCCCCTACAAAACAAACACAAAATTCAAAATGAGCTGCAAAATATTGGAATGTGCACAGCAGACAAGAGCACAGAAATTTGAAACAGGGCATGCAAGGAAGCAGGTCCGCCACTTGGGACGAAAATGCATGTGTTTGTTCATATTCTTGCCACAAATCACCTGAGAAGTTGGTCCCATGCAGTGGACCAGTTGTGTGGGGCACAACAATGCCATTTCACTTCCTTTGTGGCTCACAAACCGTGAGTTGGTTTGGTATTTCAAGATGCACTCAAGACACACTGCTGGCAACATACCAGTGGAAGAGAGTTGTGTTGAGCGCCATGATCGCACGAGCATTGTCACCCAGATCCGAAAAGCGATTGCCTTGGCAATTGCCATCAACACCAGCAAATGACTGAAAGTTCACACCACTGCAGGGCTCATAGTGAAAGATTGTCTCTCCAACACCTGTCCGAACAACACAAGACTGTCAGCAATGCACATATCCTGGGCCTTAGGGGCATCTGCGCCTGCAGCCAGTTGCAGCAATGGCAGACACATCCACTCAAACAGAGTGGGTTGCTGTTGAGGTGTTGTAGAAGTGTCAGCTTTGTGCACCATTAGAAACCAAGCATCATATGGGATAGTCCAAAAGACCCCTGCACAGATAGTTCAAAGAAGCCAAAGATGTGCGGCATGATGAGGTATCACCTCCCCCCCCCTTTGTTGAAGCACGCAAGAGCTCCCCTTCAGTTGCCAAGGCAACAAGATCAACCACTGCGCATGCTTGGGCAAGGCTTCTGCATGCACAGGTACATTTATTCTCACCGAAGTAGAAGAAGCCCACTGCAATTCCAGATGCAAACTGCAGGGCAAAACACAAGCTTGAGAGTCAGCACCCCCACGGCAACTGAGCGGCCCGTTGACTCCAGCAGGGCAGTCTGCCTCACACCAAGCTGCAAAAGTTGGCATCCCAGGGAGTCGAAGCAAAAGCAAGAGGGAAAGGGGTGCTTGAAGCCCAGTGTCGTTGCCAGTTTCACAACAACGGCCCTGCACAGACGATTTGTGGAGCCCTGCAATCTTGTCCTCAGGTCTGTACAGTGACACACTGGCGATCGACTTGCCAATCCAGAAGGGTGCCGCAGTGGTGATTACCAGCATCATAAACCAGGAGGCGCTGGAGAATTCAGGCTTGTCATCAGGCTTTCCAAGCTTGAGATCGGAGTACTTGCTGAAGTACACCACGCCCAAGAACACGACCCAAATAATCTGATTGCAAGGCAACAAGAACAGCAGACTCAGTGCAGTGCAAAAGCAGGGACCCTGATGCTGCAAAAGCATGGCTTCACAGGGGGTGAAACAGGGGTCAACAAACTTTCCCATCACATGAAAATGTTTGCCGAGAATGATAATTGTTCAATTGTGGAGTTCGCCAATGCTAATCTCGCTCAATGAGCTATTGTCACCGCTTCGACTAGTCAGCAATAGCATCAGAAGGACCAGCAACAGAAGATTGGTCGCCACTCGGGGTCAGCAGCCCAGGTGCTGTGTTTGGCGTCAGCAACCCTTAGCAGCATTGGCAATCACAGCGAGGTGGGGGTCGGTGTTCGCGTCACCTGGGACAAAATGTACGCCCAAGTGGAGGTTTCCGTGATCCATCTCTTGGCCTCCTTCAGATCTTCATTGGCCTCGTCGGGCTTCGACAGGCACCAGACGATGAACGCCCAGATGAGCGCAATGGAGGAGAGCGTGACCACCGGATTGAAGCGCAGGCTCCAGCGGCCGCTCCCCAGCCGGAAGTTGAAGCTGTCGCGGTCGTGGTCCTCGAACGCCTTCTCCACCAACATTTCTGCCCTGTCCCGGCTCGCGCCATCGCCAGACGCCTTCCCATCCTCGTCACCGCGCGAAACCTGGCGCCCGTCGCCGACGCTCACGGCCACGGCTGGAGGCGCCACACAACAAGACAGCCATCACCACAGAGTCCTGCCTCCCTGCGCTGTCCAGATGACCACCATCACTGAGCGACGATGACCAGCACAGGCAATCGGCTGGCTGCCGATCACGCAAGCGGGCGCGCCGAAGCGAGTGCGCGCCGCGTGCTGATTCCCAAGCGGCCAGGCTGGGATCGCATCTCAACTGCGAGCGCCCATCACGAAGGAGGGAGGGGAAGGGTAAGGCGCGGGCGTTCAGGGCCACAAGGGACGTGCGTCCCTGTATAAATGGCGAGAGTGCTTGAATACAGATGGCGTGCGCCTGACATAGTCACAGCTGGTCTCCATGCCTGGGGCGGGTTCCAGCACCGGCGAGGGGAGCGAGGGGACGCCTCGCCGCCAGGCCGCCGTCCGCAGACGCTCCGTCGGCGCCAGAGGAGCAGCGAAAGGCACCCGCGCGTGACATCATCGCCGGGGGAAGGTCCTGGCCGCTGGGAGAGCGAATCTGCGCGGGCGAACGGATCCCGCGGACCCCAGGGCCCTGTTCGGAAGCGGACGACGTACTGGAGCGCAACTGGGTGTCATTTTGGGACTAACCCGTGGCTGGGGTGAGAAAGCGGCGTGAAATATGGGGCGCGGTGGCGCCTAAGGCCAGGCGCCGCGTTGCAAAACCTCGCGGGCGCGGGTGGGACAGACACGCCCACGGAACGGCCAGGCGTCGCGCGAGCCGCCGCTGCCGGGACGGCCCGTCGCCTGGCCGGGGAGCAATCGACGTCGCGGGCGCGGATGGCCACTCACACCGGCGATCCCGTTAGTATGACCGGAGTGAGCTCAGCGTGACCGCTGTGACGCAGACGTGCGATGAAAACGAGCGTGAATAGCAGTGATCTGGCCCGTGGTGAGCGCCACAATAAAAGCGCGCCGCTCGCTTCTAAGCGGGGCAACGGCCAGCAGCTGGGCGTCGGCGATTCAGGGATGCCGCCCGCGCCACGAGGCCCCCGCAGCGGGGGGCGCCTCACTGATCGACTCGCTCCTGCGAATTCCTCGCACAAATCGCAGCTAACCGCCACTGGACTGGCTCCGACGCGGGCAGCCCAAGCGGCCGCACCGCCCCATCCAGGCATCCTCCCCCGTCCGCCGGAAGCTTCTCTCACAAATCCTCGTTCCGCGCTCCACGGCCATCCCCAAAATCGCCCCACAGGCTCTCCAAGCGGACAGCGCCTCAGGGCAGCGCATGCCGCGCGATTAAGACCCTTCCGGGGCGGGCGCCATCAGCCAAGCCACCGGGTCTTGCCACCGACCGCCAGCCTGGCGCCCGGGGCGATGCGCCATGCGCCGCGATCGCCGCTCACCTTCCGACGAGGAGGGGTTCACCAGGGGCGTGGCGCCCGTTTGAGGCGCGCCGTCGTCCATGTCGGGCGCGGATCGCCGCCTTCTGCCCGGCGCCTGATGGGAGAGCGGGCGGGGGCGAGGGGGGTGAGGGTCTGCCACTGCGCTGGCGCTCGGGTGCGCCGATTTTATATCCGCGGCTGATCCGCTGCCGGACACGTGGGTCTGTCGGCCGCGGGGGGGGCGCCGATAATGGCATTTGGCAATCCAACGCGACTTCAATCGAGTGTGAGCCCACATGATGGATCGCCGCTGGAATGTAGCGAGGGAAATAACATTACTGCCTGCACCAAATCGGTGACTGCTTGCACCAAATCACGTGCACACTATGTCCTAACCTCAGTTTTAGAGTTAGGTTTGGTTTTAGGGTGAGTTTCAGGGCAAGGGTTAGGTTTAGGGCAGGTTTAGTTTTAGGGCTTAGGGTTTAGTTTTAGGGCTTAGGGTTTAGGTTTTAGGTTAGGTAAGTTTTGGAGGGAGTTGGTGCAAGCAGTCACCGATTTAGTGCAGAAAGTCACCGATTTGGTGCAGCCAGTAATTTTATGCCGTGGTGAGGGTGCTAATCTGCTGCAGCGGGCAGCGCAGTCCATAGCGCAAATCGGGCGGAAGTGGGAAGCTGGAATGCTCCGCTTCGCCCCAAACGTGGTGCCATCGCCGACCATCCCTCGGGAACGAGCAGACAATATGGTTAGGTTTGTTCATACCAAGGCACGACGCCGCAAAACGGAAGTTCTGCTGTGTAGCTGAGCAAGTGTGATTGATAAGTATACGGTGCGCTGTTGTTGGGCATACATTTGCGTTGGGTGTTGATGCTGATTTGCGTTGTTGTTGATGTGGGAATGCCGAGTGGGCACCGAAGTTCCGAGTCTATCGGTGTGGGTGTGAGGATACACCCCGCCAGCGTTGTGAACTGACGCTCCTGTTGATCGCCGACACTCGAACTCCACAAATCAAAAAAATCCCGCGTCTGCCGCACCACGATGCGATGCTTCCCGGCCAACCGGCCGAGGACTCGCTGCCCGAGCTGGAATCCGATGACTTGGAATCCGACGACGAAGATTCTGACGACGAATCTGATGGCCCCGACGAGTCTGAGTCCGAGCTGCTCCCGCTGCTGGACGACAAGTCGCCCGAGGATTCGGAAGAACCGCTTCCGTCGCTGGCCTGCAGGGACTTCTGCTGGGCGATGAGCTTAGGCAGGTTGGCTAGCAGGGTGCGCATGGTGTCCGTCAGTCCGCCCAGGCCGATTGACGTGAAGTAGTTGATGGAGAAGCGCATGTTGCGTGGTGTGTCCTTGGGGAAGATGCCCTCGAACCAGTCCAGGTGGTCGGGGTCCTGGAGGCGCGCATTGAGCTTGATGAGGCCCAGGATCTCGGACAGCTCCTGCGAGAGGCGGGCAGCAGACGTCAACCAGTGTTCATGATCGGCACATTCACTTCTTCGCCTTGGAGGGTAGGCAATGATAACGACGGAAAACAGTTTTGGACGGAGGCAGGACAACTGAGTACAGCAGACAAACCAATCCCAGTTCGCTTCAGTTCACCCGTTCCAGACTAAGGTATGATAACTGTAGTCATTGGCAAGGGCTAAGGGCTGCGACCATGCTAATGTCACTGGAAATAGAAAGCGTGGTATTCTCACCACCATCAGTATGGACGCAATGGACATTGCCATTGCTGTCACTGTTCTTTTGTTGATCCGCTTTGACTGCCATCTGTGTCCTCTGGGTGCTATTTTACTTGTGTTGTCTCCCTTGGGATTAGAAAATCTCACTCAAAAACGCGTCTCCTTGGGGATTAGAAAAGATCACGCAAAAACGCACATAAATGTTCAAAAGGGAACATAGAGTGGCAGTGTTGAGGCTGAGTAGGCAGTGGTCTTGTGGTGATGGAAGGGAGGCCCATTCCAGCTGCAACACAGATTCGATCGTGGCCCATGTGGATCTTGGCACTGTCTCGAACACTATCAATACAGGGCAGCGGTGTAGGAAGTGACCCATCTGATCGCACTGCTGCAATGTCTGATGGCCTACAGCTGGCATATAGCAGAGCAGGCAGGGCCAGGAAATGGGTTGTGCTCCAGTCCATGAGTTTTATCAACAAGTTTAGAAATCCCGCTCTCCAATGCACAACACTGTGCTGGTTTACGAATTGCATGAGCAACTGATAGGAACCTATTTAACTCTGTACCAAATAATATTGAATCTGGTACCAAACTGCGGCCGTACAAAAAAAAATTGAACTGTGCCATTTCAGTACCAACGCATATTGAACCTGGTACCGAACTCGCATCGGTACCAAAAATGTTGAACGGTGTGCAAAAAATTGTTGAACCCAGTACCAATTAGTCATCAAACCGCCGCCGCCATATAAAGCTCATAAAACCTAAACCTAAACCTTAAACCAACCAACCAACCAAGCACAAGCCCAGGGCTGGTCGCAGGGCTGGTCGCAGGCTGCCATTCGATGACTAATTGGTACTGGGTTCAACAATTTTTGGTACACCGTTCAACATTTTTGTTACCGGCGCGAACTTTATACCAGATTTAATATGCGTTGGTACTAATTTCAATTTTATTTGGTACGTTGGTAGTTTGGTACCAGGTCCAATATTGTTTGGTGCTAGTTTCAATTTCATTTGGTACGGCAGCAGTTTGGTGCCAGATTCAATGTTATTTGGTACGGAGTTAGATATACGCACAATGCGCAATGCGCAATGATTTGTTGGGATGGACAGCCCAGCTCATGGCCTTGACAAACGCGGATGTGAAAAACCACAACAGTTTTTGCCTCGGGCAGCAATCAGTACCAAGCTATCATTCATACATGGGACAATTCTACAGCTGCCATCAATGCTGTGTAAAATGTTGTCAGGACCAATCACAAGGACCTCAGGAAGGGCACCAACTATACTCTTAACATCCTTGCTAAGCCAACGGCCAACTGTTCGACTTCCCTCACTTGCTAATGAATGCACAGCGGGGCCATTAACATCCTTGCTAGGCCAACGGCCAACTGTTCGGCTTCCTTCACTCGTTTATGCATGCACAGTGGGGCCAAAATTGCGCTCAACACATTTCAGCAGGGCGCCGACATGGAGTTGGGGGCATGAACACTCAACAATACTGCTAACAGCTGGGAAGTCACTGCCCATTCACACTATCGGCAATGGACGGGTCTGAGGAAGGGGATGGAGTGGGGGAGGGACATGGACGCCCATGGAACTCACCTGGAAAAGAATCTTGATGAAGATCCGGGATGACGATGTGGTGTCCTCCTCCGTGAGACGTATGATACCCAACACAGACCAAGATATGGCATCTGTGGCCAGCAGGTGCGCCATCAGCTTGGCCACGTTGCGCAGTTTGTTGGTCTCCAGCCTGTGGATCTGGCTGTACTGAAAGCTAAAGCTCTCCTCGTACAGCTTCTGGTAGGCAGAGTTCAGGAAGCAGAATCGCTGCGACAGGAGGCCATAGTACCGGAGGTACGTGCGCTCCTGGCTGCAACACTCGATTATCATCGTCACGATTTCGCATTCTTGGCCTGGTGGCACACGGCAGTGTCATCATATGGGCAGGAAGGGCAGTGGCCACTATCTGTGATCTCTGGCTGTCACATAAGCACACACGAGGTCCCACACACACAGCCTGTTTCCGTGCTGCTGTGTTCCAGTCTCGCCTGTTTGTGGACTTCCACTTCTTCTGCTAAAATGCGGAAGTTACACCAGATTTCTGTTCAGGAATGGCATGCACATAGCACGACAAGGCCTTTCCGTTAAAAACAATGTTCATAGTCAGTGTGGGAATGCTAAATACACTATCCTGGATGAGCAGCACCATGAAACAATTGCTCTTCCTCGCCTTGAAAATTGGCTGCGCGGGAGTTGTCCTCTTTGACATATTCTCACAGAGCGACTTTCAATGACATTAGCAGGGTCTGCAGGCCATGTCGTCAAAACTGCCAGGGTCTCACTCCCAAGGGTATGGGCATTCCAGCCAAATATTGGGGATGAGACTACCATCTTGACACAGGCATGTTCTGTTTGTGTTGGCAACTGTTCTCAGAAGACTTGCAAACATATGCACACATGGCAACACATGGTTTTGGTACATCAGAATGAGGGACTCTCCATTTTACATTTTCCTTTGGCTTCAAATGGACAATGGTGTCTCCATTTAGGGAACAAGCATTGATTGCTGCATGTAAATGTATTGAAGATTTTCTGCCAACGAACAAAGAATAATCATCCAATGTCCAGCCTCCATGCGGTCTGACAATCAACAAGCACTGCCCAAAAGCCTTGTGTCTTGACTATGCCAATCCCTGTCTGGAGTGCACTCTGGTGTGTTTTGTTGCGTGTACCTGTGCACATCTGTTCTCTGATTACGTGGGGTTTGGGGTGTTCTGCCAAACATAGCGATGCCCATGTAGGCCGCTGGAAAACCGACGCTATCTGACGATTTGAGTTCAGGTGAGATAGGTGGCAAGACGAGTGTGTCATGCTTTTGTGTCAATTTTAAGGACACACTCATTGGTTCAATCCCCACCTGGATTGAGATGGATTTTCAGAAGCTTGTGCCCTGCCTCTTCAAAGTCCAAGCTGGACATGATGGTGAGGTATATCGTCCGCCGAAGGTTAACTTCATTTATGTATGTCATGTCCGTAATCTCCATCTTGTTGTCTTCATCCGATTCTGCGTCTGAACCCTCTTCACCCTCTCCATCCTCTCTATCACTACCGCTGCTCTCGGAATCGCCATCTTCCTTATCTGATTCACCTGGTCCGCGATTGCAAGACAGCATGCTACGTCACATTCAACATAAGTCCACAATGTCCACAGTGCAGCACAACAAGCATTACAAGGATAAGTATTGACAGGGAGAGTAGCGGCCAGCCTGGCACAAACACTCAACAAGAAGCATCAGCCAGCAGGATTTCGGAAAGAACAAACTAGTTAAAGTTGTCCAGTGCACACTCACCCAAAATCTCCATCTTTATGGCTTCGTACTCCTTTTCGTGCTGCTCATACTCCTCATCCAGCTTGAACACGTCCAGGCCCATCTCTGCATCCAGGTTTGGTGTATCCAGGCCCACCTCATGCGTGATCTGATCCTCCTCCTCGATCAAGTCCAGCTCAGACTGGACCGCAGGAAAGCCAGAGGTTGCAAAGCCAGCCTTCCGCACTGCAAACAAGCCCTCGATCATGAATTGGACTCGCTTGTCGATCTCTCCCTCATGCAGGATGGCACGCAGTCGTTCAAACACACTGTAACACATACAATTCTGCTTTGAATGCACACGTCACATGTTTGACACACCACTGGATTTGCAACACAATGCAATGATCAGCACTCTAATGTGCTTGTTGCTTGCCTCCAGGTCGTCCATTATTGCTTCAGGCAACCGAGCAGCACCAAATACTACTAGCTGCAACTGCGACACACGATTTGCACTGTACAAAGACACAAACTTACCACCAATACAAGTCTGACAACAATATTCTGGGAAACTAACAGCAAAACCTGGAGGACTGCCAACCACTCCAGAGTTTGACTGGTGCTTCAGTAGTCTAGCCTCATTGAGGGTGGGCAGCTTGTTTATGTTGGCATTCGATTGCAGGATGCCAACCATTTTAACAACAGGCTCAAAGACGATCACCATGGCAAGCATGGTGCCTTCAATCTGCTGCACTCTTCACTCCACCTGTGCCAGGAGGGGTGAGGTACTCGCAGACCATAAGACTGGCACAATCTGATGGTTTGAGCTCAGTAGACCCATGATGTGCCTAGCATGTCTTTTCACTTGTGGCTGTTATGCATTCATTCCTTTCTTTGTATGTGGTCAAAGTGTTTTTGAAGTGCTGCTATTTCCATTCCGCACACAAAATATCAAATGCAGCATGGCACCCTCTAAATAATGTAGAAGCAGGATTCTCTTCCTCCCAAGTGTTGTGAGGTCCTTATGGACTGTGGTAACACTGATGCTGTCTCATGATCTGAAATACATGACCAGTGCATCATGTTTCACATTCCATGACCAGTGTGCCATATTGCTGTGGTGGATATCCATGCGCACCTGTGCAAGCCCTGCGGTGACAGCTCCTGCAGTGTGGCTCCTACCTCCTTTGTGAACGAAACAGCCACTTCCACACTGTTGTCAGAGGGATTTTCCAGCAGCACCATGAGCAGCTCAAGTGCCAGAAGCTCATGTGCAACTGCTTGGTTAACCAGGTGGGCAAGGAACTGGGTTGCTGCAAGAAAGACAGGCTTGTCATTCCTGCGGTAGGCTCGCTTGAACTGCACAACAAAATGCAAAGGTCGGCTTCAGTTGACTCTTGCTCAGCATTTGCAAAGGCAGAGGCACCCCACCAGTGGTTCGCTGCAAGGACAGGGCACAGCACAGACCGTATTTCCAGGAAAGTAGGGCACAGGTTTCCATCCTGTGCCAGACCTGTTTCACACGACTGCCTGGGACAGGCTCAGTCACGAGTCGCTGACAAATTGATGTCAGGAGTGCAGGATGGGGACATGGATTTGCCCACAATGTGGTGTGCAACAGTTGCCACAGGTTTTCCCTTGATTCAAATTGAGAAGATCCAAATACAGCTAGTCGATGGACAGCAGTCCGTTGCACACACACCTGTAAAATCACTCGCTTCAGAAGGAGCTCGCCAATTTCTGGGAACTTTGTGTTCACAACGGCAACAAGTGCTGCATACACCGGAGTGAAGGTGGGAGATGCCATCTGCGACTTCATGACCGCACGGCAGAACAAGCCGCGGCCACGAATCAAATTCTGCGGGGAACACAAAAAGAGCTTAATGTTCACATTGATGCATTGCGGGTTTCCTGGTTCCTGAAAACACATAGGCTCACAGAACTCTTGCTCGAGGTTCAGTGTACAGGCATCATAATCCCAAACAGCAGCAAAGAACACGTCAGTCGTAACCATGATTACAAATAGCTCCTGCTGCTCTGTTTGCAATCCAATCACCACAGGGGCCACCTGTGTGATGCAATGGCCGACATTGCACAACGTGCTGACAATAATGAACTCCTTTGCATTGGATACCTGTTTCCTGCTCTCCTCCTCTGGAAAAGTTCTTTGGAAATCTGTCCGTCACAGTCTTAAATGTGGAGAGTTCGTTGACAGGGGCTGCAGAGTACAGGTGTGCACAGCAGCAGCAATAGCTGCGAGAAGGCACTCACCTCGCCAAATAGCTCAGGCAACATGTTCTTCATGTTTGTGGCATTCACTTTGTTGACAATTCCGTTGAGACTTTTCCTGAGAGCATCCCATGTCATGCGTTGATACTCTGGCCCAGATTTGTCTTGGCACTGCTTCATCATCTGAGCAAGGCGAAAAGGCGGCACGTACACTCCCCCAAACACGCCTGAAAAAAAAATTCAGCAGAGTTGGTGGGCATTAGAATGCTGCTGTTCTGAGCCTGCCGTCTCGGAAAATGCAGAGGCAATTTTGCAGGGCAACAGGCCCTCAATACTTTTGTTGCAGCTGTGACAAGCACTGTACTTGCGCCTTCAATCAACACAGTGTATCGGGCACTTTTCAGCACTGGTGGTTGGTCCCGATGTCTGCACAGCAATTTGACAGCGCTGAGCACTGCCAGTGGGTTATTGAGAGGGGCAAAGAAGAAGATTTCCTCCACATGGTGTTGAACGTAAATGCGAGAGGAAAAGAAACTACCCTATCTTCATATAGTATCAGGAGAATGGAGTTCACTCATCCAAGCGCTAAATGCCAACAATTATGAACAACAACGCTCGCGCAATGCCATTGCCCACGCAACCTGCAAGGGTGCGGTACACAGGAAGACCAGGCTCATCCCAACAAGATGCAATGATCCAACGCAGGACCCTTGCCTTTCTCATCAGCCACAAGCCGAGCCCCAGTCCCCAGATTCAACCTCCGCCTACTACCCGCCCACCAACAAGCCTCGCACGGTACCGAGCGACATCCCACCGCCGCAGAGCACACAGCCCAGCTGGCGCCTCACCTTTGACCGGGGCAATCGGCTGGGGCTGCCTTGGGGCCGCCTTGTCCCCATCGCCGTCCCCCGCTGTTCCCTTCTCCCTCTTCCTCCCTTCCGGAGCCCCTTCCCGCTCATCCTCGCCGCCGTCCCATCTGTCAAATCCCCCTTCGTCTCGAGCCCTCCCGTCCCTGCGCCCCTCCCCGCTCCGCCCCCTGCCCTCCCTCCTGCCTCTCCTCTCGGAGGAGCGCCTCCTGGACGACTGCCCCTCGTGCCTCCTGGGCTCATCCCTGTCCCGGTCCGACCTGTGCCTCTTGTGGTGGCGCCGGTGCTCCCTGCGACGGGCAACGATCCCAGGGGCGGCCCCCCTCAGCCACGGCGCCGATGCCAGCCTTTGGGGCGATATTTATTGCAAACAGAAAGGAAGGCGGGTCGCGCAAAGGGAAAACCCTCCTACGCAAGGGCGCCCGAGACCTTTCCTCGGTGTGAGAAGATGGTGCGAAGTCTCCAGTGCAACAACAGCAGCACACGAGCGCAAGGCGCGAGCGCCGCGAACAGCAATCACCACCGCGGGTGACCCACAAGGAATGGCTGTTGCGCCGCGGGTGGGAGATGCCAATCGCCACACCACCCTCCCTAGAACGCTTTTGCATTGATCGGCAATGGTCGCCCTCGATCCTCCGCCGGTGGGAGGTTGCCATGCGCTGCGCCAGGGCGCGCCCGCGGCCTGCCTGGGGAAGGGGGGATTACCTGCTGGGCGAACGCGAGCGTTCAGTTGCACCGCGCTTGCGCCTCGCGTGCGCCTCGCGGGGGGAGCGCTCTGACTCGCCTCCGCTCCTCGCGGAAGGGGAGCGGCGCGCCATACTGCGGCTGGCGTCCGTGTCCCGTGACCGCTGGTCGCTTCGTCCAGCGATTTCAGTGAAGGAAACGCATTTCGAAATTGCCAGAGGTGGGACATGGTGGTGTGGGTGGGTTGCAAAGGGAGGTATCGGTATCGGAAGACGGTAGTGGGAGACTGGACGACTGAGTTGGCAAATGCGCTGCTAGGTTGGAGAGTGGGCAGTGCGCGGCAAACACATCGGCAGCAATTGGATCGACCTGTGCAGCAAAGCGAGGAACCTGCCGGCCTTTCCTTTGCCAAGGCTTGAACTTGCTCGACTCGCGTTGTGTTTGGTGTTCAGCAAATTTTGGATCTGTCCTGTGTTTTTTTCCGTTTGAGCGGATCTCTCCAGGGCTTCCAGGGAACAAATTGCCCAGGACAGGGAGGTGATAGTTTGCCACTGTCATCCTTCCTGCGTTCAAGCTCACACAAAAGCTCTTTGATTGGTGTCGGACATGGACTTGCCCAGTTTTCTGGTGCATTTCGAGTCCAGCCATGATGGCGTCTTTAAGAGAGACCCGGAGAAGTACAGTACTAACTCATTGACCACACAATGCCGACTATGGAATGCTCAGCATCAAGTTGGTGCGGAGGGGGGAGGGGAACCAGATTGTGGCGTTAGGAACTTGCTCAATTGCCACAAGATATGCTGAGGCTAATAAGAGCTGGTCAACGTCGAGCAGGTCCTGACGTGCTTGAAGACTTCCTCAAGCGCTAAACCATCATGGAAGTTCCGAAATTTCTTAATTGACAGCCTCTAGGACTGCCCAAATGGGGGCATCGATTGTGGATGCTCGAAAAAGTCAGATGTCTGAAGCGACGGCAGACAATGCATCTTCTTTTCCATGATGCCAAAAATGATTTAGAGCCTCCCAATGCGAGAAGGTGAACACACATGACAAGTGTGACGCAGATAAAAACAAGGTGTACTCAGGGAGACCCACTGCAAAGGTCACAGTCTTGGCAGCACCAGATTTAACGTAGGCCACCCAAAGCCAATCGAAATGGAAAATTCCGTGTTCAAGAGAGTGTCCGCACCCACCGGACTCGAAACTCCCTTCCAATGTTGCAGGAAAACCGGGCAGGCGGGGGCCAATGCTTAGCGCTAGTCTTACGCTAGGTGTACTACATTCGACACACTCTGGACTCTGAAAGAGAGTTCAAGCAAATAATCAAAACAATGCAGGCAGAACAAAAATTTGGTAGCACTTTTAATACTTCCTGAATGTCGTGGTGTTAGCCATTCACCTTGTTTGTCTTACTGTCTGTGCGCTTTTGTGCGCGTGTAGATGAACATCGGCACCGTCAGAACCCCGACAGAATTTTGAAGTACCAAGACAGACCAGCGGATGGAAAGGACAGAAAGGGAATCAAATACGCTGCGCCGTGCTTTCAGAAGCCGAAAATACCTTGTTTGTTAACAAAGCGAGCACTGACATGCCTTGTACTAAAAGCACTGGTAGAGTACTGCCTATTCCATACAATTGATAGTTGTGTCTGGCTTGTGCTCAAATGGAACCAAATCCTCTATTTGAAGCATAAAACCTGTTAAAAAGGACTAGATCAGGTCAGTTTGATCGTTCTTGAGTGGCACTGTCCATCCGCAGTAGAAACGTGTCCAACGAGTATGGTTCTTTGCATCTGCGGATCTCATCGTTCGCCGGCGGCTGCGAGGTTTGTCCAATAGCTGTCATTTTAGGCCATGAAGGCAATGAAGGGGTCATGAAGGTCGCGGAGTGGCAGAGCCCTTGAAAAGCTAGAACCCTTAAACTCTAAAACCCGAAAATGACCTTCACGGCCTTCCGTCCGGCAATGAGAATATCGGGCATCAGTGACGGCCTGTGTCTGGCGCCGTATTGCCGACCACCGCCTCTGCCGTCTCGTCGCAGGCTCAGCTCCCAGTACTGAAAACCAGGCCAACACGCTTTTGAACATAGTGCACCGCGTGAATTATGTAAATTGATTGAAAATCGTGTAATAAGAGTGTTAAATGGTTCACTTATCTTATAGAAATGGGACCTGACCGTGCAGTAACGGTTGGGTGAGTGTACGTGATTTTACGCGCTTTAAAATGGCTCGAAACCGTGTATTTTGGCCGATTTGTTACTTGTGCCCCTCGCCCCCGCGCGAACGGCGTCCACTCCTCCCTTCACCACCGACACTTCGCCCACCCGTGCCACAGGCGGCCAGAAGCGCGCGCTGAACGGCAAACCCCCCTCGACTCGCAGCGACCGGCGAGTCAGAGCGCCTCGTCCGCCGCGGGCGTTGCCACCTCGGAGGGATACACCGGACGACGAGGGGCGCCGGGAAATCCGCCCTGGACGGCCCCTGCGAGTCCAGTGCCCCTCACCTCGCCTCCGGCCCCCTCTCCGCGCCTCGTGACGGCCCCCTCAAGCCGCAGCACGTGGAACCGCGGCACTGCGCAGCGGCCCTGCGGCCCTGCAGCGCCTCGGGCAGTCCGCACGGAAGGCACACCGCAGCTCGCGTGGCAGTTTCGTGCATCGGACGTCTGCCCGGCAGACGTCTCCGGTGACCGCGTCGGCCCTCGAGTTCGTTCACCACCGTGGAGAGCGAGCACGACGTCGGCCCGTGGTCGAGGGCCTCGAGGAGGCTGCTGCGGGGGTTCCTAGGGAGGCGCCATGGTGGGCGTTGCCAAAAGCAGCTGCGGTCGCGCGCGCGGTGCTCGCTGTTGTTGTTTCCGGGGACGGGGGAGGGCCCGTCGACGACCGGTGCCCGCCAGGTGAAGTTGCGGCGGGGCCCCTTTCGCCGGACGTGCTCGGACGTCGGAAGCCGCCCTGGAGCAATCCCTGGGTGACGCCTGTCCGTTGCATATTGCCGTCCGGACAATGGTTGCCGTGGAGGCCAGGAACGCTGGTGGAGGGCTCTTGGTTAGCCGCTGGAGGACCGGTTTTCATTCTGTCACAGTTCCACAGACGTGCCAGCCTCGCCCTCGACCACAGCGCATTGCCGCACGGTCTGCTGGCACAGCGCGCTTTGCCCCTGGTGCGGCTGCACGTGCCTGGCATTGTTGGCATTCACGCGGCACTTAAGGCTCTTGGATCAGCATCGCGACGTGTGGGGGCAAGTCAAATTTTGCGAAACAGCGCCGTAATCACCAGGGATGCCATCGCCCACAGCCTTGTGTGAAGCATCAAGCGGATTAGCCACACAGTGGCAACCGTAGCACTTGCGCATGGAATGTGATGAAAATGGGGCCGTCATGCTTGAGCTGGCAACCGCGATCTACGAAAAGCTATGCAAATAGAAGGGGCGCAACGGGTTGAAATAAATCATCGTGCAGGATAATGCGGTAGTTGTTGGAACAGCAGCAGATGATAAGTCGCAGCGGAAAGCCTGCAATCAGTCGCAAAGAAATAGAGATCATGAAAAGCCCCAAATTCGATTGTACTCCAAATTTACCAATCTCAGTTTGGTTTGGTATTCCGTCTATATTCCATTCTGTGGAGGCGAACAATTCTGTTTAGAGTATTACATTGTACAATTTAGGACATTTATGCATGATATGCAGGTCGTTTTATGGTGTTGGCATCGCACCTACCATGGCATCGTACGTGCCAAATTCCATGTGTTACTTGTGAGGGCGAACGGCACAAAAGATGTAAAGTACCAGTCATGATATGTTGCACCAAATACCCGTTTCCCCTGCTGAGGTAAACGTGATGCATAAGACCTAAACCACCATCAGACCTTGGTAAATCATCATTTCTGATGCCGCACATGCTGCAGGCTGAGGAAGACCAAGGCTCCTCAGCGTCTGGGGAGACGGAATCTCATACAGACACTCCAGAAGGAGGAACGCCAAAAGTGGGAGACGTGGAGTCTGGAGATGCAGGGCAGGCAGTGCCACTGGCTGAGACAGCCACACAGGTAGAACATTCTCCGCAATCTGGCAAATGAATAAACAATAGTTGCAATGCACTCTAACGAATGTCGTATTGCGCATTGGGGAATATAATTTCCAATATCCTTGACCATGCCTGATGAGGAAGATGTCGTAATTTCTGCTGTACTGAATTGATCTCTTACATGCCCTTATGGCATGTTGTCATCAGGATGCACCAAGTCACAGATTGGATGCTCACAAAAAGTTGAAAACAAAAATGTTTTGAATGCTATGCTGGCTAAATATATGCTGCCTAACTCTCGAAAACCTTATCGAAGAGATATGGAACGTTGTGTGAAAACGCAAAAAATTGTAAATGTGCGTTTCGTCACATATCTCCCAATAAGGAAGAAACACTGTTGGGCAGACTGCGATGCTATCGGCTATCAATGGTGACGAAAGCGAGACTGAAAGCGCTTCCCCAGGCCTCATCTTACTGATTGCTTCTCTGACAAGGCTTTCGACATTGTTGCAATGTGTAGCGGGGCAGCGCCGCTGGTGCACAGCCGCTGTGGCACCTTAACAATGCTGATGATATGATGATGGGGCATAAATGTGGGATTCAGTCGCCATAGCAGCGCACGCCATCGTCGCATTCGCCGAGGGCACTACTCCACTGCCGAGCGCAGAACTTTCTTAGTAAAATGGCACTTCAGTGTGTGACTTCTCTGCCTGATTTAATATCCGAAGTGCATGACCCAGGGTGGCGGTGATGGAGCCGATAAAGAGGGCGATCCTGAGCAGCAAAGGGAAGAAGGGCCAGAGTCCGGTGAAGTCGGTCAGTCAGGTGAGAGATGTCTAGAGGGTCCCTCTGGAGGGTTCCCAGCTGATCAGGGCCCTGTCGGTCAGCCCTCAGTTGATGCCCCCGGAGGATCCGAAATAGCAGGTCAAGGGGTGCAGGACCTCCTGGCGGAGCTGCAGATGGAAAGGGACAAGTACGATGAACAGATGAAGGTGGAAGCCAGGGCGAGGGAGGTGCGCCGAGCTGGCAAAAAACAAACTCAAGAGCTTGTCCTGATCTGGGCGCGCCGCATTCAGGCGTCTGATCGGATTCCTTGAGAGCACTGGGATGCGACATGTCTGGATTCATCGAAATTGAAATGGGCCATAAGCTCATCTCGCATGCCTCCTCGCATGCAAGATTTTTGCGATCTGGATGGCGCTTTCGTTGCTGCCATTGGGGACTGATGCGGTCGCCACAATCGAACGGAATAAAGCAGCATCGGAATTGGCACGCCCTGCCAGCCCTGTTTCATTGTTGCAAACATTCAAATTAGAGTCGCTATATCATTGCGGCATTTGCTGGCAGCCCACAGCTTGATCAGCATCAACGGAAGCCTGCAAAATGCTTGGCAATGTCTGCTAAAAGCGGGTCGGCGCATTGACGACTTTCGCTGCGTCTGCAACAGGAGCTGGAAGACATGCTCCTGAGGATGGAGCGCCACTTCAAAACCGAACAAGCCGCACGGAAAGAGGCTGAAGAAATGCTGGAACAGGCCGCGCAGGCGGAAATAGCCGCCAAAAATCAAATGGAAGATGCGGCGCAGAAACACGCCGCAGATGAAAAGCGTGTTCAGGACGAGCTGGAAGCCATCCAGAAGGTGCGATGGACGATCTATCATTCATCCTTATGTACGGACCGACCGTACATATGCGCGTTTGGTAGCGAGGCTCGGTGCAGCGCCAGCCTCCGCAGATTGATGCGGCCATTGGCGACGATCCAGTGTTGGCCCAGACGGCTTCGGGTGCCAGCCGTTCCGGTTTCAAGTCCAGTCGTTTCATCACGGAACGACTGGACAGCAGCAACGACCACGGAACTGGACTGGACATCATGGAACGACCATGCAGAATAGACAGAAGCAAAAGAATGCTTTTGAATCCCTTTTCCAGATTTTGCAAGATGGCTTAAACCACGAAACAAGCCACATCACGTCGCATGAACACTGTCGCTCACTAGTTGCAAGACTCAGGCCCCGCGTGTGAACGCGCTTGTGCATATCCAGGAAAGAAAGGGCCTGGAGACGATGCGCCAGGAATTCGAGAGCGAGGTGCAAGCCGCCCGCGTGGAAGTAAAGAAAGCGCAGGAGGCCTTGAAGACGGCAGAGGAGAGGGTGCGGGCGGACGAGCGCGTCCAGAAGGCGAAAATGGAGGCTGAATACCAGACCCGCATAATTGCACTGGGGTCGGAGCTCGAGCGGGTCCGAGAGGAGCTGGCCATTCGAACGCAGAGCTTAGGAGACGAACTAGAAAGGTATGCGCCGCCGCACTGTTCGTGAGGATGAAGGCCGACTCCTCATGTCCAGGAACGGGGTGCCTTATGACAGCCTAATTACAATTGTGAAAGCTGAGCCACGTTTTGGGGAGAACCAACAGGAGCTCTGGAACTCGCGCCCTTCAGGTCTCAGCACGTGATGTGATACGTCGCTGTCAACGCAGCTCGGCACCAAAACGCCATTGTGCTGCACCAATTCTTCAGCTCAGGCCACATCTTGCGAACGGCCTTCTATTCGGCATCACCTCGCGATTCGCCATTCTGCTCCTGAAGAAGAAGCAACGGTGCAGCATCTTTTAACGATCCGGGTGGCCGTCAAAGGACATGCAGAGACCATGGCCTGGGTAGTCTTTTAACGGTATCCTTCCAGAAATTCAGAACATCGGAAGTAATACCAGAAAAATAGTACCGGGAGAAATTTCGGTTTTCCAGCGAACTGGCATCGGCACAAAGAAATAGTGTGGCCCGACCTTCGCGCAGATTAGAGAAAATGATATCACATGGCAGCGCCTAATTGTGCGAATTCGGCCCAAAGGGCGCAAATTCTCCACGCCAAAATCAATCACAATACCTTGACTTCAATAACTTAACCCCAATTGTCCAACCAACCGCCGACTTCTCCCTGCCCGCATGTCTGCAGGTGGCGCAAGCAGGCGGAGCTGGCGGCCGTGGCCGTCATCGAGGCCAAGGGCGAGGTGATGGAGCGGCGGCGCGAGATCGACGTCACCAAGGACCGCATGGACCGCCTGGTGGACAAGCTGTACGCGGGCCGCGAGCACGGCATCGTGCTGCACGGCGCCCTGCAGGCCGCCCAGATGTACCACGGCCAGGCGCAGGCCCGCCTGCTGGCGTCCATGCAGAAGAGCTACTACCACGGCGTGCAGGCGGGCCTGCCCTGGGGGGGCACCATTGCCGGCGCCGGCGCCAAGCAGCTGCCGGCGCCGGCCCTCGAGGAGCAGGGCGGCGAGGCGAGGCGCTGGGGGAAGGGCAAGGCGGAGGGGCGGGGCCCCCGGGCCTTAGGGAACAGGCTGCCGCCGCTGTCCGCCAGGGGGCCTCAAGGCGGGGGCCTGCAGGGGGAGTACCCCGCCGTGCCTTCCCGGTATGCGCAGCGCGCCACTGCGCAGGCCCAGGCGCAGGGTGCGCAGGCCAAGCGGCAGCAGCGGCTGGCGCGACAGCGGTCCAAGGACAGGTTCGCTGGCCAGCGGGACAGGGCGTTCGCGGTCATGTCAAGGTGGGACTGAGGCCGGTGGTGGGGTCGCTATGCCTGCGGGGGCTGGGGGTGCTGTGCGGCTTGCGATTCTGGGCTGGGACAGGGCGGGATCCTGTACAAAAGGTGTGGCGAATGCGGGTGGGTACTCCCCTTCTGTGTGGAGGCTGGCGCACACGGCGTCGAGTGTCATGCGGTGTCCGCCCTCCTGAGAAGGCGGGCAAGTATCGTCGACAACCAGGGCGGATGGTTAGGGGCTCACTAGGCTTCCGTGCAGGACATGTTGCATGCAATTTTTCCATTTCCAGCCAAACTCCAACCAAGATCTCCAGAGGGAACGCAACAATTCCCAGGTCATCCACGGCCCACGATTCGGATCCACTCTTCCATTGCGCGGCGCACCATGCCTGATGCCATCTTGGGCTCGGACCACTCAGGGTAGAGCTTGGCGCCCGGGGTGCGGAGTCCATCACATAGGGATGTACGTCTCCGGCATGGAGACTCCGTTGAACGCGGCCACACTTGCTCTGCCAGGGTTTGCCGCTCTGTGTAAACGGGGAAGGCCTGGCGGTTTCAAGACAGCCTGTGCATTTCCACGTGGCCGCCCCCTCCCCTCTCGCCCTCACCATTGCTCTAGCTTGTTGCGTTGCTCGTAATGGTAGGTAACCTTTGGACTACTGGCAACAGTATGACAGAAACGCGCACAGCTCGACTCTGCACCATCCAGACACACAGCACGCAAATTGCAGATTACATGACGGTGCGCGTTTGTGTTGTACAACGTCGCATCACGCATGCCAACAGAGTTCCTCAAGGGCCACCATCCAGCATGCCACTGCATTCATTACCCTCCACACGACACGCACACATACACACACACGCATCCCATGAGTTGTTCAATGCCAGACGCCAGGCACTCGGCGTCGCAGAAGACTGCATCAACGCGCTCTGCAGAGAACACCGCGGCGAGCCCAGGCCGGTGCACAAAGTGCCATCCGAGACACAAGTCCCCAACAAGAACACGCAGGCTGAGGAGCCCGCCGCCGCCAGCACCTCGTCGTTCAGGCGCCAGGGGAGGGGTCCCCCCCAGGGTGACATTCCATACTGCTACAATTCAGACAACCCCAGACGCTCAATGAAACAATGCATGCGCACCGTCCTCTCTCCCCTCCTTATAGCAAAGGTGACGACTGTCACGACATTCCCCGCCTAATCACATGCCACAGCACACTCCCAAACACGTACACGCATATCCATTATCCGTCCCGGCAGGGGACGAGAGAACAGCAAACGCAAGCAAATACAACGCAGTGCAATCAGGTTATCCCGCCGGTTCCCAGACCCTCCACTCGCTAATGTACACAGCGCCCCAGCTCTACATCCGCTCTGCGCCTGCAGCAGCAGCAAGATCGCCAGATTGCACGGTGGCCGAGTTGTTGCCACCAATCAGAACAATGCCCCCAACCCCAGACTGAGAAAAGGCCCCAAGCAGCGCAGTTGTCCCACAGACACGCCGTTGGCGATGTCATGGTGTGGTGGACACCAGAACACTTGGGCCAATTAACGAAATAGCAAAATGGCACAGGGCCACAGCAGAGGCCCCCGTTTAGAATGGCTGATGGTGAGGCTCAATGTGGGTGAAATTGGTGTGGCGGAGGATGGGCGTCTTCCCCGTGCGGTGGGTCGACCACAGCTCCTGGAAATTCATCACGGCCTTCATGAGGCGCGTGACTTCCTGCACCAAGAGGACGACGGTTCGCCGGTAAGCCTTCAGCATTTGGACAAGCTGTTGTGTAAAGGAAAATTCATTTCCAAAGCTAGCCACAGATGCCGTCATTTCATTCAACTTTGCTCAACATGGACGGCTGGGCGCAGGACAGCCGCAGAGCGATCGAGAGCTATCACGTGGTTGGGGAGCAGAATCCAGGAAATTGGCAGTTTGCAATCGACACACAGCAGCTGCGCGGGCCCCCAGCCCAAAACACTGGAATGCCCAGTAACAACACTGCAACTGCCACACTGCAAGCTTATGCTTAACTGCAAGATCCCTCAAGGATGAGTGCCAGGGCCAACGGCAGCGACCATTGTTCCACATCCTCCCCTCTTCGTCAATATCTAATTCTCAGATGGACGACGCTGGCCCCCTTCAAAGGATGACAATACTGGTTGTGGACAACTTGGAGATCAACTAGAACGGGACAAAGACACAATGTCTTTTGGCATCTACCCACTCCCATGAACAAGCAGAAGACACTGCCACCACGCACCTCTTGCTTCTTCCTGACCTCATTGTGGAGCCTCCTGTTTTGGAAGACAAGGCCCACAACCATGGCTGACAGCACCGCCAGGCCGGCACCATAAGCCACCCCTTTCCAGTCCAAACTGGGCATTGCAACATCGGCCTAGCAAGCAACACACACCACACACGTCACTAAACGGAGCAAGCAAACTCATAACCAAGGGCACGGCAGCAACCCAAGGCTGGTGCGGAAATTCACCAAGTCACGGCATTGCAGGTGCCTGGGCTCGCTTATTCTCTTCAGGCAATGCCGGAAACAGACCTTCATGAACATGAAAGGGGTGCAAGGCCTCCATTCGGCCAATGGAATGACATTAAGAATGTCTCACATGTAGACATTCCAACTTGCCAAAGATAGATGTAAGCCTGCAATTCAGCCTACGAGCTCTCTAAACATGAAGTGCATTGGGCTCACCCACCCACTCATCCCAAGGAAACGAAGTTTCAAAGGACGTCCCAAGTGCAGCAGCATACGAAAAAGGAGCAAACACAAACTACACGGGGCACAACCGGTCATGCACACATACAGTAACACACTGCAAACATATTGCATCACGTCCTGCATGGCCACAATCTTGGAGACATCTGGAAGGCGCAGGTGGCACCGAAGCCTCTACATTCAGACAGCTAGCCTGGCAGCACAGCTCACCATGCTCAGCCAATGGGGCACCATTCCACTCGGCAGGAGGCCCATCGCCAGAGCTGTCCAGCGCTGAGCAATCTGGTGTACCCTGGGCCACATCCAGAACAACCCTCCAGCCAGGTCTGTGGCCACCTCAAGGGATTTCCCTTCTTCCTGTGTGGCAATGACCGGTGTGCATAAATGAACAAAGACAGGAGGGAAACAGGAGTAGGAATATACCCCTTGATGCACCAGTGTCTGTCACAAGCAGTTGATGCTATGAACATCAGGAGAACCCTGAGTTCTGCCCTGGCCCAAGGTACAACACTGGCAAACTGAACTAATGTTGACCACAGAAAGGCCAACACAATGCATTCTTGTCTGTTGACCACACTGGACTCGTGTGCCTGCCAAGCAGACCGCAATACTGTACAGCTATGACCATGTACATTGGTCATGCTAACAATACACAGATGTGAAAACAGCACATCGCAGACAGACTGGAGGCAAGGACAAAATCGTGGCTGTCAGCATTCCACTTGGTCTAGGAAGATGTGTCAAAATCGATCTTGTGGTGTTTGCATGCACAACTGACCGTCAGTGCAGCATCGCTTTCCTCCTTCACTGGCGCCTCAAGCTTGGGCAGCTCTTCCACTGCAGAGTTGGGCTGGATGCCACGTTGTGCGCATTTTGGGCTTTCAAACGACAACTCGCTGAAAGCTCCCTCAGTGGACTTTATGTCCTCGAAGCTATCCACGCCCGGCAGGGGGTTTGCCTTCAGCACCTGCCGATCGCGTCCACAGAGCGGACGATTACCACAGCCCAGAGCTGGAGAGTTCATGGAGACGATCGCAAAACTCGAGTAGAAGCAGAGCAGGTGCCAACAGTGACCAAAAACAGCGTGGGAAACAAGCTCCACCAGACAACACAGCATGCCAGAGATGCAAGTTGATGCTGCTGATGACACGGACCACTGAACAAGTGCCAGGGGAGACAGAATTGAGCGCGTAAAGTGGAAACGATGGGCTACACGTGAGTTCCATGCACTATCAGTTCAGCTGCGCACTGCGAAACCATTACCACCCAAGGTGACCACCCCGCATCCCGCACACCCCGCTCACTTCCCCTCCATACCTCCACCTCCTCCGCGCCGCACTCCGGCCAGTAGCTGCCGTCCAGAGACCCCTCCTGCGACATCTCCTGCAGGTCCACCATCGCCTCGCGGCTGTCCGGCTCCGACCTCGCGCTGCGGCCCCCCACGCTGCCCACCTCCTCCCCCGAGACGTACCCCTCCCCCTGCTGGCAGTCCCACGCCTCCAGGCCCTCGTCCGCGCCCTCTGACAGCACGGCCACCTCCAGCACCTCCTCGATGCCGAGGTCGCCAAAATGGCCGGAGGCGAGCGGCGTGCCGCAGGCGCTGCCGCTGGACACACTGAGGACTTGGGCCGGCTGGGGGGGCGCCAGCTGGCCGTCGTCGGTGGAGACGGGGAGGGGGGTGGCGCCGCGCGGCGGATAGTCCTGGCGGTCGCCCTGCCTCTCCGCCGCCTCCAGCGCCTCTATCTCCGCCAGTGCCCTGGCGTGCGCCTCCTGGAAGGCCTGCGGGGGGGGCAAATGGCGCGAGCGAGGTCACGCAGTGATCGAGCACTCGCCTGCTTCAGCGACAGATTGCTTTGAGTGCTCGGGCCCGGTTGCGCCTCCCGCGGGGGAGAAGTGCTGCTGTACAGAGTTTCGGGATGCGGGACACTCACCGGTGTCAGGTCGGTCTGGCCCCCTGCGTGATCGCTGAATCCGAACTCACTGCCCGGGATCGTCCTGCGGCCGGGTGAAACAATCCACCCTCTCAGAATGACACCTTCACAACAACGCGGCGAAAATTCTCCCCAGTGGCCCACGCGCGAGCCTCGTGGGTTGCAGCAGCAGGCGATGTGAGAGGTGCGCGGATTTGGAGGACTGGAAAACAGCCGGAGCGGCCGTCGAGGGGGCCCGGCCGTCCGCGGCAGGCAGCAGCGCGCACCTGGCGGGGCTGCCGCACTCCGATGCGTGCGAGCAGCCAACGATCTCCCACCCGCCGGACCGCCTGCCCGCACTGCCGCCCTCCTCGCGCTCGGCCGCCGTGCGCTGCTGCCGCACCTTGAAGTCGAGCACGTCTCGCCACACCTCAGCCTGCTGGTCCACCTGCGAGGTCGGAGCGACGAGTAGATTTTACGTCAAAGGGTCCGCTGCTGAGCGCCTGAGGGGATGCCGCGGAGGCCAGGCATCCCCGCTTGAAAACGGCAGCGCCATGTATGCGAGAAAAACAAAGGTGGGGGAGTTGGTGGATGTTAGGCGAACTGGGGGGGGACAAGAGGCCTCACCTTGACGACGGCAGGCAGGTCCTGCCAGTCCGTGGCGGGCTCCTGTGCAGCCTGTTCTGCCATGGTGGGCGGCCTGGCAGCACTCAGAGACTCAGAGATGGCAGGCCGGGGGGGGGGGCCATCCGGGAGCTGGGTCGCAGCATCTCCCCTTGGGGCCCGGGCAGCGCCGGTTGCCTCGACACCAGGGAGGGCGGGCGGAGGGGGCGGGGGGGGGCGGGGGGGTGAGGGGGGGTCCAGGGCGCTAGGCGGAGGGAGAGCCGGGAGAGGCACCTGAAAGGCAGCCTCAAGGAGCTGCCGTTCCGCAAATCGAGCCGGCGAGAGGATCAACACCGGAACCGGGTGCGAAATCCCGACCACAATGCCTACAAGAGTGCGCGTGTCCGTGCTGCTTGGGCGCGAGCAGACCAGGTAGGAGGACGCCGCGAAAGGCGGCAACCCTCTCAAAGGCGCGTCCCCGGCTCCAAAATGTCCGCGAGGAGGAGGGGGGGCGCGCGGCACGCCGGACACGTGTCTGCCGAGGGCCCCGTGCGCGTCGCCGCATCCTCCGCGAAGCAGGCCGCGCGGGGCCGGGGCGGCCAACGGCCCCATCAGAGCCGGCATCGCCCGACAGAGGACCCACCTGGACGCGGCGGCGGTGGAGGGTTGTCGACTGCCTTGCCCGCGGCCGGCGCAGCCCACGTGAGTGCGCGACACCGCGGGATGGGTGGGGGAGGGGTGCGAGTGTCCCAACTAGCACAGCACGGCGCATTGAAAAGATCGGGACCACGTGCCTGATGTCAACTCGGCACCGCTTCGTTTGCGCAGCTTCGAACGTCTGCAGTTTCTTCACAGTTTCCCAATCATGTTCCCGCTGTTCACGTGCCAGAGGTCAGCCACGGCATAAAATTACTCCCCGTTCTTGTTTGTTGAGATTCGGTTCTTGCTTTCGGACACCCTAAACCCCAACCACTGATCCACGCACCGGGACTGGCCTTGTCAGCGGAACAAGAACCGAATCTCAGCAAACAAGCACGGGGAGTAATATATTCTCGCCGCTGAGGGCGTTGCAGCTGGACGTGCCGGGTGGAATTCTAAGCCAGTCCCCCCTCTCCCCTCCCCCGCGCCATGTTGATTGGCGGGCCACGCGCAAGACCGATTCCGATCGATCTTCGCCAGATTGAACGCAGTGTGAGCGAGTGCAGCTGCAACACCGTTGAGCCTGTGGTGGACCACGTTGGCGTTGGCAGGTACCCTTGAAAGCGCCCTGCGAGCTGTTGCCAGCAACTCGCGGGAAGCGGATGGGGTGCCGACACGCAGGGCACTGACCAATAGCACGGTTTCCGGTGTCGCCCCCGGCACAGGGTGTTAGGACCTAACCTGGAGGCGATGGTGGTAAGATTCCGCCGAGTTTGGTGACTGACTTAATACGAAGCCGTGATTGACCTTGACGCGTGCACGCTCATTTTCTTGCGAACAATCTTGTGGATTCTCCGCTTGGGGCGGCTTCCCGATTTCCCTTTCCCGTGTGTTCACGGGTTGACATTCTCTTGGGGATACTGGCGCCAAAAATCCGCATTCTGACGCCCTTCCATTTTCTCAGCAAGAAGCCCATCATCGACTCCAGTTTGTCATGTCAAAACCATGAACGGTCCTCATCGAGCTTGGGCACCAAATCTCGCACACGGCACCGCCATAGAGGGGTGTCGGCGGGACGCAGCAGAAACGTGCACTGCAGATATGTCGGACGCTCGAGGCCGGCATGGGCGACGGCCAACCTCCATGACGTTACCTCGCAAGTAACCTCTCATCACCCAACAAGGAAGCAAGCCGTTCTTGCCCCTGCGGTCTCCACGCAATGTGCTGTGGTATCTGCAGTGTTGCGGAAAGGTCCTGTTCGCTCGAACAAAAGTGCTCAAAGCGTGTGTTTTGGACAGAATGGGGCAAACCAAGGTCCAGTATGGTGCAGTGGGCACTCAGCACTGGTTCAAGAATGCTTCACTGCCTTTCTTGGACCGCACTTCGAGCCACAATCTGCATTTGCCAGTCACTGAATGCCACAGTGGCCCATGCTTGTGTTGCCTTTGAAGTACATGCATGTAAAGTGAATCCACCCAGAGTAATGCAAATGCTGCTGACGACAGTGAATTACACAAACCCACACACATGTCGTGAAGTTTTCAAGTTCATGGCCAAGCACTATGTGCTCGAAGGTTGACGCACCGGCTCTCAAAGAAAGAGCACAATACATTCCAAGATCAGCTTCTCCACCCTCCCCCCAGCACCACTCCACCCGCCTCAAACCAGGGGTACTGAGGGTACTGAGCAAGGTGCACAAGTCCACAAGGGAACCCGTAAAAGAACACACAACAATGGACAGTGCGAATTGGCAAACAATGGGCATTAAGGGGGGTATCTGTTGCCTGTTTCTTCGCATGTGTGGTGACCGACGCCTCCAGAGAGTGCAAGCAACATCGGGGCGGCCGAGCAGCAACAAACCTCTGCATATTATTCATAGTGAGAAGGTCAGAGGGACCTCATCAGTTGGTTACGCTGCAACTCACATTTGAGTTCCCATCTGCAGGACCGAACAGCATTGCTGGCGCCAATCGCATGCTTCCTATGCTAATACTACCCTCGTGCATCCATTTCTGTTTTTTTTTCAGTCTTTCCTGCAAAGTGGCTACCAATGCACATCTGTCAAGTCTCATCCACAGAGTCCACCCCTTTCCAAAGAAGAAACACCAGGTACCCATCTGGAATATATGCACACTTGTCAGATTTATCCAATCTGGTGCACTGGCCACCCCAAGTGACTGGGTGTGCAGCCATGTTGACAATGTTTGTGTGCTTTCAGTCGACTTCGCTCTTGATCCTCCAGAGATGATCTGGGCTGCAGCCATCACCCTCCACCTTCACCATCGCGGCCACAGCTTCGTCAGCGAGCCAATGGACCCGCGGTCTCAGATCTGTGGCTTTCTCAATCTCATCTTGCAACAATAGTACCTTGTGTTCTGCTTGACCCTGAACAGCACCAGATAGCCCGCACAATTTCACAACGGAGCAGGCAAAGGGGACACATCGACAAAACAGATCCACACCCCAATGATGGACTTCATTATTGCAGCGACACCACTGATGCTGCGTACAGGCCCCAATCAAAACCCAGATTTGCATGACACAAAGATATCAATAATGGAGAGTAGGCACCAACATGGAATTGCCCATTCTGCTGCAGGGACACCATTCCTTTGGATGAGTTGCTCAAAATACAACAGGGTGACACCTCTCAATGCGACTCCTTTACATCAATGCTGGGAGTCACAAGTTCGGCGGATATTAGTCTCAATGTGAGGGTCACCTTATCCTTACTCCCTCTTTCCAGCTAAGATTTGAAATCCATAGCAAGTTCCATTGTCCCTTGAATACAAGGCATTCAGGATCCAACTTATGTGCTTCATGATTTCGTTGAAGCAGATTGCAGTCAGGCTGCTGATGTACTGGTGCTCAAGGTGAACCCCACACAGTCACAGGTGTGACGGCATGTACCACAGGCTCTCAGGTAAGGGAGTGGCACCAAATCTCACTTTATGGCCAACTAGTGTCTGCTGCCACATTGGAAGCTGGCAGACCATTTTTTCTTGCCAAGACAACATGCCACAAGGCACACGAACATTCACCACTGCTCATCTCCATAATACGACAGCTAGTGTGACAAAGAAGCGCAGTGAGATTCCAAACCAATGTGAATTCCATGGAGTGTCAGCAGTGCCGGCAATGCGAACCTGCACTACAGCATGGATTGCTGACACCAGCATCACCACTAACATTGCAGCCTCATGCTACTCTTGAACCCCCGAACAAATACTCTAATATCAAGGGCTGCAACTCGCAACTTGCAACGTGGACCTCCTTACAGTCCAGCAAATGAGAATTTTCCCAAACTGCAACAACACAGCAACCAGCTGCAGGCCGCTGTCAGTGGTCAGTACAAACATGTCCAGAACAGGTGCAGCTTGTCCATCTGGGATCACTTCAACCTATAATCCAATATAATGGACTGTGAATCTGCAGGAAAGCAGCCACTGCTCACAACAGGGCTCAGTGCTGGAACATGGCTTGCCCTTCACACAATGTCCCATTACCAAGAGTCCATTCCCTTCAATATTTCCAAGAGCTCTCAAGTACTGCTCCACGGTTGTGTCTGAATCATGGTAGGGACGGATCTGCGCAATGAGGACAGCCACAAGTAAGTCCAGACCTTGTGGAACAGTACAAAAGATGCCCCAATTGGGCGCAATGGGACAGGGATCAAACCAGTGTCTGCGTTTCCTGCATTGTTATTGGCAGTCTGCGAAGCAATTTGCATACACTGGCGTCTTCCTCACCTGCTGTAGCAAGGAAAGGGGTAGAAAGTTATGAATGCTGAAAAACATGTGAAGATCACACAGAAAATGCACACTTCCTGCAAGCAAGGCATCTAGCTACGGTGCTGCACAAAACTGCTGCCATTGCAGCAATTGGGAACAAGCAGGGATGAGCATGCCAACGATGACAGATTACCACAATGAAGATGGGGGTTTGCTGCATACCTCTACTTCGATGCTTGTCGAATTTCCCAAGTTTATGATGTCACCATTCTTGAGAGCGATGGGCTCCTCTGCAATTCAACGTGGGGAAAAATGTCAACTCCAAAGCAGGGATCAGAAGTCGTTGACAATGGGCTTCAATCCGTCACAAAATGGACTCCTCCCGTACTTGCGACGGAAGTTTGCATGCTTTTTTTCTATTGTACACTAGGTGCTGGACCAATTGCCACGCATCACAACGCAGTTTGTTGGGAGAGGTCTTGCGACTCTTCCACAACTTGTCTCCGAACCTTGCACATCCACATGGTTGAGTGTCGTCCCATTTGTGCTGGAAAGATCGACCAGCACCCAGTCGCGACCGCTCCATGAGATCCTCGCGTGTTGCATCGACACAGAGTCATCCTGCACCGACAGCTTGTGCCTCTTGGATCTGCCCAGCGTCAGAGACTGCGGAGTGAGGCCCCTCTTGGTGCGCCGCACAAGCTCAGCGCTGTCGAAGACCGTGCCCTTGCTGGGGCCATCGGCGACGGTCAGCTTGAGTTCGTGCGGCTGAAAGCAGGCAGTGGGCGCCTCCTGCAAGGCCACACACTCCAAAGCTCATACCTTGGGTATCGCCATTATCCATCGCCAAGTTTGGGCCTCCGAGCACAGCAGGACGAGAGCCGTGCCGAGTTGCTTCAAACAACGCACTGCCGTGCCGTCGCAACTCAAAAATGCCCACTCTCCTACCCAGAGAGCTCCAAAAAACCCAAGGAAGCTGACAATGCATGCGGCCCTCCGCGGATTCGGGAAAACATGCGGACGCGGGGCGCCAAAGATGGCAAGGATTTCTGGTACATTCTCTGCGCCATTTTGAACGGGAGGCCCCGACTGGACGGGCGTGCCACCGTGGGGAACCCCATGCGTGCAATCGGCCAACTTGAATGGCCATCAGGCGCGCAATGCCCGCTCCTTGAAGCGGCCAGCCTCCGCCCGAGCTACCTCCCTGTGGGGATTCCGCGATTTCTTTCCGGCTTGAAAATTCCACCTCACTGGACCTGGTCGGCGGGGGAAAGCCTCAGCAGGGAGAAATCTGACGGCTGGGAGCCCGTGGGAGGGTCCTTGATCGCCGCGCTGTGTCGCCTCACCTGAGCGGCCTTCCGCGTGGTGGCCCTTGTCCTTGTCATCCCGTCGACGCGTGGGCCAGTGCTCCCGGCGTCGGGGACCCCTTGCTTCCACAACACCCGTTTCCTGAGTTTCTGGCACCTTTGGTGGCAATCTGGCGCCATCTGTCCACCCGCAGCAGGCGTGCCAAGGGCATTGGGGTGAATATACTTCCGCTGTCCGCAATTAAATGGCGCCTTTTGTTCGAGAGGCCAAATTCACATCACTCACTTATCTACTCCTTACAAGTATTGGAGAACACCCAGTAAACTCACATGTGATGCTCTAGTCAACATTTCTAGTAAATATATTAAGCATTGTGCAAATGGCAGTACTTTGAATCTGCACAATGCTGGCGCAATGTGTGAGAATGTCAAGGTCGCGGCTGGGGACCACAAAAACGATCCCCGAAGAGGGTGGCCTTGCACTTGACGTTGTGCACCAAGTAATGGATATCTGCTGCCAACGTCGAAACACCAGTTTGGAGCCGTCCCTGGGACGAGGCGAGACCGTGGTGCCTGGCCTAAAACCACGGAACGTCGATTCCCACCGTTGTTTTCACAGTCCAACCAGATGAACGTCCAAAGATCGGAAATCCGAAAATCGGCCCGAGTTCACCACCGAGGTTCCTTTCAGCGCACTCCGCCATCGCTGACGGGGCAAAGCCATTGTGAAAAGCTTGCAAGGAAGGTGTTCTCGTCCTTCTGCTCAGGAGCAGAAAGATCACCAGAAATGGCTGCCGCAGGCACTCCCTCTGCAGAGGGCTGCAGGGGCTGTTCACGACGTTGTGAAAGACGCCACCGTCTGAAACTTCAGATGCTATCCACGCAGGATACTGAAACGCTAACCGAACAGACACTAAGGGCCCCCATCTGCCCATCGAAACCTTGCACGGCACAGATTACTGGAAGTTCATGGCTTTTTGAAAGGCATGTAGGTGCTCCGGGAATGCCATTTGCCTGCAAACCGCGACGGAACAGAGCGTCTTTAGCACACGCAGCGATAGGATGGCGGGTCTCAGGATACCTAAGAACCTACTAAAAGGGCTGGATCCTACACATGCCTGTGTGTCGCTGCACACGATGGGTCGAAGTCCCGGGCGTCGGCGATGGCGCCAAACAGATCCCGGTGCCGTTGGGCACCATCGTTGGGCTGGAACCCGATTTGCGTGAGCAACTCTACTTTCACTGCGCTATGGAGTCCATAGGAGAGGCCGCACTCGAGAGTGGGACGTTCCTAGACGGGGAACGCCACTGCCGGCCAGGCCAGCTCATCCCTGCGATGGGTCAAATTAAGGTCTAGACGGGGCAATATTTGATGGCCTACCAAATTTGTAGCGTGATTCGTCCACAGAAAGTTGACAGCATTCAAAGAACTCATAGATGGTGTTGCGCTCTGATTTTCAACATGAAATAACGAGGTTTTACATTAATTCGGCCTGAAAATCAAAAGGCGACATTTATTTCCGGATGGAGGAAGTACTAGTTAGTTCCTCTGTCTTTCCGTAAGCATCGTTCTTCTTCCGCTGACAAAACCAACGCCGATCAGTGGGTCAGTGGTTTAGAGTATAGGGTGTCCGAAACAAGAAGGGATCTTCACCCAAAAGGCAGAGTGACTAATTTTATGTTGGCATTGGACTTGGGCCTAATGGTCCCACGTCAATTTTCGTTCTTGGTGTTCTTTTGCGCAATACCTTTTCTGTGCTTCTTTAGGAGCACAGTAACGCACAATTTTTTTTTCCTGATTCCAGCATCTTGAGCACACCTAGGACATACTTCCTCCATCCCAAAAGGTTTGGCAATTATGGTTTGGGGGCTCGGACAAAACTATCAAAACACCTCCGATTGTGGTCAATTCTGACCAGATGGAAGACTTTGTATCAATTTCGACCCACCGCATTTTGGATCAATCGGCTAAGTACTGAGGGAGGTGCGATCCTCAAAACACAAGCATGTCAGATCTGACATGGTCTAGACCAAATGTCATCGAAGTCTCAAGGTGGCATAGAGATAGGTGGGTTTGTCAATTACACCATTTGGGAGGGGCTAGCAATGCTAGCCCAGCATTCTGCCTTCAACTTTGTTGTAGGCAGAGGTGTGTGGGCAGCCCTCACTTCTCCCCTATGTAAAGGGGCTCCAAGTCACCATGTTCAGGGCCACTATTCAGCTACCTGGAGATTTGGTCCTACATGCTGGTGTTTGAGGGGCTACATCTCCCTCAGTACTGAGCTGACTCATTTAAAAACTTGGTGGGTAAGCATTCACACAATTTTTAATATCTGGTAAGAATTTGAGCGCCATTAGAGATGTTCTGATAGGGTTTTCAAGGCCACAATTGCCATAATTGCCATAATTGTTTTACCCTTTGGGATGGAGGAATACTAATATTTAATAATGATAACTCGTGCCATAATAAAGGTCGTCTAATACTTCCAACGCACCGTGGAAAGTGCTCCAATTGGTTCACATCAGTTGTGGAAGTGCTCCAAGCACTATAGTTTCTGAGCCACCTCGAGGCTCGCATTACAGTTTTGTCCGACATGCCCATGTTTGGGGGTTTGACATCTCGATAAGCACTTAGCCGATTAACCCCCAAATTTGGTGGGCCACAATTGATACACAAGTTGACATCTGGTCAAAATTTGAGAGCTGTTGAAGGTATTTTGATGTTTTTTTCCAAGGCCGCAAACCATGACTGCCAAACGTTTTTGGGACAGAGGAAGTACTATTTTGGAATCCAAAAGCAAACAATCGTTGCGGCTGTGTGTTGTTCCCACAAATGACTTGAAGTGTACAGACGACGCCGTTGGCAGCATGATGTACCATCAACGCCACATTCAGTGCATACGTTTAGCCTTGTAGGGCAAAGGCAGCCACATCAATTCGAATGAAAACACCAGTGACGGCTTGAGTGCGTTGAACACGCGACAGTTTACAAAGGTTCCCACACGTGAGGGCAATGTACAACATGGTTGCATCTGTGTCATTGGCCGCTTTTCGTCATCAAGCATGCAACAGCAAAACATGGTGCTGGGTTGATGTACCTTTTGGAAAGATGCCCTGAAAGGTCTTCGTGTGAACAGTTTGGTGTCAACTCGGACGCCATTGTGTAGGGCTTTGTCCAAATAAGTGATCTTGCAAAGTGGCAGTACACCGTCTAACATGTCCATGCTGGGGCCCTGAACGCAACCCTTATCTGTATCTGTAGCAGTGAGGGCAGCAAGAAAGCTACTGCAGAGGTAATCAAGCAACGGTCAAGGTGCCGCACATCAGACTGGAAGCAGGAGGAGCAGGAACAGGAGGTGCGACTTGAGTTGGCCTTTGATGTTGGGAAAACACTAACCCCTGCTCATTTGCAACAACAAATGTCTTAGCAATACGAAAATCAGCGCACCGACCTCCCTTTACCAGCACTGACACATGCACAGTGCGTGACACTGACACTGGACTGGGCCCACGCTCTGTCCACAGGCAACAGGAATCCAAGAATGCAGTGAGCAAACGCATCTTAAATAAAAACAAAAAGCATGAAATTTGCCACAGCACTACCAGAAGTGCACCGTTGATTGGTGCATGGCTGGTGCCTCAATTGCAGTGTTCCCATATCCAAAGTACAGCCATATCCATCTTGCAACGGACGACCGTTCCAGCGGGGTTCGCTACACAATGACGACCTCAGGATGGGCTCAAGAGCTCTCTGCAAGCACTCACCAACCCACTGGGGGAACTACTTAAGGCTTGTCCTTCCTTGATCTCAACCTTGTGACTCCAATAGGCTCCACCTCGTCACTGGGCGCTTTTCTGACAAACTGCGACCACTGCTTTGGCATGAGGGTGGCCAGCAGCACAGCGTCTGCATCCAACTTGAGGCCTGTCTCAAGGGACACCGTCTCGTACAGTGTCTGTTGCAGGGCCTCGCGGGCCTTCTCCAATTTAGGTAGAAGTGCATTCACCACTGCCTGCGCTTCGTCCTCCGCTAGCCAGAGGTGGTTCAGCACTTCTGGGAAGCCGCCTGCATGGCAAATGCACAGTGGCGCTCACAGTGATACTGACAGAATCCTCCTTGCCTCTTGCGACATGAAAGCTGACTTCGCCTAGCAAACAGAAGGCCGAGCGTCTCGTTACAATGGAATAATGCACAAATAGCCTTGATGTTGTTGTGGATTCACCACGTTTTGGATATTTGCAATCGGCAGGTAGTTGGAGAAACGAAACAGTGATTTTCTCCTGCTACCAATTGTCCTCTCTGTTGAGAGTACCAATGCTGCAATGGGTGTTGATATACACGTGTCAACAGGCTGCACAGTGACCACCTTAGTCCAAAGGAAGCTGTGTGAGACTTCACTTTCGTTAAGTATCCCATGCCAAACCGAAGAACCACACAGCAGCACAACGCAACTGACTCCAGCCCTCTTGTACTACAGGGCATGCCCTGCAGCCACTGGACCACCACCCTGCAGTCACGCAATTCGCGGGTTGCAAGCATGGACTGCTGGAATGCGAATGGGAAAGGTGCAGGAAACTGCTCCATCCACCATCAACTTTGTAATCTGGAGCAATTCGAAGCCACCTACCTTCAACACTTGCCAAAACGTCAGACAACTTGTCTGTGAGAATTTCCCGCAGCTCTGAAACTTCCTTGTGTACCTCACTGGTTTTCTCTTTCGAGTGCAGAGATCGCACAGCGCGTCCAAACATGCCAGAAAGGACAAACTGAATTTGGTCAAACATCAAGCCAGAGGACAGTTCGGCCAGAAGCCAGTCGTAGATCTTCTCTGCCTCTTCAGGTTGATTCCAAAACACGTGTTGCAGCAGCAAGCAATCGATTTGAGAGACAGAGTCCCGGCCATCAGTAAAGGCAGCCACCTGCAACAGACACAGGACCATGAATGGCAGAAAGGAAACATCCAGGTGATAACCGTAGACAACAAAGAAGGACAAGCTAAAAGTCGCTCCAGAAGCAGAGCTACTTGACCAAAAGAGAATATCGTTCCTAGTTCTGCAGGAGTTTTGGATGGCATGCAAGATTGGGACATCAAAGAAACAGCTTGAAACAAGTCCCCCAAGGCCACCTAGTGGCTGCACAGGCAATACACTGTCCTTGTGCAGCCCCGCACTGAATAAGGAACTTTGCACTTGACCACAGAAAAGGCAGGCACAGTGACATCACCTGCATCATGTTCAGCGCCTTTACCATACGCCGATCTGAAACATATATTGGCGGCTCGCAGCTGTCCTGCAGCCACATCCTGAGATCAGCCAGTAGGTCAATGACCTCCTTTGGGACGCTGACAGTACACGCCTTTTCCTTTGCGATACTGAAATCCTTAGTGGTCAATGTCAGGCTCTCATCAATGGAGTTTCCTGGTTGACCAGCCTCGTCCAGGTAGACCCCGTTGGAGGTCATGGCCGTTGTGGAAAGAAGGTCGACCAGACCTGGCGAACAAGAACATCCATGAAGGCAGAACCCATGCTTGAAGGAGTGAATTCAATCTTTTAGATTTGTGACAAGTGAGCATGACTTCCCACTCAATGCCAGGACAACCACCAGGAGATGAAGAAGAGGGAATGCAAAAGTTGAATCATTCTCGTTTGCAAAACTCTAATTAACCCACAGATGGCTCCTGGAAAGCTCACATGTATGTTCTTTGAGAATCTTGCAGGCGTCTTGCAGAAAGAGTTCCAACATGATTGTTCAGCAGGTGGGATGCCCCTCTGCATGATATGTTAACCTTTTCGTCACAAGTAATCTTTGGTTCTATGGATATTGTGCTGATGGTGCAGGCACTATGAAAGACAATCTTGACATAACAACCAGAAGGAAACGAGATTGCCTTGTTGTCCTCACCTCCTGCCGAGACTTGCTTCACTTCTCTCCTCACCAAGAAGCGATCATACAGGGCATTAAGCTCCTCACTCTCAGGCAGCTCATTGGAAGCCCCGACAAGACATACAAGGGGCACAGGCACACGAGAGGGCCCATTGTCAAACAGCCGTTCGTTCAACACTGTCAGCAGGGTGTTGAGGATAGCAGAGTTTGCCTTGAAGATCTCATCAATGAATGCAACCGTGGCCTCAGGGAGGTAGCCCTCTGTCTTCCTTATGTACCTATCTTCCTCAAGCTCCCGCATTGACAATGGGCCAAACAGCTCCTGTCTTTCACAGTACACACACTTGTCACCTCTCCAATGCCGATCAACCCAGAATTGATGCCTGCTCACTGCGCACTCCCCCATTTTGCCTTTTGCGCAAGGTAGTTTCTGATCGTGGTTGGCATAAAGCTTATTGCAGAAATGATCCACGACATTGCAAATGCCAACAACAAGCATGGATTACTCCCCTCCATATGAGAAGCTGTTGATTATCTTCTGGTATCTGCACTACACCTGTGGGTAAAGTGGCTACAAACTACTGATGCAGCAAAGGGCAATGACCACCCAGCCAGTTGACCACCCAGTTGGGTGGTGCAAAGCTCTGCCTGGAGGAGTGACAACATACCTCAGGAACTGAGAACCGTGTCAGCAGGCGTTCAAAAAAAGCACCCTTGCAAAGAAATGATAGCCGCCTTCCAAGTTCACTCTTGGCGGTTCCTGGAGGTCCGATGTACAGAACATGTTCTCCACTCAATGCAGCCAACAGGAGTAACCGCACCTGCAAATGGGCACATCACCAACAGCCATACTGAACAGTTCTTTTAGAGAGTGACCAGAACTACCATCAAGACGTTGACACTGTTCACTTGCAATCAGTCCATGTTAACCTCCTGCTAATGCTACAAAGTGTTGCATTGTGCTTCTTCTGCCGTCAGAAATTCAGCACAATCTGCTGCAGTGTTGCAATGTGCATCGCAAAATAAACATCTGTCTCGTGGACGGTGTTTATTGCAATTAATGTCTTCTTCTCATTCAACAGACACATATCTGCCCAACCAAGTCCAGAGCCCAACGCTGGGACATTGTGATGTGTGGATCGACAGCGGCATTTCCCTTGGCCACCTGCACATTTTGGCCATCTTGCATGGTCCTTTGACCGAAGACAGCATTCATTGACGATTCACCTTCAAAGATCATGACACCCCGTTTTATCTGTTACCCATGCTCATATTCAAGGTCTGATAAAGACAGCTGATGAGCAGCTCCAACGTGTTTTTGCAATATCCGTGTGGGCCTCTGGCAGCACCTCACCTCCGTGTCACGCTCCACCAGCCCATCCTGCATCGCCCCAATTGCCCCTTTTATTCTTTCCGTAAACTCCCCATCAGTGCTCTTCCCTTGTTGTGACACCTTCCTCGCCTTATCATGGGCTTCTTCCATCACGACCTCCATCGCTGCTTTGCACTGATTCCTGAGGTTCTCACTCTGCCAAAGCACAGAAGGAGGCATGTGTTGAACAACATTTGCCAAACTGTTGCAAAGGGACTGCCCTGTGGCTGCAAAGCGATGTCAGATACAGTTGCATCTCCATTGCTCTGCAAGACTGTTGCTTAGCTCCCTGGACTCCAAAAGTCCAGAAAAGGGGTACATGAAGCAAATTGTGGGCAGCACACACTAGTTTGACTTGCAACAACAAACTAGTTTCCATCGTACATGCCCATAGTTCAGTCGCCCAAATCAGAGGACCTGAACATGTAGGGACACAGATGTCTCAGCATTGCCCTCATTGTGCAGGCTCTTGTGTCCATCTTCGAGTTTGTGCAAACAACCAATGAGAGAACCCTGGGTAGTGAATACTACATAGCTGCATTGCCATATTGCACTTCTGAGGCACTGGCCGAATGACAGCTAGAATGGACATTATTGTAAATTTTCTGCATCCCGCAGCACAGCAAATGGCCAGTAAGACATAGCATCCCATTTGCATTCATGTGTATGAATGTTTTGCTTCGTGCCCTTCACACAGTACAAAAATATGCCCAAATTCATCTGAACAAATTGGGAGCAAAATACAGTGCAAGGCAGCCATCTCAGATTCATGCATAGAACAGTCTTCTAGTGAATCATTGCCTTCTTATGCTTGACTGTAATACATTCGCCAGAGCCGACACTCCCTGGCCGTGCAGAAGGTTGTGTGTTACCACGATTCATGTGGTGTTGCTGCCAGCTGGCATGGCAGTGTCTCAGTGTGCTTGCCTCTCCACCAGGCTCATGTCAAGTCAGCAGTGCATGGGCCCTTGCCAGTTGGATCAATGGTGTCCGATCAACAACCATTGGTGTCACTACACATCCATGCCGGCCGTGATCAAATATTCTACCAGAGCAACTGCATCGCTTATTGACATGTGGCCATGTAGTTGAGGCATTCAGTGACGATGTCTGACAACGGAACACGGCTAAAGACAAGTTCTACTGCAGCCTTAGAGTAGCTCCCGTTCAATGAATACAAAGATTCCAACTGCTGATAATTACCTTCGGGTAGGCACTGCAACAATGCATATCAATTCTGCACCACACCCATTCCATTATTGCCAGTGAATAGAATGCTTACGTTGTTCGCACAGAGGGGCTGACCACTCTTGGCAACGATCATTCAACTGTGCTACAAGGTTTTTGTCTTCCTGTGCAACCAGATGGAGTGAGGAGCTAAGGGCTATTGGGGATAACGCGCATGTGCGTATCTAGGTGCCCTATCATGAGTAAGGACACTGTTTGCCCAGAAACTACAGATGTACTCCAAGGTAACCTCCACCGCAGGCCGACCCATGAACACCGTTCCACCCCTCCGCCCTCGCCTCTCCAGTGTGCACACACCTCTGTCAGCACCTTGTTGTCAGACGCAGTGGCAGCCTCCCCCGAAAAATCTGCCGCCATCAACTTTCCTACACCACAAGCGCAAAAAGCTTCATCTCCGCGCTCGCCGTCCTCTGCAAATTCGTCGTCCAGAACCTCGTCACAGCCACATTCTGCCCAATCTTGCCACCAACTCCCATTCAGTGATCGATGAACTGAATTCTCCAGGAAACAACCAGCTCCTGCCCCAGTTCTCACGGCTACTTTCCGTTTAGCGATGGTGCCCGAGCGACGGCCACCAGTGCAGTCAATGTCCAAACCCCAGGCGCTCACCCGTCAAGTGGAGGGCATCCGCATCCGGGCAATCCGGCCTCCGCGGGGCGCGCCCAGCGCAGCGGGAGTGCAATCGGACCACGCCGTGCGCGCCCAGGGTCCCGCAGCGGTGGGCCTGATACCACACATGCCTCTTGAGGGCCATTCTCGCGGGCCTCTCGGCGATGCCCGCCAGGCATCGACGAACGGACAACCGCCCAATGGCGTGGGGAAACCAAGGAGTCATCCTGCACGGCACACGCTCGCACACAGAGGGATCCTACCACTACATCCATGTCCTGGATGCCAGGACCAAAATTAGGTCCTCTGCCGCGGCCACAACCCGGCTTGGGGCAGCTCCTCCCTTTCCAACAAGCGAACGGGAGCGGTGGCCACAATCGCCTCTGTGGACAAGCCGAGCCAGGCGTCCCTTCCCCAGCGCGGTTGCGCCCACAGGCTTTGACGAGTTGCGAGGACGAGCCGTAGAGCGGGAACGGAAGGAGGCCGCTCTGGAGCCCAGTCCCGGGCACCCGCGCCGACCGAGGGTGCGCAAGAAGCAGAGGGCCGCATGAGGCGGTGAACGCGTCGCGCCGCCTGTCACAGGGCCCATGAAATGACGTTTGGAGGCGCAGCTCGCCGCGTGGACGCCCCATTCGGCGGGATCGCCGAGCTGCCCCCGCGTCGCCGAGTCGTCAGTTGCCGGGCATTCCCGTGGCGGGAGCGAACCGGCCTGCGGCCGAGATTCGGAGATGCGGCACTGCGCTCGGCCACGGGACCCCGCCTCGCCAAGCCGGCCACGGAAGACGTCGAAGACGCCGCCGAGGCGCCGCTTGACGTGCGGGAGGCCCCCATCGGGGTCCAATCGGATCAGCCAAATGGGACCGAGCCGGACGTCAGCCACGGATCGCCAGAGGATGGAAGCGGCCCCAAGGGGGAGTCGGAAAGGCTGGGCATGGGGATGCTGGTCCTGGTGGCGGTGCTGTGGGGCACGTACTCGCCCGCACTGAAGTTCATCTACAACTCCCCCGGCGCCCCCACACCGGCGGTCCTGTCGGCGATCAAGGCCGCGATGTCGTCCGCGTTCCTGTTTGCCGGGACGTTGATCGGCCGGGCTGGTGGAGGGGGCTCCGGAGATGAGCCGCTGCGGAAGAAGAACCTCTCCGGTGCAAGAATGCGGGTGGAAGGGGAACAGGAGGAGGAGGAACAGGGGGATGCGAAACTGGGCGGAAATGGGGCCCACGGGAGGCTGGGTGGGCGGACTGGGGCGCTGTGGGCGGCGGGGGCGGAGCTCGGCTTCTGGAACTTCCTGGCGACGGCGTGCCAGGCCGTCGGGATACAGTACACCGAGGCGATCCGGGCGGCATTTCTGATACAGGCGACCGCCGTCTTCACCCCCTTGGTCGCCAGATTTGCAGGTGGGACGGGATGCGGGGTGCCTTGGCCTGCAAACGGTCCTTGAGTTGAGTGATTTGAAATGTGTGGCTGCGCGAGCTGTGCTGCCTTGCGGATGGCGACCAAGAAAAGCCCTGCGCGGAATAGCATTGTTGACAGTCACGGGTGCTATTGTGAACGACAACAGATGGCATCTCGATTGGTAATGTATGAAGAAATGGATATGGGGGGCACCGCGTTGTGGCAGAAAGCTCCAGCAATCTGCTTGCCACAGTAATCTGGGGCTGTGGACATGGACTGTGCCGTTTGACAAGTTCATACAATTGCCCTGCACCATGCTCATGTAGCTGGGGCCATGCTACTGAAACCCAAGGTCGTTGTACCTGCATCCTTTCACAGTGAGGCTCTGCACTCTAAGTCAGCTACCTAGTTACTGAGTCAGTCTAAATTCACAATGGAAAAACGCCCAAAGAGAGGACCCTCCATGTCAATACCAACAAACAAGAAAGCACCCAATTGTCCGTGCAACTTCAGTACAGGTACCATGAGTTCCCCTCAAAATATGCAGGTGACCTGGTCAATACCAATGTTTGGATTGGCTGCATGGCTGGCCTGCTGGGCAGCGTGCTCATCACGATGGACACAGGGGGAGCATGCGGTGAGGACTGCACCGCCCTGTCTAGCAGTGCTGGCGACTGGGCAATCCTGGTGGCCGCGCTGCTGTACTCCATCTCGACTGTCCGGCTTGGGGCGCGGGCCAGTCAATTCGATGCGATTTATCTTGCCACATCTAAAACCCTTGCCCTTGCAGTTTTGTCTGCTGGCTGGGTAGTGGCAGATGCTGCAGGTGAGCAGCCAGCTGTGCCGATATTTGCTGCAGACGAAACACTGAAAAATATAGAACTGTCTTTTGAAGATGGTGCCACCATGGCTCCCACCCAGTTGTTGCTGATGCCATTGATATAGTTGTAGTTGCAGAGGTTCATCGCCTTGTGGGTGCCTGAATTTACTTTATCTAGTTGAATAAACATGAACCAGGGATTTGCACACCATGACACTGCCAACAGCCAAGCAATGCACCGCACATCCCAGCGGCGGCAAAGAGCGGTGAAGCCACCCTCAGTGGAGCGCGAAAGTCATCTTGTGTGTCTGTGGTGCAATTGGCACTGTGCTACAGACCATTATCAGGCAGGATGTAGGCAAAGAGCTTTCTACTTCTGGTTGGTGGCATTGTGCTCAAAGTGGCTTGCCAGGGCACGGCGAATTTTGCTTGCACGCATGCAAGGAACTATTAGGCCTTTTGCTCTCAGCCCCCGCGTGCGCCCTTGCACAGACTATCATACTCCTTGCATGTATGGTGTTTCTGAAATCTGCACAACATGCTTGCTGGCTTCCTGTGCCCAAGTCAATCTCAGATTCGGTCTCCTTGCTGGGTACACAGGACTTCTGGGCCAAGGGCAGCCCGTCCACGGGCTCTGGCAGGATGTTGGGAATCCTGTCTCATGGCTTGTGCTAGTATGGGCTGCACTGGGCCCTGGGGCAATTGCAGCATTGCTGCAGACAAAGGGCCAGCAGCTGGTCACATCCTCACAATCCCAGGTAGGCAGACGTCGTCCGCCACAAGGAGATGCTGACATTGCCAAATAGGTGACGGAACAGCGATGTCATATCCTGATGAGGGTAATCATTTGGGACGTACTTGCACAACAGCTGTGCTTGGCATGCATGCACAAGGAATTAGATATGGACACTGCCTTAGGAATATGCATGCAAGGACTGAGGCATTTCCCTTGCATTGTGTAGGTCGTGCTGTGTTGACAGACAAACTTTGCCTCTCCCACTTTCGCAATCATGATTTCAAACTTGACTGTATTGGTTTGTCATATGGTGGCTCCTGGCCTCATGTGCCATGCTTCTGGAACGCAGATGTATGGAACGGGTGATGTTGCTTGCGATGGTATTTGTGGATGTTGGCGAGTAATATGCAGGCATCTACAGTGCCTTTAGGAAGATGCTGCAAAGTGGCCCGAAGTTGTGGAACTGGCTGCCTGCAGCACAAAGAGAATGATCATGTATTAGTCTTTGATTCATAGTATTGGTCGTGCTGCATCTTGTGACTGTGTCATCAGTGGCAAGGGACACTGTTTGTCGAAAGTGACGATTGTGTGAGTGCTTATGTGCTGACCTGACAGGTCTTCTTTGCATCAACTCCGCTTTGGTCCGCTTTGATTTCTGGAGCCCTCTTGGGAGAGACCATGGGTGTTTGGGGATGGGTGGGCGGGGCGGTCATTGTTGCGGGTGGGATTCTGTCGTCGCTGACACTGGAGGATGTAGGGCAGAGTTGACTGGGTTTCAGGAAGCTGTATCCAACACGTTAAGCTGTTGACTGACTGATGGATCCAGTCAGGGCTCTGGCAACTAGGATTGGGAAGTAAGTATATTCTTTCTTTATGTTGCGTAGGAAAATCGATGGCTCGGTAATTTCTTAATTCTTTGTGCATTGAACGAGGGGTTGTTCTTATCCGTTTCAGGCCTCCAGTCGGCAACGCTCTTCTGTACCTCAGTGCCCTGGTGTGGGGCCGTTGCTGAGACGCACGCCATTTTAAATGAAGATATTATTATTGCTCAGCGGCGAAAATTCACTGGTCGACGGGCTGGCATGCGGTACTTGCTGCAGAGGAAGGGAACAATGTCCTCCGTACTCGAAGATTGCGGCTGTACCGCATCTCACACACAAACAAACAGCGTAGCAATTGAAATGCGATTGGTTATGTCGGATTTGAAAGTCCGGGGCAGCAGACCGCCGTCTGCAGGGAGAAATGATGACTGGTGCGTTGCGTGCTTCGGGCTTGTCATTCCACCGCATTCAATTCGCCAAAAGCTACGCCATCAGCCCAGACACGCCCCCAGAGGTGATCGAGGACATAGCTGTGGGCAATTTGCCCACTCATGCCTGGTTCCCAGCGTATCAGTCACAGCGTCGCCCAGCAAGATGCAACGTCGCATTTGAAAACAACGAAGCGGCAAGGAAGACAACCTCATGTCAACAGATGAACTCTGTGAGGGTGAATGCAAAAGCCAAGCCTCTGTACAAAGGATGGGTGGAATCATAAAATCACGAATGGACAATGGCCCTTTGGCATTGTACTGGACCTTGCGGATGTTGCAATCTTCAAAGCGCTGCCCCCAATTGTAGCGCCAACACAGTGGACCTACTCTATCCGCACTCGTCCTTGAACATTGCAACACTGGGTCCAACAGTTGTGCAAATAACCAATCGGATAGAGATGGGGGCCAATACATTGGGCCAAACGCCAAGGCAGGGGATTGGGCCGTCGTCGCCCTTCCAGGCGCAAAAGCACAGGGTGGTCCCATGAAGGCAGCTGCTATCCATGGCAGTCCAAGAGAAGGCCAGCCGGTGGAAGTCTGACTTTGGAAGTGTTGCGACGACACCTTCCGTGCATCTTGGCACATTCTGAACTCTGTAAATGAGGATGCAGGGTGGAAATCTTCGAATTCTCGCCAGTGCTGATCGCCCAAATTGCGACCTGTTTGCGCTAAGGGGAGGATTCTCGCGTTCGGGGTTGCCAGCTAGTTGTGGCATCGCTGGGTCACAGCAAGGCGCCTTTCCTGTCACTTGGCTGCCCGCTTGCAGGAGCTTGCACAGGAGATTTGGCATTGCGACGCCTTTCTTTGTGGCAAGCTCCTGTTGAGTCCCGGGAAACGACGGTTCTGTCATGAGAATGTCCTAAATGTCCTGACAGTGCATAAGAAGCCAAGGCGCGGGTGGCGCTAACTTGAGCTGGAAGTCGAACACAAAGGACATCCTTCCAAGTCGTTCCACCGCTCCCAAGGGACGGAACAGCTCAATGCCTGGCATTTTTTGCACAGGCGCCCAGACGCCCAGCGCTTCACGAAAGCCATTGTTGTAAGGAGGATGCTTTGTCCAGTGGAAAGATTTGTTACAAAGATGACGAAAAAGCAAGTCATACAAAGGGCAACCCTTCCAAACGACATTTATGCAAGACTTGCTTTGTCTGGAGGGGGGAGGGGCTTCTTTTCAAGGCGTTGCTTTGAGCCTCGGCGTCATTTGTTTCCGATCATGACCAGCTCCGTGTGGAATATCAGCGTCGCCCCTCCTGCAGACAGTAAGGAGAAGTGTGCTTCAGGAAGCTCTTGAACACACACTGCCGGGGAGGGGAGAAAGAGTAGAGTGAAGAGCATTCATACCTGGTACCTTGGGTGGAGCACCTGCCTCACCATATCCAAGACTTGCTGGGATTTTCAGTTTGCGCTTCTCACCAGGGCTGCATGACAATCAGACACCATCACCAAAGCACCGATGGAATCGACATCAGAGAACTGGTCAGTAAACAAATCCCAGCTTGCACCAATGCAGGGACACAATTTGTAGTACTCAACCTTGCACTGGGCAAATGTGGTGGCAAACGCATGTGCAAAGCATGCACAAACATCTTAGATCACACATTAGAATGCAACCGTCAAAAATTGGCAAAACGCAGTGCACATCTAACCATTAATCCTGAACACTATGGGAACCATATTCTATGGCCGATGCTAGCTTTGGCGATGGCAACGGAAGCAACAAAGCCACAGAGGGGTGCAAAGAACAGGACTATAGCTTATCACAAAAGAAGGTGGCGTGTCAGGTAGAACCTACAGCTGCAACAGCAGCTGGCAGCACACTGTCCCCAAAGAGCCATGGAGGTGGCAATCTGCTCATGCGACTCACCACATGCCAAGTATTCCCTGATCCCATCCTTTGATGACTTGCCCTTTCCCCAGTGTGAAGACAAGAGGATCACCCCTGGAGTAGCTGCTGTCAAACTCTGTGCCATCTGTCAGAGTTCCCTGAGGCACAAGATGTGTTTTCAGTAGAAAACATTGGGCAAAGGAAATTGTGCCTTTGAGCAGGGAACAGGCAGGAAAAGGCGAGCACTAGACTGTCTTATAGACGAAACCACCATGGTTCTGAGTGACTGAGCAACACTCAATCATGCTGGCATAGCATGTAACTGGCAGACAATCTGTATGAATGGACAATGAGAACCTGTGCTCCCGTTCATGTACCAACGCATTTTGTAAAGTCGTGTCCACCTGCAGTTTTCTTTGACCTCCTGTCATTGCATATTCTGGCTGACTCGCCATCCAAGAATGGCAATTTCCTCCTGTGACAAATTCTATGCAGCGAGATGGGAAACTGGGAAGAGAATCCCATCTAACAGGGCCAGACCACAACAGCTCATCTTCACACTAGCCACTGAATGGAAAACTTGCCAAACAGCCAAAAACAAAAAAGAAACTGACATAACTTCTTGCAACATTCCTTCCAAGAACACACCAACAACCTGACAGCAGAGGCAAGCTGCGCTTGCCTTGGAGCGTACACGAATCATTCCCCCCTCTGCATCACGAGTAATTTTGTCGTCGCATTTTTGGTTCGCATTTTCTTCAGATGGCTCCTCTCCACGAATCTTGTGCTCACAATTCGGGGCGATGTTCAGGGTCCAGGCGTCCCCTCATGGCTTCTAGCACGACATGGCCTGCAGTCATGCCACCCACCTTGTAATGTACGTGGACGGAGTCGCCAACAGCAGCCTTGATAGTACAATCTTCTGGGCGGTACTGCAGCCAAACGTCCCAGCACAACATGAACTATTGACCGCCAAAAACTGGGCGTGCAGGCCAGAAGAATGGCCATCGACCCCACCAGGTACGCCATCTGCCAAATTTCTGTAATAGCATAATAGTACTAACCTACTCAGGACAATTCGCCACTTGATTCGGACACCATAACACGCGAAAGGGCGACAAGCAGATCTGCCACTCTGCTGCAGCTGATGCTGTTTCTCCTGGTGGGAATCCGGAGAAACCGCAACAGCATAGGCGGGCGGTATCCGCGCCTGGCCCTGCGCATTCGGGCGTCTGAACCAGCTACCGCAGACAACGGGCTGCCCCTGACGTCGGGCACCCTCCCCACAGCAGATCGGGGGAACGTCCTCGTTTAGAAACACATCGAAGGAAACAGCGCCTTCGCGCAGCTCAGCGCGAAAAGATTCGCGCAAAGCGCAACAGGATGCCACGAACACCGATCCCGACTTGGCCCAAGCGGGTGGCCCCCGCGCGATCCATTCGATCCGCGGGAAGATCGGGGTCCCCCGCGCCAACAGATGGCACCCCTACCCACCTTCACGCCGATCTGGAGCTTCTCCGCGTCCTTCTCCTCGCCGGCCGCCCGCGTGGCGAAAGCGCACAGCACCAGCAGCGGCAAGGCCACGCCACGGCCGATCCAGATCGCCATGGCTGTGCCGGATTGAGGGTCGTTGCTCGAGTGCATCGTCTCTGTATGCCATGTGATGTCGGTCAAGAGACGGGCGTTAATCTGCCCACATAATCGTCCCGTTTTAACGCGCGGTGGCGCCTGGGCGCACTGGATGCTGTTTGGTCACTGTGGCGACGTCCTCTTCCAACCGCGCAAGCCGTCGTCGCCTTGGCTGCCTGGACGTCGTTCGCTGGCCTACCCTGAGGAATATTGCGGCAGCCAAGGGAGGACTCAAAGATCCTGGAGAAAGCGGTGGGCCCATTTTCACACGCGGAACATGATTCCGACAGCCACAGCGCGACAAACGAAAAGAATCAGGGTGTGAGGGAGGCTGCCCATTTGGGTTTCATGGAGCTGGTGGCGATCACGGGCACGCGTCACTAATGCACCGCGAAATTGTCAGTGGCCGATGGCGACGTGAAGGCCATGAAACTCCAACAATTGAAGGAAAGGAATGGGTAAAAGCCATGGAACGGCCACAAGACTTTGAACCACACAAGGATAGAATCCGAAATCGGAGGCTTGGCAAGAAGTGCAGCACATGATGTGCTTCAGTGCCACTCCTGTGCCCATCATGATCCATTTGTGGTAATACATTGATTGACAGAGGTGTAGGACAGCAACAATTTCCCAGATTCTCTGAAGTCCACCTCACCGCAGAGAGGAGAGACACAAGGGTGGCAACATTTGCAATTCTGGAATCTTGGTTGGGTTTTACCATCCTGCTCAGTGTTCAATCTGCTCATTAAAGCCTCCTGTTCACTTTGCATCTGCAGGCACAGTGACGCCCAAGGTGGTCAATGGTTGGCCAGCTGCCCTGACTGGACCTCAGGATGGATGCTGACACGAAAGGAGGTGGGTGTCATCTCTCGGAAGAGCTTTGCAAGAACTCGGAACCAAGAGCAGAAAAACTCTGTGGTTTGATTGCTTTTTAAGGATTCTCTCTATTCCCTGCAGAGGACTCATGGCAGCGCTGTGGGGAATTGGAGGTCATGTGGGACTGGCTGTATGACATGGTGTGGGAGAATGTGGCATTGGAAAGCATGAGGTGCGTGGAGACAGCACCGACAATAAGACTTCTTGCAACCCTTACATGGAATCCACCTTGCATTCATGGTTGTAGGGTGGAAACAATGAGACAATGCTAGGCGGTTATTATCTTCAACGTGACTTCCTCTGCGTTCCTTGCTGGTGGCAAGTGCGCTTTTGACGCCGTAGGGTTCCTGCAGCAGGGCAGAGTCTCACAAGATCTGCTGTTCAGTACAGGGATGCCAGCTGTCTTGCACATTCCTTTTTTTTGCACAGGGGTTTGAGAGACGATTTTCGTTGTCCTGCCAGGGTCGCCTGCTGCCCTTATGGTGGACCAACTGCGATGGTGCGCGACAATCGGAAAATGGTGCTGCTTCGGGGGGCAACGGCACCACCACTGGTTCGCATATTCAACTGTGCTGGCCACGAGATGGGGCGGTTTATGTGGTCAGGCACTCAAGTCGTGAGCATGGGCTGGTCCCAGGAACAGGAGCTCTTGCTTGTGGACCCTAAAGGGCAGGTGACTGTCACCATGTATGTGCAAGCATCGATCGTTTGGAATGCAAAATTTTACAATGTTAAGCCCAAGCCCCACTCCCAAGAAAAGAGATGTGGGGATTGTTACAACATGTTCTTGTTCCAGATAGAGAATTTTCTTTTCTTTGGTGACATGACATCTGTTGACATGTCACTGCTCATGTGCAACCAACTGGTTCTGGGACAGCTGCTGCAGATCTCCAGACTGGGTTGGACAAGGTTGTACCAGTTTGCCACAAGAATCCACAGTCTGCTTTCCAAATCGTTGAATGTTGATGGGAGTTATTCATGGGTGTCACTGTTGCCCAAATGCCTCCCTCTGCACTGGAGTTCCAGGGCAGAAGCCGCCCACAAGTGCTCGTATGTTGATCACACAATAAACACCAACAGCACTCCTGTAGCACATATTGAAAATGGTACTTATCCTTAGCACATGGTCAATGGCAAAGCAAAGATGGGTGTTTCTTTAATGATGTGAATCCACACCCAATAGAAGGAGCCTAGCTAAGGGCTGGGAATCGCATTGCCATCGAGAAATGCTGGCACTCAAATCCCAACGGAATCAATGCTGTTGCTACCATGGTGTTATGTTGCCAACCAGAAAGCACATCGCACCTCTTCCCTTGAGGCAAGAGATTGGAGGTCTGAAAATTGATACGACCATCCAGAAGCACAACATCGCTGCAGGCCTGGTCACATGTGCAGCATTCTTTTCTGGGATGCACGCTCATAGAGCCTTACAGTGGGTGGTTGGAGTATTGTTAACAATGTAACGATCAGCCAGTCCTTTGAAAGAAGAATCTGTTGCATCAAGTGCTGTCCTGCAAGATTTGCCCCCGTTTAATGGACAGCCACGAGCACAAGAGTGCACAATCGGGTGCACTGTGAACCATGGTGTCACCCTCCGCAGATTGGCAGCTGGATGCCGCCTCTTTGTCTCAGGGCTACATTCTCACGAACATCATGGTCAGTCGCTGATGCTATGGTATGTGCCTGTCCACACATGGTGTGTGCCAGTATCATTTTCACCCATGGACTTGGGTTGCTCCCGATGCAGGTCAGAGCTTTCAGTGTGCATGGCCGACAGCTTCCGCTGGAGTTCTCGTTGGGGGAGGCATGCGAAACGGAGGGCATCGCAGACTGCTGTGTTTATAGCAGTGGGGTCGTGGTGCTCACCCAGGCAAACCACATCTGGGCAGTGACAGACATCAATGAGCCACGCCCTCAGAGGCTGGCTGACCCGCCGCTGGAAGACCTGCCTCGCTGCATGGACGTCCTGGTGACTCAAAATCCACAAGGCGTGGAGGTGAGTCATGACAATGGTGGAATGTGACCGAGGTGGTACACTGCAGGCGCCCTGTTGGCACCATACAATTGTTGCTTGCAAACATGTTACTAAGACTTACAAAAGGTTACTGAAGCGCCAGGTGCCAATCTGCGGTACCTGAATATAGTGCTCCCTGGCCATTGCAGACTTAGGTGCTGCTGCCTGGTGCCATAGTATATTATACTCTTCTGTATCCTAGCATAACGTTTGCCCATTTTACGCAGGGCGCAGCAATACGTAATGGTGCCAAGAAATGTGGACGAGCACCAGCTGGGATGCGAGGGTCTTTAGAGTGCTTTTGGAGTCTAGCGGCCCTGGTTGCTTGAGTCGCTGTAGCAGAATACTGCCATTTGAGGCCATGTGAACTGAGTGAAGTCACCATTCCAGCTGTGACTATGATGCGATCTCCCCTCCCCCACGCACCCACCCACCCACAAACACAATAATATAGTCTGTCAAAGGCATGCAGAGCAAAAGTTGTGACAGTGAAATTTCAGAATGCGGAAGGGTTGAATATACTATGGCCTCTCTTTGTAGGGGGCTGCAGTTATTGATGTCACACCAGGCAGAGTTCGAACTGATTACGGCCCATACAAGAGCACTGCTAGAGTGCAGCATACGCTGGTATACAGGCAGCTCAACGCGCGATTGAATTGCATTTTGAGCTGCCCATGAAAACACACGATTTGTTGCGGTGGCTGACATGCTTGCCACATTCTGCAGGTCATTTTGGGATGTGCGGATGGCATCGTTGTTGCTGATGCCCAGCAGGCCATCTCTCCAGACCGGATGCTCCCAGATGATCAGACTTTAGGGGCAGTTTCCATCATCGCAATTTCGCCCAATGGCGAGTTTGTGGCACTTTTTGTGGAATCTGGTGCCCTCATTGTCATGTTGCAAGGTGGGAGCAAACGCAGAGCGGAAAAGGGGGAGAAAAGCAAAACACACTCGGTACTGCACCAGCTCGTTAACTGTCCACTCAGCAATTAGATTGTGGGTCTGACTTGATGCTGTTAGATTATTTTTTAGCTCCAGGTGCTGTTGTTCAGTTTTCCCTTGGCCCTTCACCATGCCTTTGGCACCCTCCATTGCTGTGAAATCGTTGTCGTCTCAGTTGCTCGTTCACCATTTGCTGTGACAAGCGACTGTGTCCAGCGGCTGTGGACTGCCAGGGGTACAGCCAAAATATCAGCATGTGATTACCTGGAATTGTGGCTCCTTTTGTTATCTGCACCATCTGCCATGACATTGGCATTGATTCACAAAGTGACTTTGAGGAAGCCTCTATTTCTCCCACAACATGCCTTGCTTCTGCCCTGTTTCTCTGTCAATCACATGTAACTGAGAGCTGGTGTTGCAACCTACTTGCGCTTTCACTTCATTTGCTCCAAGCCAATTCCCATGTGTTTGATGCTGATCGCACTAATGGAGTTTAACGCAGAACACCATGTTTGGGACTGACATACCCCTCACCTCAAATGCAGATTTCACCACAACTCTCCTGCCAAATTTCACACCACCCATAGATGGCCAACCCCTCCAGATGGCATGGTGTGGCAATGATGCCATCGTGCTGTACTACGATGGCGTGCTAATGCTGGTGTCCTCAACTGGAGACTGGGTGACCTTCAACTCCCCAGAGCCAGTCGTACTGGCCAGCGAACCGGACGGCCTCAGAGTCATTTCAACAAAAAGACACCGGCTGCTGCGGAGTGTAGACGATGCCATGCGGCAGGTCCAGTGGAAATCAATTCATTAGCTTGTTCTTTTTGCGGGGCAGGACAACAGGCAATAGACACAATACTGAGCTTGCAGTCTTCTGCTCATTCTGTAACAGGTTTCTTGGTTGGCTTGTAGCATTTGGTGTTAAGGGTTCAAGATACGATACCTGTTAATAAGGGTTGAAATCACCAAAAGAACTACAACAGCAGCTAGATGCCAAATTCAACTTGAAATTGATGATATCCATTCAGACATCCACAACATTTGGTATGCCCCTGCGTGTTAGTAACTCCGCATTCTGCCCTTTCCCAGGTCCTGTCACCTGAGTCAGAAGGGCCCGGGCGGCAGCTGTTTCTGGCGAGGCAGGCTTTTGATGAGCAGGATGCAAAGGCCGATAAGATACTGAGGGGCATCAAGTCCGACCTTCAGGAGGCTGTACAGACATGTGTAGAGGTTGCTGGTGAGGTTGGGGAGCTAGAGTTGCCTGCTGGCTGAATGCCTGATGAATTGTTGCATTCGCCAAATGAAATCCATCAGAATTTGTTCTTGGCCGTTCAGCACCCTTTGTGGCTGTTGTCTTGATGATATTGGTTACCAATATTGCTTTGCTGACAGTTCGATTTGATCAAGTTCCAATTATTAGTGAGCACCACTCCTTAGGTAATAGACACAAGGAGGTCGGCTGCCCAGAGTGCACTAGGGTCCCTGCAGCATAGTTCACAACCGTGTAATAGTGTGTATCGTGTAGTTCACTATCATGGACTGTTGCAGTGATGGAAACATTGATGAAATAGTTTGCTCAAGAAGATGACCGCTGACCCCAGCCAAAGGGCATGGAGTGCATTGGGGGCAATCTCCCGCATCACAATTGATGGCATCGGGCACACAACAAGCACTGCTACATACTCTGTTTCATGCTGCGGTTCAGTATTGGGAAAAGCATTGCCCTTGCACTGTTAGTTGTCGATCAGTGTCCAGATCAACAATCAGTTGTTGCCCTTCCCCCAATGTGAGAGCCAGACTTCATCTTGAGTTCCTTTGAAGAGCAGATAGAATCACAAATCCTTTGGATCATTCTACGGTTGGATCGGATCGTGCGCCACAATGCTTGGGACTGTATTGTGCTGCCTTCAATGCTGTTGTGCGACCTTTGCAGGAGCGGTTTGGGACACCAACACACAGCGATCGGTGCTCAAGGCTGCATGCTATGGCCGTGCATTTTGCAACCAATTTCCCAGCCACACGATTTACGAAATGTGCCAAAAATTGAGGGTATTGAATGCTGTGCGGGACGCGGCAGTGGGATGGCCATTGACAATGGCCCAGATGGATACCTTGACTCTGCCTGTCGTTATTTCCAGGTGGTGTAAACAGTTTCTTTGTCATTGCCTTGTCAGTTGAAGTGCAGTGCTTTGTCACTTTTACCAATGCAGCAAATTAGTGGCACTGCATGTGCCGCATCCCATGAGTACCAGAACATGGAGGCTGTCCTTTCATTTGCCCAAGGCGTGCGTAAATGACAGCGCTTTTTGCAAGACAAACTAATGTTACAGTGTGCACGATATGCTGAATGAAAACGTTTGGGAATATTCTACATTGTGGCAGACGATGGTTGACTGCTGAATCCTTGTTCCCGTGCTGCAAGCATTCCCAGAGCTATGTGCCTCTGTTTTGCTGTCTAAGGCATGACCTCCCCCTGCAGGTGGTCGACTCATTTCCGTATGAATTTGGGTTCCTGTCTTCAACTGTCAGTTGCTGAGCTGAGAACAAAGAGGGGCACACTGTCCTTTATCCAAAAAGAATCTGCTTACAGATGTGGCTGAGACCGTGAGAGGCATGCAGAAAACTGTTGACTGAAAGGTGCATCAGTAGATCATCACCTCAAGCTTCCAGTGCTGTTGCGATTCCGACATGACTCCATGGACTGCACTGAACATAAATGTGACTGCCATGTGACGTCATCATTGCTCAATTGCTGACTATTTGTTGAAACAGCATTGATGGCTTTTCTTAATAACAAAACCTGCTAATTTGGGGCAAGGCCGGGTTGTGTTATCCTGCGCACGCGTTTATTCACAGAATGTTGTTATTTCTCACTGAATAGACACACTTTGTACAACGATATGTGGAATGCTCTTAGCTTCACAGTTGTGTTGGAGCATTCGCTGCCCATGATGCACAGGCACTGCACGAGGATCTGTGAAAGAATTTTGACCTGTCTATCAGCAACGTGCAGATTTGGAGACATTTCAATCACCTTCGATGTGCGAGGACAGTGTTTCGTGCAGTGGCAGCAACCGTAGTCAAATTCAAATGTGCCTGCCACAAGGGTTCGTGTGGTACCGAGCCAGTTACCGGGCTTGTGAAGTTTTTTGTTAGCTGAATCAGGTGAACCTGAGTGACTTCTGTTAGGAATTCGACAATGCTGGATCTTAAAGCTTGCTACAAGCCATGGACATGGGTGTTTCTTTACCTGCTGAAGCTGTTTCCTTTGATAATTTTTTTTGGATACCATTATCATGTACATTGTGCTTTTGACAGTAAGTTCGCTTGTGTTCCTTTGCTATGTGCCTAATTTCATCCAGTTGAGAGCAGCTGTTTCGAGCATCAAGGCACCCTTTGGTTGTTCCCTGCTGTGGAATCGCAACAACACACCCTTGCCCTGGTTTATGTGCCACAGGCTTGTCAATGCGCACCACCATCTGCTGGCCCTGAGAATATGCAAGGAACTGGACATGGATCAGGGTACTGTGCTCCACCACTGGGCAAAGGCCCGCATATCTGCGGATGAGAGCACCACAAGCAACGAAGAGCTGAAGAACATCCTTGCAGGGAAGCTGAAGGCTTGTCCTTTTGTACACTATGCGACCATAGCTGAACATGCCCAGGTCAGTTTGCAACCCCTATCTGTGGGCCTTTGGTGGCCGCAAGGGTCAATTGATTGATCCAGATGTCGACTGCATGGCACTTGGCCATCAAGTATCTTGGTACCTGTAGTAAAGTGAAATGCGGCAGCCTTGAGGGCATCTTGGGGAAGTGTTTGTACCTCTGCATCATGGCTTGCATCAGCATAGTTTCTGGCAGCTTGGTGTCCCTGTTTGGGGTCACCATGCCAGGAGCAACCTGTGCTCTCTTACTATGTGGGATCGACAGCCATTGATGGCTCGGGTGAACAAAATCCAATTCCTTGGGCATCATTTGTGCAAGGGTATGTGAGAAAAGATATGAGGCACCATCTTTGCCGCTCATAAAACTGGTCCACAAATTCAGTGCCAGTGTGCATCTGATGTCAGGACACGCCATACATGCTTGCAAGATCGACATACCTCAGTTATACAAAACTGTGTCGATGAGATTCCACCATCACTAGACAGTGGCAGACAATGTTCACGCTGATATGCATCTGTGCATTTGCAATTGCACCTTATTTAGTTGGCAGAGGGAGTGCTGTGGGGATGTATGGAAAATGCAGTGGTGGACAGGAATTGTGTCCATGCTCAGCTTGGCATCAGTCAGCCATTCTGTAGTTGGGTAGCAGCCAGAAATGGGAGTAAGCAGTATCACACATCCTCTCAGTCATCTGGGCCTCTCAGTAGACTGACTAAACTCGTTGGAGTTGTCTCAAACTGTTTGACTGCATCATCATCCAGGAGGAAAGGAGCACAAAAGACAGAAGGACAGAAGACATGGTTGTAGCTCAGCATGGCTCAATGAATGTGCAAGTGACTGATTGAAAGCAGGCCTTTGCTGAATCGCCCCCATGGGGCATTGCGTGTTCATGAACAGCATCTCTTTCCTTGCCTGCAATCAAATTCTTTTCAGCACGTGCCAAAACAAACCTGGTGGTTTACATGGCCGGTTTCGGCATACAATGTAGAGTTACCCAGATGCCCCTGTCTACACTGCACATTGTGGGCCAGACTTGTGAAAGCAAGAGCACATGTGCACCCCATATTTGCCACAGCATATATTTCTTTCATATTCAACGTTGAAATTAGCAAAAATACCCAGATGCACATTGGACTTTGGAGGGCAGCCTTTGCACTCAGGACAGAATGTCTCAACTTGCTCAATCATATTTGCTCAATTTGCTCAAAGCCCAGTTGGGCTGTAGTACCCTTGTCCAGGAGCAGTCCTAAAGTGGAAGTGGTGACATGGATGTCGGCCCAGCGACAGGCTTTGATACGTGGAAAGGGACATTGCTGACTTTTATTCCATGGGTTGCGGGTTGACAATTGTTGATGTACTTCCTGGTGTGCAAGAATCCAAAGGCCCGGTGTGCATTGCACAGGCCCAAGGCAGGCGAGAGCTGGCTGCCCAGCTGTTGGATGATGAGACATGCGCAGCAAAGCAGGTGCCACTGCTGCTGGAGCTAGAAGAGGAGCAGCGGGCCCTGGAAAAGGCAGTGGAGAGCGGCGACACTCACCTGGTGTATCTGGCTCTGTTCCGCATCTACCACCGCACAGTGGCTGCTGCCAAGGGGATGCCAGAGTTCATAAAGGCCATAAGCTCCAAGCCCGCAGCTTATGCACTCTTCATGAAGTACTGCAAGGCCCAGGTGATCAACGAAGGGGTGTCGTAACAGGGCAGGCGGTGTTTCCCTTTGTGGGACAGGGCGGCGCCAAGACAATTGGACCATGGACACTGTGTTTGGGGCTGGTGGCCCTTGCGTGCCAGCATTCACAAAGGCAGTGCTCGTTGAGGCATTGCCATCAACTTTGTTTGCACAGCTATCAAGTGTGTGCTTGCTGCACATGCCAGAATGGTCCATGGCACAGAAGGTGCCTTGCTGCACTTTTCTGTGTTGCGCAGTTTCAAGCAAATTGTCTCAGTGCAACTGCCACCCAGTCTCCTCCTGCAAATGCCCGTTTGGTGCAGTGCATGTCCGAAACGACGCTTTGTCCTGCAGTAAAGCACTTGCTTGTATACCAGGGATCTCTGAACTGGTTGACCACAACTGTGAATCGCAATTTTGTACCGTTCTTGTTGTTACTATGTTAGGCCATTGTCACATTTTGCTTATGAATGACTTTTTCTTTGATTGAATGTTTAAATGTTTACTCTTGACTTTTGTGGTGGTACTTCATTGCTGTACCAGGGTGAGTGGGCTGTAATGCGATTGCCCAGAAATATGTGCTTGCCGCAAAATGCATGTCACCTGTGTGGTCAGTGCTTTTCTCTGCAACGTTTGCTGCCCCCAACGAATTTGTGTGGATTGCACAGAGTCCCAACCTTGCGGAACAAATCTATAACCTTGACGGCAACACAGAGGGCCTTGCCGAGATCAAGTTCAACGAGGCTCTGTCCACCAGCTTGAAGATTCCAACGGACACTGCTGGAGAGGAAACTGTGTCGCTGAGCAACCTCAGGGACAGAGTGGTGTCTCAGCTGCGGGACTGTGCAGCCCAATATGCAAAGGTGAATATCCAACCTATCAAACATGTGGGCCTGGGACCACTATCGTGCTTCCTCTTGTTTGTCACCATTTTTCTGTTTAGATATATCCACAGCTCAATCCACCTGATCTCTGTCAAGCTGCTTGATGACCTGAGTCTCCAGTGATTGTACACGCCGAGATCCGACAATCCACTGCTATCACGTCTGGTGAGGGATATCCATCACCTCCTGAAGATCATTGACATTAGTCTTTGGCTTTTTTGGGCCGCTCTCCACAATCGTGGCTGGTGAATGACGGAGGCTGGGTTGATTGGCAAACGGGCAATGTTGGAACATGATCATGGCCATCTTCACTTGTCTAACTCCACGATCATGCGATGAGTGTGGCGCTGTCTGAAGCTCCCAAAGCTTTCAGTCGCCGAACTTGGTCAGGCGACCTTTTACGCCCAAACGACGTCCAATAGCATGTGCTTCAACTATAGTTGAGGAACCCTTCTTGGGGCGTGTTGCCCAAGTGGGAAGGAACAAGGAAATTGGCATGTGGCAGCGATAAGGCCTTTCTTTCCCTTTGTTCCTGACAAGCGCATGCTTCTCTTGGTTTTCCATAGTCACGCAAACACGAATTCCAGTCCAAATCGGCTGAAGAATTCGCCAACCTTCGCAAGGAGCAAGCAAAGTTGCAACTGAGCACGGGGCGGAACATGTTCTTGTCTCTGAGCGTCATCGACACGATCAGGCAGTGCATTCGGCTTGGCTACAACAAAGGAGCTGCGGACATCAGGCGGCAGTTTGGGATTTCGGACAAGTGAGTGCGGCAGGCGTGGAGCAAGGCCATGCAGCCATGTTCTCCCGTCTCTGCCATCTCTGTGCTCTACCGTCTGATGTTCCCTTCGCGACACGCAGCTGTTGTACTTGGAGCCATAATCCTCCATTGGCGGTGCCATGAATGGCCAGGCCGAGTCCTTGCGCTGAAATGCAATAAAATAGGGAACGGCGATGGAAAACACCAGAGCATTCCACGCGATGCCACGGCCCTGCTTGCGGGCACCCAGAGAGTGGCCGATGTCATCTTCTGAGCCAGTGTGTTGCTTTGTTGCAGGCACTTCTATTGGGTGAAAGTTCGTACACTGGCGGAGAGGGGCCAGTGGGAAGGACTGGAGGTCTTTGCTCAGGAGCGAAGGCCGCCCATAGGGTGGGAGCCCTTCATTCAAGCATGCGTCGATCACAATGCACCAAGAGAGAGAACGGGAAAGTGAGTGCCCCACCACAAGTCAAAGTGGATTGTGTGAGGGGCAGTGTCCAATGTGCCAAGGAACTGTGACAGCACCATGTCTAATATATACACCCTGCATTTGGAATTTGTTTTTGTCACAGTTCCTTGGCACATGGGCAGCGTACCTTTGCACATTGCTCAGTGTTAGTGCACATTGACACACTGTCAGTGTCAATGTATAGAACTTGAAGAGTGGCAACTATGGATAGTACATGTGGCGCATTTGCAGGTTCATTGACCGGTTGCCAGACAGCGAGGCAAAGGTGGAATGGTACACCAAAGTGGGGCTCAACCTGCAGGCGGCCAGAACTGCGGAGAGCCTGCAGAGCATCGACCTGATGACCCGGGTCCAGGGCATCGTGGGGCCAAATAGCCAACTTGGGATGAAGACCGCGCAGATGATCGAGCGGGTGAAGGGCCTTCAGCCTCGATGATGTCCCACTTGCGGTGCCACTCGCTTCCCACTTGGGAAGCTTTGTGAGAGCTCAACGTGGTGTGTTCCCCGCCAGGTCGCAGTGAAATTCACTTTGTGCATGACATGACGCGCTGGGTGCCCTGGGCGGACAAGGGGTCGGTGGAGGTGGTGTAGAGGGAGGTGTTGGCTCTTGGCCGGTGTTGGAATTCTGATCCTGATCATAGACCTGAAAGAATGAATACATTTCATGCGCGTGTTGCTAACCAGGTGGCTGTGAAACTCGCTTCAATAACAAACACAGGGAAACTCGAGAGCAGAGAGGCGAGGCAGTTTACATGCTACAGTGAGTTCACGAAGAACGCAGCTGGTTCCAATGGGCCCCCGATTGTGCAGCACTTCTGATGTCCTCATCATTAGACGACAACAAATGCCATGTCTCCATCCACTTCATGGACGCTGACATCGTCGCGTTCCGAAATAGGGGAATCCACAGAGCCGTCAGCCTCTGCGTCAGGAGCATCAGGGCAAAATGCGTCTCCATCTGATCCGCTGCCCTCCTCCCCTTCCTCAATAGGAGGCAGGCTGGGCCATCGGCCTTGAATGGCCCAGCCACAGTTGCCCATCTCCTCGGCCTGTACCGTGCAGTCGTCTTCCACGCCGACCACGCATATGTCGAGGGGCCCGCCGTTCGAAAGGTCTTCCTCCATAATTGCGTGCCCTTCCTCAGCGTCGATCAAGTGAAACGGTGTCGCAAGGGATGTCTCCTGCACTTCGCTTCTTGGGATGCCGGCCTCCAAATCGAAGTCGCTCGGTGAGAAGCCGCTGGCGTTTATGGGTTTGCCATCAGCTGGCGGACCACTGAGATCCCCGCCATCGTGTGCAGTAATGCAATTCTCCCCCGGGATGGCCGCCACGCCAACGGTCTGCAGGTGGTCTATTCCGGGACGGTCGCAGGAGGCGCGGGCCTCGAGTCGTGAAACCTTCGAGCTCAGAGCCTCCACTGCTGCTTCCATTTCCCGAACAGCTGCGTCCTTGCAGGCAGCAGACGCCTCCAACTCGCCAAGGCCGGACGTCAGCATTTTCATGACGTTGGAGATGTCGTTGCTCATCTCCGCCCCGGAGGCTCCCAGTTCAGCTACAATTTCCTTAATTCCCCTGAACCGCGCATCTAGCTTTTTAAGGCTGTCGCCGTTGCCCTTTATCAGGCCGTAATGTGCGTTCATTTTCGGCATCAAAATTGATTCCACCGCCTCCTCAACATTGACGAGTCTTTTCACAAATGAAGAGTCGGATTCGCACGAGAGGGCCGTCTTTTGATCCGGGTCATCGCCGCCCTCCTCCAATTTGTCTCTCAAATTCATGACGTCCCGCCGCAAGTCTGTGATGGAGCCACTGTGGCCGTACACCATCTGTGTGATGACCGCCAATTTCTCTTTTTCATCGGCGTAGGACAGTGCCCTCAACTGCATGAACAGGTCCAGAGTCGACTTGTCCACTTGTTCAATCCGCCGTCCTTGCAGAGCAACAGTCGACTGAAGTTCTTTCAGTGCAGTGGGTTGCTGAGCAGTTTCTAATATCTTATCCAGATCGGTCCTCAGGCTGGCCTCTCTCTCCAGCTTTGCGTCCACTTTGGCGTCCAAATCTCCGATCTTTTGGAGCAAGGAAGGACCCAACTCGAGAACGGGCCCCAATTTCTCTTCCAATATCCAAATAGCGTCCTGCAACTTCATAAGCACGGTTTGCGCCACGCTGGCGCCTGTCGACTTTTCGATTAGGTCTGCAACGATTTCCTTCAGGACCCGGTCATCTCTCTCGAAGTTATCATTCCGCTTGTCGCCAGACGCCACGGTTTCTTGAACAGCCTCCGTGCTCTCCACCAGTCCCTGCATTCTCTCCCGCTCAATGCCATTGATGGCGCACTGTTCATCGAGAATGTCCAAGTGGAAGCTTTTCCGGCTGTCCAGTACTCCCTGTCTGTCGGGCACAATGTCCCTGTCAGCCCTGTCCGGAACTTTTGCTGGGTCGCGCCCGCGGGGTTGCTGGTTGCCTGACGCCACGGTTCCTTGAACAGCCTTCGCGCTCTCCACCAGTCCCTGCATTCTCTCCCGCTTAATGCCATTGATGTCGCCCTGTTCATCGAGAATGTCCAAGTGGAAGCTTTGTAGGCTGCCCAGTATTCCCTGGCTGTCGGGCACAATGTCCCTGTCGGCCCTGTCCGGATCTTTTGCTGGGTCGCGGCCGCGGGGTTGCTGGTTGCCGGACGCCACGGTTTCTTGAACAGCCTTCGCGCTCTCCACCAGTCCCTGCATTCTCTCCCGCTGAATGGCACTGATGGCGCCCTGTTCATCGAGAATGTCCAAGTGGAAGCTTTTCCGGCTGTCCAGTACTCCCTGTCCGTCGGGCACAATGTCCCTGTCGGCCCTGTCCGCATCTTTTACTGTGTGGCGTCCGCGGGGTTGCTGGTTGCATGACGCCACGCTTTCTTGAACAGCCTTCGCGCTCTCCACCAGTCCCTGCATTCTCTCCCGCTTAATGCCATTGATGGCGCCCTGTTCATCGAGAATGTCCAAGTGGAAGCTTTTCCGGCTGTCCAGTACCCCCTGTCTGTCGGGCACGATGTCCCTGTCGGCCCTGTACGGATCTTTTACTGTGTGGCGTCCGCAGGGTTGCTGGTTGCCTGACGTCACGCTTTCTTGAACAGCCTTCGCGCTCTCCACCAGTCCCTGCATTCTCTCCCGCTTGATGCCATTGATGTCGCCCTGTTCATCGAGAATGTCCAAGTGGAAGCTTTGTAGGCTGCCCAGTATTCCCTGGCTGTCGGGCACAATGTCCCTGTCGGCCCTGTCCGGATCTTTTGCTGGGTCGCGGCCGCGGGGTTGCTGGTTGCCGGACGCCACGGTTTCTTGAACAGCCTTCGCGCTCTCCACCAGTCCCTGCATTCTCTCCCGCTGAATGGCACTGATGGCGCCCTGTTCATCGAGAATGTCCAAGTGGAAGCTTTTCCGGCTGTCCAGTACTCCCTGTCCGTCGGGCACAATGTCCCTGTCGGCCCTGTCCGCATCTTTTACTGTGTGGCGTCCGCGGGGTTGCTGGTTGCATGACGCCACGCTTTCTTGAACAGCCTTCGCGCTCTCCACCAGTCCCTGCATTCTCTCCCGCTTGATGCCATTGATGTCGCCCTGTTCATCGAGAATGTCCAAGTGGAAGCTTTGTAGGCTGCCCAGTATTCCCTGGCTGTCGGGCACAATGTCCCTGTCGGCCCTGTCCGCATCTTTTACTGTGTGGCGTCCGCGGGGTTGCTGGTTGCATGACGCCACGCTTTCTTGAACAGCCTTCGCGCTCTCCACCAGTCCCTGCATTCTCTCCCGCTTAATGCCATTGATGTCGCCCTGTTCATCGAGAATGTCCAAGTGGAAGCTTTGTAGGCTGCCCAGTATTCCCTGGCTGTCGGGCACAATGTCCCTGTCGGCCCTGTCCGCATCTTTTACTGTGTGGCGTCCGCGGGGTTGCTGGTTGCATGACGCCACGCTTTCTTGAACAGCCTTCCCGCTCTCCACCAGTCCCTGCATTCTCTCCCGCTTAATGCCATTGATGGCGCCCTGTTCATCGAGAATGTCCAAGTGGAAGCTTTTCCGGCTGTCCAGTACTCCCTGTCTGTCGGGCACAATGTCCCTGTCGGCCCTGTCCGGATCTTTTGCTGGGTCGCGGCCGCGGGGTTGCTGGTTGCCGCACGCCACGGTTTCTTGAACAGCCTTCGCGCTCTCCACCAGTCCCTGCATTCTCTCCCGCTGAATGGCACTGATGGCGCCCTGTTCATCGAGAATGTCCAAGTGGAAGCTTTTCCGGCTGTCCAGTACTCCCTGTCCGTCGGGCACAATGTCCCTGTCGGCCCTGTCCGCATCTTTTACTGTGTGGCGTCCGCGGGGTTGCTGGTTGCATGACGCCACGCTTTCTTGAACAGCCTTCGCGCTCTCCACCAGTCCCTGCATTCTCTCCCGCTTAATGCCATTGATGGCGCCCTGTTCATCGAGAATGTCCAAGTGGAAGCTTTTCCGGCTGTCCAGTACTCCCTGTCTGTCGGGCTCAATGTCCCTGTCGGCCCTGTCCGGAACTTTTGCTGGGTCGCGGCCGCGGGGTTGCTGGTTGCCTGACGCCACGGTTTCTTGAACAGCCTCCGTGCTCTCCACCAGTCCCTGCACTCTCTCGCTGTGAATGCCAGTGATGGCGCACTGTTCGTCGAGAGTGTCCAGGTGGGAGCTTTGTCGGCCGTCCAGTACTCCCTGGCTCTCGGGCACGATATCCCAGGCGGCGCTGTCTGGACCTTGTGCTGGGTCGCGCCCGCGGGGCTGCTGGTCAGCACGGCGCATCTGCTGTGTCATGACGTGGATCAGTTGGCTCTGTGCGTCCATGTGTTCCTTCAGCCTGCTGATCTCGCACTCGTTCGCCTGAACCGTCGCAACCAGGCTCTTCTTGTCCTCTTTCATATTCTCCAGGGCTTCCATGAGTCGACTGATGTCCGACTTCATCTCGTCCAGTCTCCTTCCCTGATCCTCCAGCTGCGAGTCGACGGAGTTGCTGGATTCTTCGCTCCTGGCCGGCAAGAAGCCCGTGACTTCAGTCATGGATGACTGGAGGGTACGGATGATGGTGCCTTGCTGCCTCAGGGTGTCCCAGACTGACGCGAGGTCGTTCGTACTCATTCTGCCGCTCTTCGGACGCGGTGTTGGGGCCGGCGCTGGTTTGCGGGGGCGCTGTGCTGGAGGGCTAGTCGATGGTGTAGTTCTCCTCGAATTTCCATCGGGCTGCGGAAAGGCGAGCGAATGCAAGTGGTGTCAAATTGTGCCATTGCAATGACATTTGCACACACATGCAAATATTGGCTTTATAATATTCACGCGAAACTGTCGTCAACATATATAAACACAAACAACAAATAAAAAGACAACTCAATCCTGTATTTTGCATATTTAATTATAACATCTGTAATCATGTAGATAGTTTATGTGCATGTTTTGGTGTGCCAATAACATATGTCCGTGGTACACATTGTAGTATTGGCCTCAAACACTTATCAACATGTTTACACACGGACGGATAGACTGCTAAATTCTTTGTGGATCCACAAACACGATCATTATCGGCTACTTTGGAGTGCCTAAAAATTGCGGTAGCATGACCTGCTTGAATATTGAACTTGAATGTGCAAGTTCGCGCTCGTCGCGCCAGAAAATCAAGTTGGCGCGTGGAGAACGTTCCCCATGCGACTGCACCGTCGACGGGACGCAGACGCACCCACTCTGACTTTATGGTTACAAACTGTAACCATAAAGTCAACGCGGAACACGGGACAGCGGCCGTGCGCTGGCCCGCGCGCCGCCAATTCTTGCGCCCCCCAAAATCACCTTCTTTGTCGCTCCGCGGGCGCTGGTGGCGCCCTTGGGCACCTTCTTCTGGGTTGCGCCGCCTCCGGACCTCAGGCTGTTCCTCCAGTTGGGGGCCCCCTCCATGGCAGCCTCCCCTCTCGGAGTTCAGTCCCTCGCCACGCCTGGCACACTCTCAGACTGGGCTGTCCTTTTACGAATCTTGGGCTTATGGGCTGTGGCGCAAGGCGGTGGGGGCCCGGGGGCCCGAGGGTGTGGGTGTGGGGTGGGGGGCACTGGAGGGAGAGGGGAGGCTGTGTCGCGCCAAACCGACTGACCGGGCGGGCTTTTGTACCCGCCAGGTGCAACGGGCCCGGGATGACGTCAATCCCGAGGCGCGGCAGTGAAGGGCGGATGTACGGCCGGGGCGGGCACCGCCGGGGATGACGTTGTGGGCGGGCGGCGGTCAGGCGGGCCGGGGCCGCCGTTTGGCGGCGGGGCAATGTACTGGGGGCGCGGCGGTCAAGGGAGGGCGCGCGCGGTTTGGCTGTGGAGGTCTGTACGGAAGGCCGGTGGGCGATCATGGGAAGGGCGCGCCTTTCCCGCCCATTTTGTAGGCGATGGACCCTGGAATGGCGGTGGTAGAATGCGATATGCAAATGACATATAGCTCTGGCAGCATGATGTGTAGTGACAATGCGTTGCTACAGTTTGCTACAGTTCCAGCTCGCCAGCTTGCGAACACAGTTCGTTTGATGTATTACCATCGATTATCACTTCTAGGCATCTAAAGATCATATATCATAGATTTAGTTTGTATTTCTCATTAGATTCCAATGAACCAATCACCGACTCTGCTTTGCTCAGGCAAAATAGGAAGCTGACGGCTACCTCATTGCCTTGCTCTGTAAAAAATCATGATGATGATGATGACAATGCGTTGCAATCACTGATGCGCATCGGCCCCGTCCTGCAGTAACGCGACAGATCTTGGAACGTGCCTTCTATGGCGGCCCAGAAGTTTCCCGGAGGGTCATTGTGAGGAAGGTATTTGCTTCTTGTAGGGACCCGTGGCACTGTGCAATGCATTGTTTGTCTACCGCGCAGACTGTGTGAGTGCGGCTTGGTGCTCAATCACTTAATATAAGGAACCAGCAAATCGAGCAAAAGATAGAAATCAAATCGGGAACAGATCAAAAACTCAGAGAGCTCAAGCAATGCCGTTCAATCTACTCGGCCTGGTTTCTTCGCTGCCCGGCAGGATTTCTTCAGCAATTGATGCAAAAGGAAATCATGTTGAAATTGATGAAGACTATTGAACTGCTCAACAACGTTTAGACGTGACTTGCGTTGGGTGAAGCGGGGCAAAAGGATGTTATAGAAACCGTTACTGATAATATGTTGCCGACAATTTGGCAATATTGAATGTTAAGTCGGTGGTTCAGAAGGTGTCGGACGTCCAAGCGACGGCCGTAAGCTGCGTTTAAAAAGCGCACAATTCGCGACATTGTTCCAATCTTTTGGAGGAGCGCACACTAAAGCAGCTGTTTATATTATATACTTGAAGTGACGCGGTTCTCAATGTTCGCAAATTTTGCGAGCACTGGCAGAGTGCAGAGTGCGCTGCCGCACTCTTGGCGCTGTGGATGATGGATTGCCACATATTGCGCCCCGGGCGCCCTGCAAAGACAACAAGGCGGCGCGCAGAACGTCGCGCTGAACGAACTTTGATTACCAAAGTAAAAATGCGCCAAACGTGCTGGAATTTATTGCCACTGCGAGGGAGAAGAAGAATTTCCCAAGTTCACTACACCGACACAAGCCAACCGGGAGGCCGAGTCGCCCTGGGCCTTGACGACTTGATGCCTTGTTGGGTAAGGGCTTTCACCATCGTCTCTGTCGAATTGGATGCCAGTTCCGCTATGCAATACGTTCTGTAGACGCCACTATAACGTGCGGCCTCTGTTGGAGTACGGGTATACCAGCCGCGAGGCTAGTGACAAGTGGCGCCCAAAGCACGGGCAGGACTACAGTGTCCTGCATACATTATTCTATGTTGATGATTCTTGTTGTAAATCGTGAAGCGCACAATATGCTTTGACTGATGTGAAACTTAATCCTTGTGAACTTTCAGTAAACGAGATTCTTTAAGAAGATCTGTATACATACCAATACGGAAAACTACAACAAGACTACAATACAAGATTCTTGGCAACCGAGGCCCGGATAGGTTAGATGAGTAAGTTTAACGTGCTCGCCCAGACTTCTCAACTCAGCAGGCCGACAGGCACCTGGTGATCATCTGCCCAGTCAAACACCACGGCCCCCTCCGCACATTACCTCAACCATGCTTTACACATTTGATCATTCAGGAACTGCCTATTTCACGCATTTACAGCATGGGTTCGAACGGTGCTATTTTATGTTTCGTGCAGCCCAAACCGCTCAAGTTCCTGCACTGCCTGGCCGCGCACAGCCCAAACAGAATCATAATTTGATTCCAGAGCGCACATCCTGAGCGTGCTTTCTTCCCCAACCTCTCAACCGACCATTGTGCGTTTTTCCATCCCCTTCCGCACAGAGCGTCGTGGGCTAAAAAAGCGAAGGACTCGCCAGCCATCTTCTACCCCCGCCCGGACACCATGTCCCAAGTTCACGTTCCCCACTCCGCTCCATCGACACGCCGTGGACCCATGCTGCACTCCGCAAGAGGCCCCCTGCTCCCCATCTCGAACCGCGCACCCAAGCCCAAGCAGACCGGCTGCGGCTGCTACCTGACGTGAGTGCCTGCCGCACCCCCGAGCGCCTGTTCAGCGGTGACCGGATCTTCACCACCGGCTCACACACACCACCCGCCGGCAAGAATCATTGGCGCGGTGACCCCAACGGGGTAGTCACGCGATTTCGTGCTGCCGCACGTGTGAGACCTTGCAGTTCTTGCCGGTGAAGTATCCGCCTGCGATCTCCGTACATTGGCCTTGGTGCCAGCGTCCATAGCGATTTGCACCCCAGGGCATGCGCTGCCTTGTCATTTTAGTTGCAAGTTGCAGGAAGGTTGAACCCATCCCTATAGCCCACCCGCCCATACGGAGCGACGTCTGACGCATCGCAGTGCCTTCCTGCTGCTGGCAGGGTGCGCGGGGCTCCTGTACGCGGTGTTCTCGCCGTCCCAGCCGGCGCCGATTCCGACCATCCAGGATGGGATCAAGCCACCATTGCAGCAGCAGCAGCAGCCGGTGCAGCCGGCGCCGACGAGGGCGACGGGTGGGCGCGGGGGCGGACAGGCGCCTCGCCAGCGGCCTGGCGGGGAAGGCGTCGATGCGGATGCGACCGACGGATTCCAGGAGGCCGAGCTGGAGGCGATCAAGTCCCGGGCTGAGGTGTGGCGGACATGCGGGATACGCTCCGCTGATCTTGGGTTTTTTTAGATTCCAGAATATGTCATCATATTTCAGTGTTCAGATGCCTACCCCGTCCTAGCAAAAGCTGTGTGGGCCTTGTGCAACCTAGCAAGAGAGGCAAGGCGATGTAGCCCCCCCCCCCCCAAGTTGTTCGAATCCATAAGAATGCTCGGTCTCAAGAAAGGAAGAAGAGAAGTTCCATTGATCTGGGGTTTAGAATAGGAATCCGGGTCTTGCAGGCTGGGCGTTGGGCTTTGCTTCTAGGGACAAATGCCTGTGCAGTGACACACAAGGCAGCGCGGGTGAAAGTCAGTGCCAGGACTGAGGCAGTTGCCTGCAGCGAACGTTGTGTGCATATTGTACTGTCAAGAGGTGCACTGCGATGGGTGCCTGCTGATGCTTAGGGGAAAGATCTCAGTGCTTGAATCGGTTTTGCCGGCTGGGCAGATGTCGCAGTCAATTGGTAAGGTTTGTTACAAACCAAAAGGAATTTTGCTGCACAAGGGCCACCGTTTCCAATTAAATGAGTGTGGGACTTTTTCCATGTTGTAAAATGATGATATAGAGGTTTCCAAGAGGGTAGAAGCAAGCAACAAATGCACCATGAATCGTAAAAACATGCACTTGGGAGGCTCGCAGTCAATGGGAGACCACACGATGTAACATCTTGTCCCTATGACTGGCAAGGAACGGGCAGTTTGGGCCAGGAAGGTGGTAGGTAGGGTTTGGGCCCCACTGGTATCAATGGTTAGTACAGTTGTTCCAGTTGAATGGCGCTGTCTGCTTTGTACGTTTGGCTTGGTGCAGAGCCATCTACAGTCATTCTACGGAACAGACAGACATGAGGCGGTAACTCTATCCCTTGGTTTGAAAGGTGTAGGGAAGTACCATGCAGCAAAAATGGGACTTTTATCTACAGCCGTAGGCATGGGGTTTATCTCAGGGGTGCAAGCCTGCTGTGAACCTGTGGATTTTGTTTGCTCTGGTGGCATGAGCATTGGAGAGTTCTTAAACCAGGCATTTTGAGGTCCTCGGACGCCACTTGATGACGAGTCATCTGTTTTCTGAACATCTCTGTTTGGTTGCAGCACAGGACATTCCAGTGTGCGATGTTCATGTTGTAGTATGGATCAGTTCATTTTATGTGCAGTTGCTGGGCAGTGGTCCATATCACTTCATGTTTGGCTGCCTCCTGGCAAGAGACACTTGGATTGCTTAATTCATGTGTGCAAGGAAGTCTCACATGACGTTTGTGAGCATTGATCTTGACAAATTCGGCTGAATGCTTTCACGCAGGACATAGCCCAAGCCATGCAGGTGAAGGACTTGCAGGATCAAGCTTTGAAACGGAATGAAGAGGAGCCAGAAACTGTGCAAGCGTTGCAAACGGAGGGGCTTGACAGTGCCAAACCTCCCCCCGACGGTTCAGGCGCTGTGGGACTTTGGGCACTGGTGAGCGGCCATGCAGTCCTCTGCTCCCACCTTCGTTGCCATGCTTGGCTGCTTTCTTGGCACCTTCGTTGCTTCCTTGGCTGGCAATGTGCAGCCCTTGAAGGATTTGTGCTGCCACCCATTTGGTGTTGTACAGGATAACACCATCACTGGCAGTGCATTTAGTATGGAGGTGTACCTTAATTCTTGATGCCAAACATGATGTGTTGGAATAATGCCAGGATTCACTGTGCTGAGAAAGCCCTCAGCTGAACGTTGACTAAAAACGCAGTCCCTTCCATTGGACAAATGGTAAGCCATACTCATCTTCCTGATACTGATGCTTGGCTGTGTACTACTGTTCTCCAGTTGTTTTCACGATGTTTCAGGTCTTGTGCATTTGCTGATATTGCTAAGTTGGGATGTTGCACATCGCAGAATGCAGCCGATATCAACGGGACTGTTGTGCCGTTGGCACAGTTTGCAGCAGAAGCAACTGTTGTGGTGAATGTTGCATCACACTGTGGCTACACAGAAACAAACTACAGAGGTAACTGCTTTAAGGATCATCGCTGAAATTCATGCGTTGTGCGTGCTGGTTGTGTGCAATGAATTGATGCATTCTTGCAAATTGCTAGGGCACTGCACTTGCACTGGCAACGTGACGATGGGATGAGCCAGAATGCATAGAGATACACGAGTTGGCACACACAGCATATGTCCCAATGTGAACACCATGTGAACTCCATTTTGATTCCATTGCAATACTGCTGAAGTTCATTGCCTAGTCGATGGTAGTGGCCTCATTTCATTTCAGCGACATGTTCATTGGTTGGAGAGAGCGGGTGTGTGGCCGACACTTGTGATTCACAGAATTGGGTCGGATCTGGGGTCCCTTGCTCTCTCCTTGGACTTGGCTTGCTGGTGGCATCTGGAGCCTACCAACAGTGGTCATGAACAAACATTTGGGGTTTCAAAAAATCATGTGCTTGAGACCATTGCCCAGCATCCTCAGTTTGGTACACGGGCTCTTGATTTGTCTTTTGACAAATGTAATAAAAGCAGGATGTAGGGTGTAGTGTCTGCTAGGAGCCAATGCCAGCGTTTGGGTGATGCAGCTGACCCTGTCATGAGAGATATGAGCATGCTGTTTGTGCATTTCCATCCGAACATATTGCAGTACATCCATTGTCCTGGAATAGAATGCATTATCACTTGTTCGCAGCGGGGGATCTCGGCTAGCTTGCAGAGAATGCAGGAAATTGCACTTTGGTTCATGTGCCAAAATTCAACAAGATGGTACCCATTCGGTCAGTCCTTGATTGATCAAGACCTCTATCCGATCAAAAGCGAGCATGGCCATACGGTTAGAGTGTTTGCTGTTTCCCCGGCCGTGCTGCTCAGAGCACTGTCGTTGCACTCCTGCAAGGAGCTTGGCACTTGGGGCACATCTTGAATGCAGTCGGTGCTTCACAGGCCTCCAGAAATTGTACGAGGCCTACCACGACAGAGGCTTTCAAGTGCTGGCGTTTCCTTGCAACCAATTCATGTCGCAGGAACCTGGAACGAACGAGGAAATCAGGCGGTTTGCACTGGAGGAGTACAACGTCACCTTTCCAATGTTTGCCAAGGTGTGCGACATCATCAACGCCACTCTTCCCGAGCCCTGTGCCTCCCCCGCGCCCCCACTCGTCGTTTTGTTTATTCTCACGGACACATGCTTGTCAGACAGACACCCCATGTTGTGTGCTGGCACCTGCGTTTCAGGAGCCACAGGGTGGTGCAAGTGAGTCGGGACAGGGGTACTCGTATGTTGCTTTTGTCATTTACAGAACTTGAATCAATTGCTTTCTGGGAAGGGGTCTGGAAGCGACATTTCCAGTATCCTGTAGCCCTACCCCTAAGGGAGCAGCTGCCTTCGAAACGCAGCGCACATGCACTGCAACTGTTGTCCCTTTTTCAGTGTCGTCGTTTCTCCTTCTTTCTTTTTGCTTTTCCTTTGTGGGGGTGCTTGCGTGGGTGCCACGTGATGCAGTCGAAGTAGCGGGACTGTGGAAGGCGCAAGGACCCACGCAGCTGGATGATTCCTGGCATTATCGGCGAGTTGATGCGCAAAACTGGGTCGACTCGGGCCTGTCATCGCCTTCATGTTGCAAGAGTTCAGGTCATGCTGCTCACGGGCTCCAATCTGCGGAATTGGATTGCCCCAGAGCTCCTTTGGTTGGATGTGACGCGCGTGCTGTTTATGCGCCAGGTCGACGTCAATGGCCCGGATGCCCACCCGGTGTACAAATTCCTTAAGCAGCACTTGCCGAAGGCGCAGGGCGGAGGGGGCGGAGAGCCCTCCGACTTCGACCTGCGCTGGAACTTTCAGAAGTTCCTCGTCGACGGCGGAGGCTACCCTGTGAAATTGTACCAAGAGGCGTTCGTCGAGGCACCCCTGGAGGCGGAAATCCTCAAGCTCTTGGAACCGCGCCCATCGCCGTCGTGAATCAAAGCGGGGCCCTATCGTTGCTGTGGTGCGGGGACTTGGGCTGGTAACCCGGCTCCCAGCGAGGCCAGTGCAAAAGCAAGTCGTCCTGTGAGGGCGGCACTGGGCAGGCATGGCTCGATAACTCATCTGCCCTTCTCACCCAGTGGGGTGTTTCGTGATAGGGGTTTGTGTGGGTGCTGGCTGGGGGCGTTTGCGGGCTGCCTGGGCGCAGCTACCCACCATCGAGGCAGCGGTGGTCCGAATGAGGGCGACAGGGTGGCACGAGGTGGGAGGGCGTGCTGTGGCAATCTGAACCGCGTAATGCCCCCATCTTTAAGGCGTGGTCTGATAGTAGCAGCGGCGGGCTTTGGCGAGGCCACTTCCATTGGTGTTCGACGCACGCTTTCCTCTTGTTTCGTTTGCACTGTGTTGTGTTCCGCGCAGCTCCGTGAGAGTCCGTATTGGACCCCTCAGGTGCTATGACACGGATTGTTGACAAGGTTACTTGCAGACTGGGGGCCACTCAAGGTGCGTGTGGGACGCAGAGGCTTCGGCGCCCAAGAGATCGGGGTGGCAGGCGGTCAGTAGAATTTCCAGCACAATGGGATATGCAACTGCCAACTCAACGCCATGCCGCCGATAGCGGATGTGCGCAAGCAAGAAGGAAATAAATGGACCTGACTGGAATGTGGCAGGAAGCTTGCCCCGCCAGTGGAGGATTTCCACTTTCACGAATCCCGCAGGCAATCAACTGCCGGCCCACCCGGGGACGTCAAAAGCGTATTGTTGAGGAAATGCCCAATGGCAGCCACCGGCGCAAGGAGGACAAGATTTGGCGCCCCCTTGTGCGGGTCAAAGTCGTGCCTCACAGCTCCGCATGCAATTGAGATGCCTTCCTCCACTACCGTCTGGCCCGCTGCAAGGCAATCGTTCGAAGACTGTTCCAACGCCGAATTTCATTTACAAATCGTCTCACCACACTGTCACTGCCCTCTCACGAGTAGTCGTTTAACTGGCGCTTATGTGACCATCTGGTCACCACGTACATTGCCCACGGCAACGGACGGCACGTCGCCAACCTGATATTTCCACACAAAGCATTACTCAGGGTGAAGAGAGCAGCCTTGCGTGCAGGGATGGATGACTCAATTGACCAGCAGGGCCACAACATCGTTCTTCCTCTCCCCCCCAACCCCTCCCCTCCCCCACCCAATCCACATCTAGCAGACCATGCAGCGGGAAAGTGGGCAACCAGGTACGCATAGGAACCCGTGCATTCTTCCCGAAGAAATTGCGCCCGGAAATTATGTAGTTTTGGATATAGCCCAAGCATTAGCAAGCACGAGGCGTTCAGTTTGAGAAACGGGGAATGGGCCGCGACCTTGCAATGGCAAATCAAGCACACCAGCAACCCCCAATAGGCTCTCGAGGAGTTGCTCGTCTGCCAGCCTTCAGGTCCATTATCCACACCGTCACCAGGCGACTCGCCGCTGCGTTGGGGACTGTGGGTCTAAACTCTTCGCTGGGAAGCAAGCGGACGCGTCCCCATTCCGGGTGGCAACAGCAGGCTCTGCTATTGGCCATCCACCGTGACATCCCTCGTGGCGTCTGGTGAGCAGTGCTTCTCTTCTGTCAGCCCTGGGGACAAAACAGAAGAGCTTGCTGTTGCTCACAATGGACAGATTCTTATCGTCCGCTTCAAAAAAGATTGAACCAATCACAGCAGTCACAGACGACAGAATGGTGCGCATTTCGTGCCGCGCCGACAGGTGGTCCATGAGGTACACTGTTCTGATCCCCTGGACACAGAGTGCAAGTATCGAGCCGCTTGCAACACACCAATCTACACCGCCCCACTACTGTGCACATTCGAACCGCGGCTTGTGTCGTTGCCACCAGCCTGTGCCAATTTGCCAAGCATCGGTTCGCTAAACCAAGAACGTCCAACTGGCGTGCAATTCTCCACCTTCGGCCCCCTCCTCCCGCTTTGTGAGTGACTCCGTTTGTGGCTCCTTGGCCACTGTCTCGCTGTGTCCACACTGTGCAGCCTCAGCCGGCTCTGCTGGGGTTTCAACTGCTTCTTTCGAATCACATTCGGGAGCCGCAGCTGCCTCCTTGCCTGTGGCAGGCGCGTCCTCACCCCCCTCTGGCTCCTCTGCTGCCTCTTCATCAGGATCTGCCCCATCGGCTGGCGTGAGCCCCTGGCCATCGGCTTCGGGCTCGTTCCTTTGCTCCTGCCCAACAGTGTCCTTCTTGCCAACCAGTGCAGGGTACTCATCTTCATTCAGTCCACCAGGGCTAGCGTCAGAGCTCTCGCCAGCAGCTTTCCCGTTGGAGACAGGTTTCGACGAGCTACCCTTGCTGCTCTCTGCCTTTGGTAGAGCCTCAGTTGGCGCCAGGCCCTTTTCTTTCCGGTCGCGTAGCTGCTCCTTCTTGTCCTTGACAAGTTCGATAGTCTTGCAGACCTCGCTCACTGTGTTCGGCACAGGCACCTAGCGGGCAGGAGTATGTGGTTTAGTGGTGGACAAGCAGCAGCTGCCTCTGAAGCTACAGAGCCGCGTATTGACAGGGTCAGCGCAACCTTGAAGAATGGACTTGCGCTGATCGATGTGCGGACGTAAATGGCAAAGACAGCAGTGTGGTTGAGCAGTGGGAACAGGTCATCTGAACGGGAACGCCACTGCCTTTGCAAACTGATGAGGGTAAGCCCATGGGAGACAATCAGTAAACAGCGCAGTGTTCCAACCTGGAGCCTGTGAAACGCCTGCAGGATGTCGATGGTGTGCATGAGCTTCTTCTCTTCTGTGAACCTGTTCTCCTTCATCGCCTTCTTGCCCTTTTGCTTCTTGGCATTTGCCTTGCTGCCCATGCCAGAGAACCAGCCAAGATCGGGGTCATCATCCCTGTTCAGAAGCTTCATGCCTGGCGCAGGGGCTTCGACTTCCTTTGCAGCCTCCTTTGCTGCTTCCTCCTTACTGGGATTGCTGAATTTTGACAGATAACTCAGCATTTGGTCGCACTGAAGCAACTGCACAGCATCATGCCCAGTGAGTCAGTCACACTCCTGGCACAGTCTGACCTGACAAAATCTGACTGAACACGCTGTGCAGCTGGACATCGGCCAACAGATGCAAGAGCGTTGCTGTGACAATTCGTGTGCGTATGTGTGTGCGTATTCCAGATGTCCAGTCTTCAGACCACAGGGTTGTTTGTGCGTTTGCTCTGGAATTGTCTGATGTTGAACATCTTTTGCACCTTCCAGGACCCTCACTGCCACCGTGGGTACCTCTCTGCTTCTCAGAGCTGCAGGCACTGCAACTTGTCTGTGTCTGCAGTCTCTGCAGCCAGTTTCACGATGCTGAATGCAGCGGGAGCCCTGGCAACACAGAGTCACCGATGGCAGGACTTAGCGACAGTGAACAAAGGCCCCCAGCCTACCTTCTCTTCATACACGTCCACTTCGTATTCAGCCCGCTCTGCAGCTCGCTCTGCCTGCCGCTGCTCATAATCCTTCTTTCTGGCCTCTTGCCTGAACACAACCAGAAGTGTGAGCAAGCCCCTGACATCATGGCCGTGTATTGCATGCTGCTCACAGCAGCCTGTCCAACGACAAGCACACCAGCACAAGCCACACACAATGTTGGGGTGTGCCACATGCAATCCTCAGTGCAAACAGGTCCACCCTCGAGGCACGTCAAGAGCAGATCCTACTTCGCGTCAGTGATGCTCGCTCAGCCCCACTGCAGCCGACCGTGGCACCAACAGCAGTTCTCCCCACACACAGATCCGGCTGGGAACGAATGCTGATGAGCCATTCGCTGCTGTGGTATCCCATAGGGTACAAGCACACGCTGTGGATGCACCCGTGCCCAGAATTGCCATCTTGCAGGCGATGTTTGGCAACGGGCGCCATTGTGCGAGGCTTGTCCATTCTCCCCCGCAAACCCATGCGCCACCAAAGGGCACCCGCACGCCACCCCCCTCCCCGCCCACCTCTTCTTGCGGTCCTCGCTCTGCCACTTGCGGAACTCCGCCTCCCGCCTCTTGAACTCCTCGTACTTCTCCCTGTACTCGTCCCTTATGGCGTCCCTCTTGGCGCGCAGCGCCTGCATGATAGCCCAGCACTCCTCCTTCTCCTCCCTCAGGCTCGATTCCTCCGTACTGTCGTCGTCCCTGCACGCGTGCAGCTCCGCCATCCGCCCCTTCTCCCTCGCGATGTCGCCCCTGAGACCCTCCAGCCGCTCCTCCGCGCCCGCCACGCGCCGCGCCAGGCCCTCCCGCATCCGGTCGTCCTCCTGCATCTTCTCCAGCCGGTCGTGGTAGTTCTTCACTGTCGCGCGGCTTTGCGCCAGGTCCTTGATCTGCCGCACCTTGCGCTCCTCCTCCCCCGGCGACAGGCCGGACCCGTTGAGCTCGGCCTCCAGCCGGCCGATCTGGCCGTCGATGTCCTCCACCGTCGCGTACTTCACGCGCCCCTTCAGCGCCTTCACCTGCGCCCGCAGCGCCTCGCGCGTCTGCTCCGCCCGCGCCAGCTCGTCCTGCCACGCCTGCTTCTGATTCTGCAGAAGCCACCGGCGCCAATCCATAACGAGTCAGGCCCAAATGCCGGAGCCCGCAGACTTTGGTGACAAGCAAGCGCACCAAAATGGCTTCAACCCCACCCCAAAGGCAATCCCAATGTTACCAGACCTGCACGCTCCACACTGCCGTCCGCAGCACAGCCCCTTCCCTCCCCAGTCACCACACCGGGCCCCAATCATAGATTCCCGACCTCGCCCCATGCCCGCCCCGCCACCCGCCGATCCAATCCCGTGGCCCAGCGCCCCCCCGCCGCACCTTGGTTGCCTCGAACTGCGCCCTGAAGTCCGCCAGGCGGCGCATCACCGCCGCCTCCTCGCCCCCCGTGCCCTTGGACCTGTCCCGCCGCGCCTGCAACAGGTCCTTTATCTCCCTGATCCGCCCCGCGTGCCGCTCGGTCTCCGCGTTCAGCTTCTCGATCTGCTTGTCCATCTCCGCGCGGTCCGGTGCGGTCGGCCGCTTCATGCGCATCGCCGGCGGGGCCTTGCCGGCGGGAGGGCCCCCCTCCGCCGTGGGCGCCTCCGGGTCCTCGGACAGCGCCATCGGAATGCGGCGCCAAAACGAGCGGAGAAGGGATGCGAAGGCGGGGGGGGAGGGGAGGGACTAGCTACAACCGGCGGGGGTGCCGGGGAGCCGGGCTGGGCGGCTGTGGGGCGCGGCGTGCTCCGGTCGGGTTGTTCGGGTGGAACGGCGGGCTGGGGGATGGGCTGGGAAGGCGGATCCGGCTTAAAGGGTCCGATGAAGCGCGTTCGAGCGTCTTTGTGCGTCTTTGCGGGGCGTTAATGGGGCATCAGGGCGGTCTGAGGTGGGAATTCGCCTCGGCGCTCCTCCTTGGACAGGAGGCATATCCAGGTGCAAGGAGATCGGTTAGGCTGACGTTTGGCCCCCGCCCCGAATTCGGACGAGCAGGCGACGCGCGGCGTCGCGCGTTGGCGCGAATTTTTGGTTGTTGGTCCGCCCGAGGACGGGAGCGGTGGCGCGAGGAGTTCCGGGCTGACGTGATTCTTGGGTGCGCAGCAGCGCAGGGCAAAGGCTGCGAGTTTTGGCTGCCCCGCCTGGCGACGACCTGCGCATGAGGATGCCTTCGCGGCTGCGTGGAAGACTGGACTGTCTTCGGCAAGAGGACCTGCCATCCAAGGAGCAACACCTGACGGGAGCCTCCGGTGCGCTGCAGCAACCTGATGTGGCCGCACTCGGTGCCCCCGCGCACAGCAGAGCACAGGCTGCCCCTGGTTCCTTCATTCTGGGCGTCGAGTGCACAGAACTGGTCCTTTAAGAATTTAAATCTGTGCCAGATTTGCGAGGCAGAGATGGATATTTGTTCCTATTCTGTGCAGATACTCCCAGTAACAACAGCTCGCACACAGTTTGGATTAGCTGGTCTGTTGAGAGCCTCCACAAGTTGTAACGAGCAAGCGTTGCCAAAAGTGGGTAGAAGCCTGCCACATTACCCGCAGCAGCCCAATGGCTAACAAGAGACTGAATGTTCTGAAGTTCATGGTTTGTAACAGCAAGAAGTGTCCATGGAAATGGAATCAACTGCCCGTATGTGGGGTTGATGTTGGTCTTCCTATGAAGATCGCATTTGGTGAATGTCCAGGCCATGTGACACAACTCTGATGCTGCAAAAAAGCTTTGCCCATCACTGTTTGGCAGGTGCAAGGGTAGAACTTTGTTCATTTGAATCAGCAAACCAGCCAAAGTACACCTCACTCGCTCACTCTCAACCTCTCCACTCAGTCTCTATTGTCGACACACACCAGAAGCATCCAGCCTGGCAGAACATTCCAACACACATTCCAGTATTGCAGGAATTCTATTCAAGACAGATAGAGCCTTCAAGGCTCAGAATTTCCTGGCCGCTTTCCACACAAACCTCACCATTCAGCAGACCCACCCAGTGTGTGACCATACAACACTCACCACTCTCAAATGAAATTCTGCAGTGAACAAATTTCACCGACATATTGCCTATGATGCAGGGCACACCAAACCCACCATACTATGGGGAACTATCTTCCTGTATTTGACATTGTTCGTTTTCTGCTCATGGCCAAAGGCCCCAAATCCCTGTTCCCTCTCACCCCGTTTGCTAAAGCTGATGCCAGCATGGAGAACGCCCTGGCATCCTGAATATTTATGCCAACATACCACAAGCCCAATTCACATTACATTCCAAAACAGTGCAAAAGGCGACTGCAGTGTCGTTTACGAGTCATCGATCTCATTTTGGCTGATGCTTGACGAATATGACGCGGCCTGATGAGTGCCAGAGTGCAGAACTGTGGAAGGCGTGGCGGCAGAAGACTTCAGGCGCTCCCAAGTTGCCAGTGCGACCTGCACAGCCGCAGGAAACAGAGAAGAACTGTCAGCCTGGCAAACTGCAGGCCACCATGGGAAGCCCCACGGCTTCTAAACTTTCAAAAGTCTGAAACAGTGCATATTAGCATACTGGGGCATACTGCACAGAATTGTGCCACACATCGCCCCAAAGACATGAGAGCAGTGCTCTGCCATTCTGGTGCCATGCAGAACAGTGTTCTGGTACCATTCTGGCAAGTGCAAAGCCTGACGCACGTCACACCATGGAGACACTGGAAGATCTGCCAGGCTGCCTTTCGCACCTGAGTTTGTTCAATAACTGCAGCGGGTGCCACCCCCCCCTGACCACCAATCTCTTCAATGTTCAAATGCACTTGTGCCAACACTTCGTCTCCCTCACAGGGACGCTGCCCATCTCGCTGGCCCATGGAAGGCTCTCCTGCCTCATGGTGACTGCTGTCAGCTGCTGCCAGCTGTGCCTGCAGCTGCTGCAGATGGCTGATGGCATTCTCTGTCCGATGTATCCAAGAACAGCACACCTGTGACAAATACACAAATCTTGAGTGCAATTTTGCAAGCAAGTGCAAAGATTATGGTTTATCACCAATGCAAGAAGCAGCACAATCGCCCAACACTTGTGATATTCCATCTTTGTCACACATGGCCGAGTATTTAAAGAGGCGTTCTTGTGGAATTTCGGCTTCTTGACAATCCCTCAGATGTTTTGGGTGCTTCAGACGTTTGCTCACGCTGGACGCTCGGATATTTGGCATCCAATGCGGTGTGCTGGTCTAGATGCCACTGATCCTGTCCTTTCTTGGAATGATGGAGCACATGGCACAGTGTATGCACAGGAATAGACCCTCAGGACATGAATGATGGCTGAAGAAGGACATGCGAGTTTGTGGGACTTTTGACACCAACAGAAGGGCTTCTCACTGGACGCTGCAAAACCTTGGAAATACCATTGCATGTTGATGCCAGCGACTGGGCGTGCAGCGCGCTCGGGTGGGAGGGGTTTATTTGCCAATTTACCACACTTGAGTGCACAGGACTGTATCAGGAGGTTTGTTTTGTGACATTGACGCAGCCCATGGCAGGAATTGACGCGATCAGCACATAACTTGGGCATCGCAGATTAGAAATTCCAGTGGGCTGCTGGGAGGCTCAGCAGATGTGATTCGAGTCTCAAATTGCTCTACACAATACGTAAAGAACCTGTTGGTTGTTTGCATCCAGGGACAATTGGCATCATTTGGTATCACCTTGTGTCCCAGGCTTTTGGGGCTGACACCAGTTGAGTGGCCAAACGTGTCCAAACACAAGACACCGTGATACACCACCGAGCCAAGTTCCGCGGTCCGCGACTTCGTGCCCCTCCAGGCGGAAAGCAAGGAGCGCCGCATCAGCGCGCACCGCCTTCCCGCCCAACCATGCCACCGGACGCGCGTTTTCCGGTCCCCGCCGCGGCGCCCCCTTTTATGCGCAATAAACAATACCCGATGACTGGGCGCGAATATTCCCCCGGGCCGCAGCGTCCCCATCGGCACGGGGGCCCGCGACCAGACCCCCGGGCCCCGGGCAGCGCCCGCTGACGCCCACGCTAACCGTGCTAATCCGAAGGGACCCACCGGGGCACCAGCCACTGGCGGCGCCGCCACCGAAGAAACCTTACCCCCCTGAAAGGCCACCCCGGCGATCGGCACCCTCGCTCTGTGCGCCCCTCGCCACCGGCCCCCAGCGCACCTCCGGCGAGAAGAACGGCTCCTCGACAAGCGCCTCGATCGGCACGGACGGCACCGTGCCCCCAGTCTTCTTAAGGTGCTTCTTCAGGATCTTGGCCATCGCCGTGTAGGCCAGCATGCTCCAGTGCATGAACAGCACCAGCTCCCCGTGGAAGTCCACGCAGCGGCGTATAAGCAGCGTGCAGCCCTCCGCCGTGGCTATGCCCCGCGCCTCGCTCTCCAGCGCCTCCAGCCGCATCACGACCTGCTCCTCGCGCTCCACGAATGTCTCGTTGAGGCGCGCCAGGTGACCGCCCAGCGCCGCGGCAAACTGCGCCTCGAAGGCGTTCCAGCCCGCGAAGTTGCCGTCGCTCAGCACGCCCGCCATCCGCCGGATCTGCTTCTTCTGCCGCTTGTACTGTTCCGACAGCTCCCGCACCTCGGGCAGGTGCTGCGCTGTGCTGCGCAGCAGGCGGCAGAACTTCATGCCGCACGCTCGCGCACGGCGAAAAGATGCCCGGTCGAATTCTCCAAGACTGCTCTCCGCAAGTGCCACCGCGTCGAGCGCCCTCCGCGCTGACTGACGATCGGCAATGGGATTCTGAAGGGTCGCGCGGCTGGGATTGACGGCTTGCGGTCAATGCAGGGAGGGAGTCTTGCCGCCCTGTGGCGCCGCGGCGGGGAGGGGGGGCATGATGGGGGCCGGGTTCCGCGCCGGAGACTTGGGCGGATGTCGAAGGAGGGGTGCGCGGCCGTTGCGGCGCGGGCGCCGGCGACGCGGTGTGCGCGTGAAGGGCGCGACGGCGTCGAACACGAGCGCCGTTGGCTGGCGATCCAGATACGTATGCGAGCCGCGGTTACGTAAAATCGGTGTACATCCACATGCAGGCATGCCGTACGGCGTGGGTGTATGGCGATGTACCGCAGATCATGAAGGAGGTTGATTTGGTGGCTGCGCCAAATTTAAGGGTGGGGGCGTTCGCATCCGACACGGGCAGAATTTTGAAAACAAATTCGTTTTCATTTTTGCTCATGGGCTTTAAGGCCCATGAAATGGAAAACATACGGAGAAGCAACAATAGATGTACTGCACAATCAACATAAGCAAGATATGTTTAGAAATCACCAAACAACTTTGAAAATTGCAACTGCGACAAACGGCACCAACATCAACACAACAAGCTTCTCAAATACTGTATACCGGAAAAGGTTTGCGGCAGAAAAATTTGCCGCACTGCGTGCTACAGCCACTTCGCGAAAATCTTTCTGCGCGAAATTTTTGGCTGCGTGACTGCGTTTTCTTCGCCCGCAAGCTTCTCAACCGGTCACAAGACAAGCGGCTTGGGACTTGGGTGACCTGTCGCTTGTCGGGTTGCACATCGGCGACTGCGATGTTCGTCGCTCTTTGTCAAGTAGCGAAACCCGTGTTGGAGCCCTGGGCCACCCGCCAGCTACTCTGCATCATAGCGGGCCGCTGCTGTTCGCCTCAATCTGTCCTTGGTCAACGGCGCTTCTAGTACCTGGACACTTCACTGCTGCATTCCAGGTCCGCCGCCAACAGGTGACTCGCGCGGCCAAAACTCATGCACAAAGCGGATGAGCATGCGGCGATGCCGCATCCCAGCAGCGCGGTCACCATGATGTGGCGCAGTAGTTGTTGCAGCGGCCGTGATTGTGCGCAATGCAAATTCCCTTGCGCAATGAAAAAATGTCCGAGGAGGCAATTCATTTGGACACCGCCACGTGCGTGAAAATGTTTCTGCGAACGTGTTTTACTGCAACCACACAAGCGTCTTTCCCCACGAACGGTTTTCAGTGTACAGTATTTGGACTAGGCTGTAGATATGCAACAACCAAACAACCTTCTTTCCCACCGAACAAAATAGTGAAAACTGCAAAACGGCGTTCAAGTGCCAACCAGCAACCCATCATGCGCACATTGTGGTGGTGCCACATGGCCATCACTTTAGGATGGGTGCTGGCACTGGTTAAGCGGTGCTGACGAATTGTCAGCGACGATGTCGATCCCGGGTATCGTTCAATGGGCATTGTATGTCCCTCAACTCCACCGACTTCAAACACGTTGGAGTCAGAAAGGCAGGAGGACTTCAAAAGCTTAAGCTCTCAATTTGGCGATGAAGCTGAACATAGGGTCTGGTGCTGGAGTGCAGCCATTGCCCACCACGTGTTGTGGACAACATGCTTTCTTTTCGTTGAGTTCCAGAGGACAATGTGTAAATCTAGGCTGGATTGCTGCATAACTGCCACCGCTCTACTGGATGCATCATTTACGTACATGGTGGACTCTAAGATCCAGGAGCCCGCGCTGGCGCACTGCTTCCTTTTCTTGTGCGGACAAAGTGAGGAATGCTATTGTCATTAGCGCGATTTCATCAACACGGCGGTTTTAAGCTAATTGAGTCTTTGCATTTGGTCTTGCTTTTGGGTGGCGCAATGTCTGGAGGACTACCCCTTTGTGTTCTTTACTTTCTCGTCGTAGTACTGCGACGAAAAGTGCTACATCGGTGTAGTCCAACAGATATGTGTTGTTGAGGATTTTGAGGTGAAGACTTGTTTTCGCTAATTTAGATAACGATAAATCTGTTTGGACGCAAAGGCTCCAGAAATGATCACCGGCTTCCGTCATTCTGTCTGTGAAAATGCATTCGTTCGTTGCTAGGTTGTTAACTCGCGTTCACGACATCATTTCTACGTTTGCTTTCACATTCTACGAGCAAAGCGGGTAAACACAGAAACGATTATTTTAACGTCTATATTTACCCAGTTTTACGGTGCGTTGAGGCAACCAGATTACATAATAAACCCACAAGCAATGGTCAGTCCTCCGCCTCCTAGAGCACCAGTAGCGCAGCATTCACCATGGCCTCGACAAGGGCAATGAAGTTATCGAACAAGTGATCGCCTTCTCCCCACTCCAGAACTTCTGGCTGCCGCTCTGCGAACTGAGTGGCTTTGAGTTTGAATGTGCTAGCTTTGTGTACACAGGGTCTGCATTTACGTATTTTGACGCGTTTTTACGCGTAGAAGCGTAAAGACTTCTTTTACTATAAATACGTAAGTATGCGCTGTGTCCACGGTGCAAATAACAAACTGTTCGTGGTCAATGGTCAGTGCCATTGAAACATGCTCGTTGGAATATGATTTACTGAGTGGACGGGTAGTTATCCGCGTGAATGTTGACAAGTAGTTATACCGTGAGAATGATTAGTTTCTTTAGATTATTTAGCAGCAAATCTAATGATTTAAGCCTCCAATGTTTGGCCTGGTGTGATTTTTCGTGGGAAGCATTTCGATCACACTGGTGTCTGTTCGGGACGATCTGAGTTTTCGAGGTTTGTTGTTAACCTTGAATCATCTTGCCTGGACATATATGTTTTGTACCAGGCACTGCCACAGTTTCTGTAAAGTACAGAGGCGCATTAACACGGAAAGATGGCAAGGCACGTAAAACCAACTACATAGCAACATGGAATGATGAAGAACAGCAGGTACAGAAAACTTCTGTATTCACAGATTCCATAATTGTGGCAAGTTTGAATGATGGAAAGGCTCAAGAATTCTATGCTCGACATATGGTTGATTTATTAAATTATTTATGAACTTGCTGACAATTCCTGACCAGGCACTGCAATTGGCGAATCAGCACTGTGGCGATCATGTGCAGCCATGATTTTAAGACGTTCGACAAGCCGAAATTGGACATTCAGAGGCGGCCACGGCCTGCAAGGCGTAAGGGCTTCCGTTGTTTGTTCCTTTTCGACAGATTTAATATTAGATTCCGTACCACTCACATGCAGGTCGCCAGCATTGATCATCATAGCATAAATTATGTACACTTGTACATGAGACAGAAGCCCTCTGAATTGCCCGACGATTAAGGCGGACAAGTGGATATAGGCCACGAATGTGGTAGCGGTGGTGGTGGTGTGTGTGTTTGTGTGTGGGGTGGAGGATGGAGGGTGGGGGTGGGGGTGACAAGAACGCAGCGCAGCTTGTTACTCAGCAAAAAATGTTTGGGCTAAGTGCCATGCGTTCGAAACGCGCCCTGGCTAACAATGATGCCTTGAACATCAAAAACGTATGGGCATCTTGGGGACACATTTTTTCATCTGGGTGCCTTGCTCGCAAGGATTTTTTTTGGAAGCTTGAGTAGTTTCCTACAAACGTACAGTGCAACAGGGGTTTTGGATTAGTCTGCGTGAACAGAACCCGAGCACACGCAGCGCCCCCGTGGCAAACCTTTGTTTGTCATTTTCCTTTGCATAGGATTTCATTGCCATTCACGGTGCAATATGTTGCAGTCCTTCAAATCTAGTATCTCTACATCGATTGAGCTAAAAGCCAGTTTTAATAAAAACTCATTGACGCCCTTTGCTATGATCGAGTGTATTTCTTGCGCAATAGACAATAAAATTTTGTAACAGAGTAGTACAAGTGTGCTGCGAGAATCCGCTGTGATGCTAGCTGTCGACAAGTCTGTAACAATGCAAGGAGAGATCATTGTAGCGGAGGCATTGCTGCCCAAATTTGGATATTTGTGAAGCCAGATTTGAGATTGTTGTATGCTTAACATTCATTGCAATCTGCTGCCATAATTTGGATAGCTATGCTGTCAGATATCTGGCCGTGACTGTTCCCTGCACCGATCGCCAACCCCGTTGGTGCTCATGCCGTGGTGGCATTGTGAAACACAACATTTGGATTCAAGGAATCTTGAGAAATTAGGATACTACCACAATCACGGTGTGGCCAAAAATACAGCTATTCGATCAAATTCATGGAACAGACCGACAACGATGCAGTAAAAGCTCTTTACACAATTTTACCTCCAATGACATGTAAATGCAATGGATACATTAGCTGGTGTACGTGCATTTCATCTCCTTCGCGCAGGTGGCCATGCCGCCAAGCAACTTGCCATAGTGGATCCATTTAGGGCCTTCAGGGTGACGTTCATGCCTTGCTGCGAAACGCACGCGCACCCCGTTATGATTTCGCTTCCGTGGAATACTTCACCGCCGCACAGAAGAGGCCATTTGACATCGCGGCTTCCTCCGGACTGCCCCCACATATGCCTGGCTCATTGATGGAGTTCGCCATCAGGCTCTGACGGGGCGTTGGGAGCGATATGTTCCATTATTGGCACCACCAGCTAATGTGATCATACTATTATTTATACAATGCTTGTACGATGAGGTGAAAGCGATTAGGTGCGCTGCTTATCCGCACCAAAGTTGCATGGTATGCGGATTTTTATTCTGTACGATGACACGCAAGGATGAAAATGGTGCGCGTACCCTAGGTTGAGATTAGCAATTTCCAGTGATGTTGTAGACAGAAAAAGTCAATATTGTGGCCATTTTTCCGATTATTGCAGGATTGAAATAGGGTACGGCAGCTTATGGACACCCCCATTCTCTCTTGAACTTAGCTCACCTCCTTGGAGGGCCCACCCCACCATGTCCATGGACGGCGCTTTGCAGTTAACTACGAAACAACATTGCTTCGGGTTTGGGACAGTGGTCGAACGAACAGTAGTCGGATTAGATTGTACCGTAGTATATTCAATCCTTCTGCATCAGAAAATATTACCGTTGCGCTTTTGCATTTTGTTTTCTCAGAGCGTTACCTCTATTTATTTTATGTTGCTCCGCAAAACAAGGTCAAACTTTGCATTGCTATCAATGCTTAATTTTTCTCCCTGCAAAGGGCGGTTCTTCTTTCTGGCCGTTATCCCCAGAGATAGCGCAATAAAATCAGCCTCAAACGGGCAGCTGAGCCATGTCAACAGCCTCAGCACCACGTCAGTTGAGGGGTCAATGAACGACCAAGCTTTTAATTTTCATGAAGAACTGCTTGTCACGACGACGGCCACCAACAAAAACAGCAGCGACAGCAAGGTGAAGCTTCAAACGGGTAGCAAACGTCCAACTGCCAGCCGACCATGCAAATATGCTTGTACAAACTCTCACAGCTGCCGCTCAGAGCGCCTCAACCGGTCGCAACTGCTCTTCAATAGCCGACGAAGTCAAAACTCAAGTCAGGTCCACAGGTCAGGGCTGCCTTGTCCACAACACGTTGTTGTATGATACCGGAGACGCTTCTCTCAATCTCCACAAGGTTGTACAGCGACGAGACTTGGCAAGTTCTGGCCGGCAGCTAGACCACAGTGGAGGCGCTGATCTTGAACGGCAAGAAAACTGCTTGAAAACACGGTCCAGACTGGCCGTGTTTTCAAGCAGTTTTCTTGCCGTTCAAGACCTTCGAAAAGGTCGAGCCCTATTGCGCTCAGGCTTTGGCGAACGTTGCGTGCACAGCCAGGGAAGTCAAGCAGCCAGGCCGAACGCCTAGGCCGCTGCGCCAGACACACGCGTACCTCACGCAACCGTTGGTACAGCTGCCATGACGGGTGCAACAATGGAGGCTCCCCCACGGCGCTGTCCGCACCCCTAGTACTTGCAACCTCCCCCGAGTTTGAAATCCCGCCCATATGGAACATCGTATTTTGATTCCCCGGATCCTTTCCGCCACACTGCCGCGTCACCGCAATTCACACCGGTACGCCCCACTTCCCGGCTGCGTAATACCCCACGGGCCATATTCCCATCAAACAGCCTAGTGGCGCCTCCACGCGCGCACCTCCTGACCCCGTCTGGCCGCGCGCTATGGCAGGTCGCACAGTGGGCACAACCCCTCCATCCAAAACGGCACCTTCGCACATAGAATGTCATATCTTGAACACTAAGCATCCATTTGAGGTGAAATCTTTTGCAAATAATTTCTCTAAAACACCTCTATATAACTTGGGATAGCAACAGCATGTTGCAAGTCTGACTTGCCACTGATTGATCTTTTCAAATCCATATTTGATCAGCTTTCACAAGTCCATTTTTCTGACTGATGGCACCCAGCCTTCCGTGACAAAGCACCTTGCTCTGAGCTAGGGGCACACTTCTGAGCAGCTTGCATGCCGCAGGACGCCAGAAGTCTACAGCACCACGCCAGGATGACAAATCCAGCTGCAGTACATTTGCATGCCTCTCGCATCAGCCCTGCGATCTCCTATTCCGTGCATCCACGGCCCCCGCGCTCGCTCGAACTCACGGCGCTCCGCCACACAGTCGACCACGCAGGTTGAAAGGCTTGCCCGTTCGCCAGAAGCCCCCCCGGCAACTTCGACCTCGATCCGTCTCAATCGGCGATTCGGCCATGTGTCCGGCAAACCTCATCGGCAGCACCATGGCCAGCCACGGCCGTCCCGGCTCGATCAACGGGCATTGCTCGGAAAAACCGACGCAGCCCGACTCGCCAAGCCTTTCTGCGTCCAGTGCGCCTGGCCACGCACTGCTGCTCCCCTTCCCTTGCCACAGCAAATGCATGTGCCCAACAGCGACCTGCGTGCTCTAGTACTTCACGGTGTCCAACATTGGTGTACCCTGTGACGCGCTGCCACGTGCTGAACTGTGTATGGCATCACAACTGCATTGCTTTGGGTTCTTTAGGCATACAGTGAGGATGCCATGGTCTCTCTTTGTCACTGAAGTCATCTCCTTGCATTCTGGGTGCATTGGGCTTGGATTGCTAGAAAATTCTGGGTTTCTGTCTCATTGAGCGCCAACCTGCTGGATGATAATCAGGGTGACGAAGGTGCTGAAGTTGTCGACATTCCCCTTGCATCATTTCTGGACCTGACGGGTCGCCGGCCGAGTGATATCATTAACTTATTAATTTTTTGATGAGTCTCATTTATTGGCGACCCGAGCACTCCCCCAAAATAGGCCAAGCGCTGCGTTACTTGCTGAACTGTTGACCATACTATGGTAACAAAGAAGCGCTTCCCTGTGCCACTGCCCTGTGTGGTCGGTGGGCATTGCGTGAACGAATGCCAGCATCCCGACACCTGACCGGCCACCAGTCCTTACCAAACAATCGTCAGTCTCGCAGGCGCCCTCTTGGACTGGCCAGCTCGGCAGCGCCGAGACAAACCACGTTCGCACCGCTGGGAGTGCAGAACAGAGGTGAATGTGTTGACTAATGCGTTCAGGATGACTGGACTTGTTGCAGCTGAAAAGCGCAACTTCAAGTGGCGTCATGACAGTAGTGCTCCGACAGTTTCTTGCCGAACTTGCTTGCTGACCCCATCATTCCATGCACTTTCTTGTGCTCCCATTGCCTGCAGCCAAGAAGCACAAACAGCATAAGATCGTCCAGTCGATCGTGCAGCGCGTGGGTGGCGTCACCACCTGTGCCGACGGCGACCAAGGCCCGCCCCGGCGACAGCACCGGAGGCGCGCGGACGTCATGCTGCGCCACTCTGGGAGCCTGCCTGCCCGGATGTCCACGACGGGCCGCTCGCGAGGGGCCCTGGACGGCGGCTGTGCGTGCCGCGCGGCAAGGCCAAGCCGCGTCAAAGTGGGTGCTCCCGTCAATCCACCTCGGCCGTTCGACACATTCCACGCCACTTTCGAATCAGGTCGTCGGGGCCCTCCTTGAGCGCGTGGTGGCAGTCGGGATGGCCATTCGCCCTCCCCCTCGCGCTTTCCTGTCGATGAGCGGTGGTTGCTGGCCGCCGCGCAGGCCCCGGGACTGGTGGTTTGCATGGGGAAGAAGAGCAAGCTGCGCGAGCAGCGCAGTCGGGAGAGAGAAAGCCTTCGGGAGGGCGGCGAGGCCGAGGGGGATGCGCCTTTGGCCGCGGAAGAAGTTGCGCCTGAGGTCGAATGCGAGCCGACGTCCGGCGAAGAGGGTGCGCTCCGTGTGGTCCCTTTCGCGGGAACTGCTCGCAGCGGTTGTTGTGCATGGTAGCGCCTCTGTGGCATGGCAATGGGAGCTCACCTCCAGGCGACAGAGGCCCTCGTGTGTCGGAAAGAAGGGCGGCAACGCCCAGGAAACAAAACTGGCACACATCAGCGTGAACGAAATTCTAGTTGGAGTCACTGCCTTGCGATGCAGCTGTTGCACCCGATGGGCCTCCGCAATGTGCTGGTTGCAGCGGGGCTGTGGCGGTGCTAGCTTGCTGCCCAGAGGATTCCGCTCCAAAGCTAATTGTTTCAATTATCTGAAGCTCTGTCGCTGCAAGTTGTCCCAATGGCCCAACAATTTCTTCAAGTGTATCCACCCGCACAGAACAACATAGTGCATTTGGACGCTCCAAGATGGGACTTCTCCCAATCAAACCCGAATCGCCTCCCAATATGAGGTGACGGGGCATTGTTGCTGCCTCAGATGTGAGGAGAAGTGCCGATGGCACACCAGTGGGATGGTCAGTCCTGCCATTCCTGTCCCAAGGCGCCAACAAAGGCACACCGAATGAAGAAGACAAAACTGACGACAGTGGAGACTCTGTTCCATACATCGACCTACTCAGTCCCACAGCCGATCCAGATGAGGATGCAGAGGGGAAGGGTGCCGAAGTCACCAAAGATCAGGCGAGTCTCACACACATCACTGTGCACCAAATTTTTCAGAAGAGCCTGAGAGATTACCAAAGGTTTCGGCAAATACCATTGTCCATGGCATGTGACAGTCAGAAAATGGGAGGTGAAGTATGCAATAACAGCATAAGCTGGGCCCCTAGTGCCTTGTGGCTGCCCCAGCAGTTTCCTTCTTGTGCATGGGCACCTGGCGGTTGTCCGGTCTTTCTACGCCAGCTTCGAGTTTTGCCAAATTGGGATATTAAAGATGGCAAGAAGGCAAAGTTTGCATACATCACAACTCCATTCCCTTGCAGAGACAGTTCCCTATCCCCCCACCCCCATCCCCCACCGCCAGCGTGCATGCTGTCTGCAGGGCGATCGCAGGGCTTGTGCAATGCGCTCCCTGGATTTTGTTTGTAGAGTTCAGCACCTGAGCACCAATAGGGGAGGTCTCTTTGTATCATCAGAGCAGGCACTGTTTCAGGGTAGCAATTCGGCAGCGACAAGTGACACGACCATCATGTTCTGCCAATGCACGTGAACACGCATTTGTTCATACCCTCTGCAGATTTTGTCAGCTTGTGCCTCCACCAGCGCTGCTGTGTTTGCCATGAGCTTCCTCATCCGGAGTTTGACAGCCAACAAGCCATCCTTCCTAGGAGATGATCCCGAACTGGTTCAGTCGCTGCTGTCGCTGCAGCCCCAGTGGGACTTGACTCACATTCTGGTCGCTGTCGGAGCTGCCGGTTTGGTGACGGGTGCCAGGGTGGCACTTTTGAGGGTGTGGTCAGACTTTGCGGTTGCCACCAACCGGTCAAACAAGCAGGTAAGTGGGTCAGGGGTGTTGAATCGACACCTGCAATATGCTGTCAACCAGGCACCCTGAGCACAGTTCCATTCAGTACGTGACCGAGCCACAAGGGCAAGTTGTGACTCATCAAGGCCAATGTTGTCCAAGGAAATACTTCCGTCCTCAACAGTGGCTTTCAGCTCAGCTCAGTCAGCTTAGTTACAAGTTTGGTTTACAGCAGCAGCATATCCCTTATATGTGTCCATATATCTATATGTATCTATATATATCTATATATATCTATCTGTATCACTATATCTATATATGTGTCTCTGCAGGCATCCCAGTGGCTGCCGTTGGGAGTGCTTGTAGCCTATGGGCGTTGTAGGAACACTGACAACAAGGTGGCGCTGTCATGGAATCAGGTGTTGAGCCCTCTGGGTACTTGGGAAGTCCTCCTTGTGTCATGCCTTCCAGGCATCTCCGAAGAATTGCTGTTTAGGGGCAGCCTCATCCCTGCCCTTACAGCGGATTGGAGGGGCGCTCTGGCTTCGGGCGTTGCCTTTGGCGTGCTGCACAACAGTGGAGGGAGGAATTGGTCCTTCGCAGCCTGGGCGTCAGCTGTGGGTTTTCTGTATGGCATGGCCTTCCTGGCCACCCAAGACATTTATGTGCCCATAGCGGCCCATTCCTTGGCGAATTTGTTGTCTGCAGTGCTGTGGATGGAGCAAAATGAGCGAAACGTCTAATGACAGACTGCATCTGCGGATTTGCCATGCATTGACCAAACCAAAACCGAGGGGAACTGTTTGTTTGTGAGGATCGTAGGATGCCGCACATCGGCATTTTTGCCATTGCTTGGACTGCCTGTGGTTCAAATAGTATAAAGTAGGTACTTCTTCTCATTTCTGATATCACATAGGTTTGCAGGACTGCGGCTGTGCCCTTGTGAGACACAGAACGTACATGTGCATCCCTGTTCAGTCGAGGAATGCATCGTTGTGCTTGCTGTTTCTTGACATTTTTCACACCATAATCGGTCAGAACATGTACGCGGCAGAACAACAGCAATGTACTGCATCTGGAGTAATATGTACTTCTCGCTGCATTGTGACTGCCCTCTGCAGGTGCTCAAGTGTGTGCGAGTCGACAAACAGCACTCTGGCTGTGCTCTGGGGCGGTCGGCAGGCAACAGGAATTCAGTCACGAGTGCAGAAACGAGTATGTTTCAAATCATGAAACGATAAAATGAAACAGCGAAACAATGAATATTAATACAATCACTTGCGTGAATGGCAATTTTGCTGATGTACTCGAAGCTGAATTTCGTGCTTGTCCTCTAATTCTCGCAGCTGGCCGGCAGACACTGTGGGACCAAGGATGGTATATAAAGCACAACTATTGCCCCATGGTACTCCGTTGCTGAACGTTTGCACCGGCGACCGTGAGCAACAAACTCGTGCATGTCATGATCCAGTTTGCACAAAGCACCGGCCAGCGGGAATCGCCCCCGACCATGCCAGCATCAATCACCAACCTCACATTTCTGCCGACGTGGTGAAGGGGAAATGATCCTGTCGATTCTGTACTGGGCCGCTGGCACAAGTTCTCAAATTTAGAGAAACGAGCAGGAGCAAGTGATCTACTGAAATGAAACATCGCTTGCAGTTTCGATCCACAACGCACAAATTGCAAATGTTATTTCAATCTGTGTGGACAAAGCAGCACATTCTGCGATTCGATGTCCATCGCCATCATGATAATGCACTAGCTGTGGTCCAGACATTCTACAGCGGGTAATCGCGACAAAAAACGGCCCTCAGGTCCCTGAGGCCCGCAGCGTCGGCCTGAGGCTGCCCGGGGCCGCCAGCACATGCCTTGTGGTCATTGTGGTCAGCCGCATCCCACAAAACAGGCACTCCGGCGGCAACCCGTCGTCGCCATACAGGGCCTGGGGGGGGAGGGCGTAGCCCCTGTTGCAAACCACACAGTGCCACTGAGGGGGCCTCTCACAAACCAGCATCGTCGTGCTGCACCGAGGAAGCTCGATCCTGAAGTCGGCCACGGAGACTGAGGCGGACCGTGCTGATGCAAGGGGTCCGCCAGTCAGCGACACCGGCACGTCAGACAACGAGACACGTTCATCGGGGGTGGTGCCATTCCCTGAGGAGACCAAATCAGAGTGGCGTCAATTGCGGCAGGCAAAAGTAGACTCATCAGGCTCATGATATACGCTCATACGTTTGCATGTGTTCGTGTGTTCACATGCGTTATAAGTAGAACCATCGAAAGCCAATATGTGTAAAAACGCATATTACACATGTACAGTGTTCAACAGCCGTGAGCCTAAGCTCTGTACAGCAACCAAATTGCGTACATAGGAACATGCGCATATGCCCAAAGAATAATGGAATAGCCGAAATTATGCCTACGTGCGCATGACGTGTACGTGGACATAACAAGCCAACAACTCATGGTGAGTCGACGTGCACAGCAACACTACGCCAAAGATGCACGAGCACGTACCTAAAGCATGGCATGGTTGAGCAGGCACGAAAGAGTGAGCGCAGCAACAAGAATAGCAAACCGATGACAATTGAATGCGCTTCTATCTGCACTCCTGTCAGGCACTGGGATCCCAAAGGTGCCCCAGCTGCTGCAGGTTTTGCGGTGCAGCTCAATGCCATGAGTGGGCCCCATCGCCAGCCCCAAAACCCCACTGCACTGGACGCTTCTACACAAGCCACCTGTCGGCCCATCATAGCCTGTTTTGTGCAAGGCATTGTTCTGGCCCCCAAAGCAGTCATGCTCTGAAGGAATTTTGTGAGCCTATTGGCCGAGGGCTGCTGGCTTGCATATCCTGACTCTGAGCCATGGGTCCAGGATGCGGCTGGGAACAAAAACCCTTCTAGAGCAATCCACTTGTAGACCAATTTTCCATCTTCCCACTCACCCGATTCCTCCATGGCGTCTACGATGCAGCAAATCTCAGGCCAGATGTCTGTGTGTCCACGATGCATCGACACCCAGGCGGACATGACACCGTGAATGCACCTCCAAAGGCTGCCAGCACCTCCACAACAGGGTAGGCCCTCCGCAGACACAAGCCTGCACAGCGTGTCTCCTTTGCATGACAGGACCCACAGCATGTGGTGCTGTAGCAGTTGCAGCTCGCATTTCTCCAGCCTGGGAGTCTCCAGCCCCTCCAGGGACTGCTCCGGCGTGGCGGCACCAGCCTCGTTGCAAGTCCAAGCTCCGCTGAGCTCTTTCAACAGGTGACGGAGACATGTGGCACTCCGCAGTGCGTGGCAGTGGAGATGGTTATATGGAGGTTCCCCGCCATTGTCATCAACAGTCCGCAGAGACTCCATGAGCTGCAAGGCTGGCTCTTCAAGTGACTGCAGGACTTCCTGCACAAGGAAGGATGCATGTCGATCATGTGCAAGATAGTGAACTCTTGAAGACAGAGAACGAAGAGCACGCATATTCCAACTCACACTAAAATAGACACTGCTGTCCCCACATAGACACCATGAATATTGTGGTATCAATTTGTGTCCTTCAATACGTCCAAGAATTTGTGCCATTCGATGCCAAGAATTTGCTGACTGCTGAGTAGTGCCAAAACAAGAGACCACGAATCTCAGCAAAGTTGGTGTTGGATATATATTGCGAACTGATTTGATATCGAAAACACAGTGAATGGTTGCAAGGATGTGCCCTTTCAGTGCAACAGTTGGACAAAGGCGTGCCAATCACACTGGCGCAGAAAGGCAACTGTGAACAGTTCCACATCCCGCAAGGCTTGAGCAGCAGCTGTTGCTGGTACAAAACCTGTGCTGCGCACCAATATCCCATGATTCTGCTGACCCTGACTGGGCTTGCTGTCTTACCATGGCCAGCTTGGCACACTGTTTTTGTAATGCTTTCTCAACACGCACAGCCACCTCAGAGCCATGCAAGCCATCGTCTGTTTCGGAGTCTTCATCCGAATCCTCATCAGTGGGGAGTTCATCTGCAGCTGTCAAGACCGCGGCTGCAACATCCATGGGACAAGTCTGTGGACTTCGTCCAGCAGACACATCCTGTGCCCATGTCATAGCTGCTTGTCGTGTGGTCAGTGGGGCTCCAGAACCACATATCCTGGACAATCAAGATTGCAAAATGTCACATGTCTCCCCATACTGTAACCAATCTGGTGTTTGTCAACCAGCCCCACCAAATGTACAAAAATTAATGTCCTGCAGATGGCCCCAAATGCATCGGGTGACTGACCATGAACTCTTCTATCGGTGCCAACAGAATTGGCTGGCAACACTCCTCACACATTGGTTGGCAACTTCCAGAGATTGGACCTGGCTTCCACCACACATTTCCAGATTCTAAAGCACCAGTCTTGCCAGTGGCGGGATGCTTGGCGATGTCCTGCAACAGACTACCTTGCTGTCCAGCCACCACACAAGGTTTCAGATGGTCATTGCAATTGAGGTTTGTGATTTCAATTGGCAAGTGGAGCTGTGATGGCTCTGTGCAGATATGCCATGCTTCCAAGTGAGCCTCCATGAAACCAGGTGAACAACACAACCAACCACTACACAAGTACTTGCCCATGGCAGGAAATACAACGACAATATGAAAAAACAACCAAGGGCTGCAGTTTCGCATCAGAATAACCTCGCAGGCCTGCACACACACATGTGGGATCAAAGTTTGCATGAAAACATGTCAGCAGCTGTTCATTGCCAGTTAACTTCCCCTACCTCAATATGCGGATGTCAGCACCAATGAGCCTGTCAAAGTTCATCCTGCTTGCTTGAGCGTCCCAGTGCTTCTCTCCCCGATCATGAAGCACGGCAAGCAGCAGGCCATTGCCTGATGGTGCTATCCCATGAAAGGCAAACATCTCCCCATTCGGTACAGGTGATTCGTAGAGCCCTGGCGATGGCCCGTACTGCGGAGGAGCCACCTCCTTAACATTGGCGCCTTCAAACTGCCAGCTTTTGAGACCGCCTTCCTGGCTGGCGCTGCAGGCAATGCCTGCGGCCAACCATGTCACACCTGCAGCCACAGCATCCACACTGGTAACTGTTGACTGATGGTATATGTTGTGTGCCACCTGCGAGTCTCCCCAAGTTGCAAACAGATGAGGAATGAACAAAAGTTTTGACATACATAGTATGCACTGTCTGCTAGGCCAATTGCTGCATGTTACAATGCATATCAACGAATGCAACCTGAAATGTCCAAAAGAGCTTACATGCGTAATATTTTGGATAACACTTGGTAAAGGGCAGCATGAAGGCAATTTCTCTGCCATCACAGCTGGTGCATCCACCTGTCGATGCAGTGGCACAGCTGATTGATGGCATAGCCTGCCACTGGTGCCTTTGCACGGTTTTTGCACGTACCTAAGTTTGCAAACGTTCTCTTTTCAAACAAACATATTTCTAATCTTGCAGTAGCTTCACCAGCAACATTCCGCAGTTAAAATATCGTAACACCCATTTGCAAAGGGACAAACAGTCAAGTATACTTGGCAACATACATTTTTGTAGGCGTCGCTGTGTTCTGGCAATGATCGTTTACGATTGCAACACTATGCAAGTTGCACATGACTGAATTTCCGAGCCTGGCAGTGTTGACACAAAGCAATTTCAAATAGTAGTCCTGTTCCAAAATAGGGTCCAGCAAAGTCCATCCTCAGTGGAGGGAAGCCTAGTCCGAATTGATGTTCGATCTTGCCCAAATCGAGGGTAACCCTTGTCAAAAATTGAGGTTCAACCTGGTTCAGCTCCCGATACCCTTCATTTTCGCTTACGATCGTCTAGAACGTCGCCTGTGTTCCTCCACTGAGCGTGCACTACCTTGAACCCTAATATGGGCTAGGTTTTACCTCTGCACCCAAATTAAAACAGTCGTGCTTTCATATGAAAACATAAGCTGCAACAGGGGAATGCAATTGCCGATTTGAGACGATTCATGACATACAAATTCTGGTGTGTTTCATCCTCAAGCACTTGCATTGCATGAAAACAGTGCACGCAAGCACTGTTGCAATGTGATATTTTCAGCTCAGCAAACATCCGATCCAAGAAACATTCACTACACATTGGCCACATAGGACATGCAGGTATCACAACAGCAGCAAAGACAATATATACATTTCAGGAAAGGGGAACAATGTAAACAGGCCAAAAAATGAAACCTGATGGATAGTGAAAATAACAATGCACTATTCATGAGAGCAATCTTGAGGGATAGAAAATCTAGGGATAGTTCGCAGTGGAGGCGGCAGTTGATTCTGTTATTGTTGAGGTTGTTAAAGATATAGGTGCAAGCGTTTACAGACATGAAGCCTGTGAAAACAATTGAGTGCAAACCCTCTGAGCGCACAATCACTTCCCTGCTGCTGGCACTGCTCTGTGTTGCTGTGTCTTTCATGTTGTGTTCAGAGGCTCCTCTAATGCAAGAAAATTCTTGCAGAATCGTTTCTGGGGTGTGTAGGTGGCCAGGTGGATGAAAGGGGGAAATGGAATAGCATGTTCCCTTTCTTTCTTGAATAACCACGCTTCAGTAAAGCCAACGATGGACAAGAACTTGATTCATCCCCTACCTGTTACTGTTGATGCACCATGTGCCTTCCCTTTTGTGGTGCAGCGGCCCTCCTGGATCCATGCTGCTGCTTCCACCGTGCTCAACCTTTGCACATCAACGCTCTTCCACAACACTACTGTCCCCACAGTCTTGCCCACAGCGACCACAACATACCGCTCCCCTTGTGGACCACCCAACGACCCAAGGGCCATGCATGTCACGGGCCTCAAATCTGGCCCAACGATGGGACCCCATGCAGAAAGCACGGACCCCAATGGGAGGGTGGCATCGGGCAACAGTGCAAGATCCTGGGCATCGGCCCCATGCACCCTAACCTCCCCTGTGACACTGCCTGAAACAAGCACCACCACATTCATTGTTCCTGAGGGCTTCTTCCCATCCACTGGGACGTTCATCACGTCACACTTCAGCGATGTCACACCGCTCGAGTGCGATTGCACACAACCCATGAGCACAAAGGGATCCCCAGCAGCCATCGTGGCCAACCTGCCCTGGAATGTGGGGCACTGGTACTTCCAAACTAGGATGTGCCCTGCTTGTGTTCCCACAAAAAGAAAGGCCACCCGCCCATTGCTGCTTGTTCGAACCACTGGTGACCATGTTGTGGAGGAGGCAGCCTGCCGTGCAATGCGGCCCTCGTACATCTCATTTCCTACCGTGGTGCCCCTGGTGACCTGCAACCTCTGGCCTTGATGAGGGCGCTTTGAGTTGTAACTGCGCCTGGCCCCAGCAGCTGTGTGCACGGTAATGGATGAGAAAGGATTCCTCGTACTAGGAGGAAACGCAGCAGTATTGAGCAACTTCGCAGCTCTGTCCTGAAAGCGTGACAAAATCTTGTAAGCATCTGCAGGCACACAAACAGAAGTGTCAGTGTGCTGCACTGTCTGCGGTGCAAAGCCGACAACAATGACACATCCCATCCATCAAGAGACATGTTGTCTTTGCCCAGCAAGGTATCCACTAATCTGAAGCTCAAAATGAGTCTCACCATCACGTCCTTCACAATTCTCTGCTGAGCCAAAAGGTGTTGCTTCAAAAGCAGGAAAACCATCCTCAATGTTGGTGTCTTCAGTTCCTGGCTGTGCTGGAAGGCCACCTGGCTCACAGTCTCCATCGGCTTCCTGATCTGGACTGGCTCCAGTCAGACCAGGGGCTCCTTCATCTGCAACTTCCTCCTTCAACACCCTGGACCCCAGATTCAGGAGGTGCTGCATGGACTTCTGCCTGTACTGCGCCTGGCCATCAGTGCGGTGGGCGGCATCCTTGGTGACGATTACATGGTTGCGTATCAGCACACGCGTCCTCTTCCTCAAATAGGCCTCGTCCAATTTGTGTTCAACCATGGCCTCACGGTGGACATGAACCTGCGCACAGATGTGGCTCCACACTATAGAAGGGATGAACCATATGTGTGACCTGTGAATCCGCTGCAACAAAGCACCCCTGTTTCTGATTGCATGGGAGCACACTACCATCTATTGTTCTTCCATAGATTTCAACCCCAAGTAGTACATGCACAATTATGATGCCAGTTATAATCCATGATGCAATACATAGATACTTTTGCCTGCTATTCATTTCTGGAGGTAGAATAGGGATTTATAATTCAGTGTGCTTTCATTTTCTCTTCTGGCATTAAGGGGATACGAACCCAAGCTGCAGATACTGCGCTAGATCCAGAAGGATGGGTTGCGATACAACAGCATCACTGTTCAGCATCTGTGCAGTCTAACCCACAAAAGCAATGAACTTGCATCAACACACGCCACTCCAACAAGGAGGCTTTTGAGGAGCAGTTCCACCAGCAACATCAGATTTTCAAGCAGTCCAACTCTGTCAGGCCACAAATCGCCATGCAAAGCTCACCGCCTCTGCAAGCGCCCTATTCAGTAGTTCCACGTCCACTCCCTGCATTTCATCATTCTTCTCGTAGTTTTCCAACTCTTCAGGCACCTGGGAGCGCAGCTCCATCCAACGAGCGAAGCACACTCGCGGTAGATCAAAGGAAAGGTGCTCTGCAGAGTCAGTGCGTGCCTCTCCCAGAGTTTTCGGGTCAAAGTCCTCTGGCACCCTGTAATGCTCCGCTGCTGTCATAGTGGAGCCGCGATTGCTGGTCCCACACGTAAACAGGGCGTACTTCACAAAATAGGTTGCCCTTTTGGACAACCACTTTCTGTCAAGACCGTGCTTTGCCATGCTGGGCCCAAAGACGTGCATCTGATAACGCAAAGGATAGACATGTGCAGTTAGTGTGTGCTACTGCTTCCCACGACGCCCAACAGGAGCAGGGCAGTGATCACTCACATAGTTTCCTGCAGTCAACACTTTTGCAGGCCGCCATTCTCCGTATATACTTCACTTGTATGCCAGCCTTGTCCTGCTGCCAATTGCGGTGTGATGCTAGTAGACCACCAGCAAAACTGAAGCATCCTGATGATCTGAACTCAGTTGGAACACCTCAACAGCAGTGTGCCATTTTCAACGTTGTTGAAATGGATATTTACTCAGTTTCATTCTGCCTCCTGACAGCTTGTGCCCCTCATGGTGTATGTTGTGACTGTTCCATGCATGACTAAACTTGTGATGAACAACAACACCATACTGTTATTACTTGCACTGCTTCTTCTGGAAGACTCTCCAATCACTTTGCTTTCTTCTAATTCACATTCTAGCATCAAAGTTCTTGCAATCCACTTCAAAGCAAGAATAGCATGAAAGAAATTAGGCAAAAACTCCTCTCCTGGTGGTGGCACTATTGAGTCTGATACCATGCCGCCAATGAAAGCCCAGCGGTGAGTCAATACAAGCCATCAAGAAGGCACAGTGTCCACACACAGGGCTCTGCCAAGATGAACCTAAGCACAAGCTGTAGGTGAATAATCGCACAGGCAGACTTGCTGTCATGCACACATGTGCACACAGAGGGACTGGCACATCACATAGCAATGTGAACGCAGTTAATGCGCTCTGACTGTTTCCCACCATTCACAATTCGGTCTGACATCAATTATCCAATTCAGGAGATGAGATTTGAGAGTATTTGAGAGGCTTGGACATGCCAGGACGTTCACATACATGAGCTGCATAGCACTTGCTAGTGTTGATACCCCATGTAATCAGATCAACAACCATAGACTGCTTTGCTAGGCTGCTGAAACCCCAAATCTGTTGTATAATATGGGATTGACACAGAATCCTTTGAATATGGTACAAATTTTTCAGAAAGGCCACACCAACACTCACAACTTCAGAAATGGCCTGCTGAAAGAGATTCATGTCGAACTCCTCGAGCACTTTCGCTGTCTTCAGCTGGCTTCTATAATTTGGCAGCTGGTCTGCAGGGTAGGCACAACGCAGGTGCAGAAAACGCAGCCTGACGATCTTTGGAAGCATGGAGTTCAGCTCCGCCTTGCTGTCTGGTGGTGGACGGGCCCCAAAGAGCAGCAAGCGTGGATCGAAGTCATCGGGGACATTGTATATCTCTCCCTCCATTCCTGGCTTGTTGCCTCTGTTGTGTCCACTTCTGTTCATCAGGTCGTCCAATGTCTTCCCCTTGGTCAGAGCTTCACGAATGTACACCCTGGAGGTCTTGATAAGCATCTTCTCAGTGATGTCGAACTGATTCATCTTCTCACCATGAATTTTCAGCTGGCAAGGTCACAGAGCAACTGGGTCAACATTTTGTCCTTTCACATTGCTTGCGCTTCTATTCAACTGGTATTTTGTGTTCAAGAGTGGCCTTGCAAAACACACATGGACTGCACATTTGGAATATCAATGATACACAGAAGCTCTTATTGCTGTGAATGCCCTCCTGAGCACCAATCCTTTCACCAACATCTGTGATACTGATGCAGTACACAGTACTTCCCACCACACAATGGACATTCTGGGAAGTCCTCCAACCTGCTGGATAGGTTGCAGTGCACAAGGCACCCACATGAAAAGAAGAGCTGGACAAAATTGCTCCTTGTCCAGCAGCTTCCTTCCAAACAGATTGTCACTGCACAACAAAGAAATTGGCCACTGCTGTCAACGATCATTAATCCACAGTATTAGTACAACTAATTATAACTGCCATTATTGAACAAATATTACAGTGAATGCTTTAAATTGTGCAACACACAATTCGCAACTATAATACAGGTATCGGGAGTGACATGGCATAGTTGCATGTGTAGGGAGGCTCCTGCTGCCCATGCTTACAATTTCCTCCTTGACCCTCATCACCAAGTCCTTATCAACGCCAGCGAGGTGGCATCCGGCGCCTTTCACATACTCTTGGAGGTCTTCTGCTGGCAGCTGCGATCGCAGCTCCAGCCATCGCTTCGTGAACAGCCTTGGTAGCTGAAGTCGAAACTCATCCCGGGTTTTGCAAGGCACTGGACCAAGATGTGCCAGAGATGCTTCAGTGAAACTGGAAGGAACTCGGAATGGCTTGGGCTGAAAGAGAAACACACTTGCTCAATTCACAGATCAATCCATTAATCGATCGATCAATCAATCAATCAATCAGTTTTGTTGGCTTGTCAGCCGAGCAGCTAGCCAACTAGCCAGCCAACAGTTACTGAAACAATGTCCCTTCTCCCACCCGAGAGTTGCAACTGCTGAAGTCGCACCTCACATCGTTGGTAGGGAAAAAGTTTGCACGTTTGGGACAATTCACCTTTTCCCACTCAAAAACAGTGCCTACAGATATTCAGCAGGCAGCAAGGCGCAGCCAAGATGATTACCCAGGTTGATGAGCTCGACATGGCCCATTTGCCACGTTAATCTTCCCAACAGACCACTGGCTTTCCTCGACCAAACAGATTCACATCTAGGACATGGGGGCCTGGACACTGAAATGTGATGTAATTCTTTGGAAACAAAAAATTTAGCAACAACAACAACAGACTCAGCAGCGCTACTTAGATGCTGCCATCATTCTGTTCAGTGTTTGGCAGTGCCTTCCAAAGCACAGTCTCATTCACCATATCAATCAGTCACCTCTTCTTTGGACTTGACTTCAATCTTGGGCTTGGGGAGCCTTTTCTTAACCATTTTGCGCACGCGATGAGCCACTCTTGGACCTCTTGCAGCTGCGAGTTCAGCATTATGAGCATCAGGTGGAGGGCTCAATTTATTGTGCTTGCTCTTGCAGGTACCTTCCAAGCCTTCCGATTCTTGCCCAGATGACTGCATGCAAAAACACAGAGTTACTGAGAGAGCGCGCAGAGTTATTTATTCCAGCATTGTTTACATGTACAGAGCAGTGCATTGCAAGCTGTGTTGCAAAGGTATGCGCAACACACTTTTCAAAAGCAGCACAAGAAGAGATTTGCTTGCCTGGACAGGCAAAAGCCCAGGCCCTGCACTATGCAAGAGCATTGCAAGAGTTAATTTGTGCTGGGCTCAATCACACATTTTTTGCTTGGCTGCAGGGATACTTGAACCCGGAGGATGCACTATTGCGTGACACACATATATATACTTCCTCCGTCCGGAATTAATTGTCGTCTATTTGAGAGACAAATTTCATTATGAGAACGGCCTCAAAAAAAGTCACAAAAGGAGTTCAGAATCGAAAAGATTGGGTCCAAAACCCTAGAATACCAATTTTTAGGACAAAATACTAGGTCCCACTACCTATGGGACACCCTCGAAACTGCCTAAGCTTCACGTGAAAATTTTTCGCCCGCAGTTGGAGATCCTCACAGTTCTGTGTCGCTGCCATCCCAGGCGTGCCAAAGCAAAGTCGTTGTTGCCATCGTGGTGAAGGGTAATGTCCCTCACGTGGTATAGCGCTTGCCGAACACACTCAACCATGGTTGGATCCCCATCGACGAAGCCCATTGTAACGGTGTCAACAACGGCCGAAATCGTGACCATCCCTGATTTCCAATGCTCGAACTTGCCACAAGCACAAAAGGCTAACGCCCAAGGTGCTCAAGCTTGGGCTATCACTCTAAAACTGTGGTGTAACTTTGCTTTGGCATTGCACCTCGATTGATCCTTGAATCGAGGCTTTCGTGCATGGCTAGGCCCCCACACCAGAAATGGCCCCTAGCGGGCAACTTGTATGTGCAGTCCGCAAACCTTGACAATCCACCCAGTCTCTGCTTGTGAGACACGAACTTATCTACTTGACCGTTTCCTTCGCATTCCACCCTTGCAATTGTCGAGGTAAGGGTCGACTTTGCCATCTGGCCCTGGAAGCCATTCCCCTAATCGTCTGCCGTTAAGTATGGTGATTGCCATCGCATTCCTTCGCAACTCTTCGAGGGGCTCGGGAGGCCTTGTGCAGTAACCCTCACAACAGCGAAGGAGATTCAAAGATCGAGGCCCAGAAATCTGGGCTGGAAATGCGTCCTTGAAGTGGCTAATCGATCCCGAATTAGGGGCTGCAGTTTCACGGCGACTTCCACGATCAAGCCCTCCAAGACATGTTTTCTAACGCTTTGCTTCTTCGTAGGGACCTCTCCGAGCTTCTGGCCAAGCGGTGTGGATAGTTTTGCATGGGAGGCCTTGTTTGGCCGCCGCAAAGGCGTGCTCCTCACCGTTGCAAAAAAAAGCTGTTTGGTGACTGAGTTGAAAAGCGGGTGGGTTTTTGGCCGGAGGACCCTCACTACAAAGTACTGTCAAATCTTCAATGCCTAACCGATTGGCTTGTAATTTATATATGATATATATGACCGTGTACCCCAGAAACATAGTTGCAGCTTTGGAAGAAATTTCGTTGAAAACCAAAACTTCCACGATGAAGAAGTAAGGCGCCAACTTCATAGACAACAATTAATTCCGAACAGAGGAAATACATACCTCTGCATGGCTGCCACTTCTTCGTTCACTGGAAGTCTCCCCATTCCTACTGCGCTTTCGACCACAGAGCTTTGCACTTGCTTTCTTTCCTGCACATCAGAATGCACCAATGCATCAAACAACTGAATCGAGAAATCTATGAATGTCATAACAACAACAGAGGAGCTGAAGCATGATATGTGCAGCGGGCTTACTCCAGACCATGATATTTCTCTCCTCTCGCAACAATCAGTCTTGGACCCTGCTTGACACAGCCTTCCTTTTTTGGGTTCTGAAGTTGACATCATTGTAAATAGTAGAGGTGCCTCAGATTAATTGGTATGACGACACGTTATACAACCACGCCAGTCAGATACGATTGGTCCTTTTGCACCACCCTTTTGCAGCAAAGGATCCATTCAGCATTTCTCCTGCACACTGTCCAAGAGCAAAAGACACCATATTGGTGTGTAGTCACCGCAATCAGTCAACACAGTTTACAGTTTACATACTCAATTAACTAGTCAGCCAATATTTTAACAATCTATCAGCAAATTGAAGAAATAGCCCATGACTTTCCAATGCAGAGATGCCACAAACAAATGATCACCAGTCCTGCCAGTGTATGATAGCACAACCAGCCTTCAGACGATGGCCAGCAGACTGATGGCTTCACACTGAGCCACTCATCATGCCCACAGCAACACCACACATCCCAGGCATTGCAGGCAGGCCCCAGCTGGGAATGAAGATGGCAAGCATCTGCAGTCAGAGCAAGTGCACTGTGTGGACATATATCAATATCAACAATTATGCCACACGCACCTTTGACTGTTCTCTTCTTACTGAACGACCATGTGGACCTCTTCCACACCAACACGTTGCGGATGAGGTACCTGGAGATTTCTTTCCTTTCCTGAGTCAGCTTCACCTCCACAGAATAAGCCTGGGATGCTTCAAGCCCCAGAACCCTGGCTTTCCACCACCTTTTGTCAGCATACACCTCCACATGCTCACCAGCTTCCCTAGGTGTCCCACAGGACAGCATCTGCACAGCAGCAACTTCCATCTCAGCACCACTGTGGCCCTTCATGCTCCAATATTCCTTTTTTACATACATCAGTAGTGTGCATCGCACATTCAGCAATAGTGTACTATACTCAGCCCTTCCGCATTTTGATATTTCAGCATTGCGATTTTCCTCCACATCTCATGACAGGCTGCTATCTAATTTTTGTTCCTCCACATCGAGGGCACTGCAACAATGGCCACTCTGCCCAATTTGCATGACTTCAAATTCCGGTTTCTGGCACATCGACTCGAGCATCCAAAGCTGCCAAACGCCACGAGCAGTCCAAAGATCAGGAAGTCGTGGCTGGGGCCGTTCTGGCCGTGGAGGGGGCGATTTCCAGATTGGCTTTGAGCGCAACGCGGCCAACCAATGGCTGTCTGTGTTGTGACGAACCCAGCTCGTCTTGAATCCAACCAGGGCAGTACTTCCTTCACTGCTCCACATATGTTTGGGCACCATAAAGTTTTCTGTTATTGCTCAAATGTATGTTACAGTTCAGAAGTGTTGAATATAAAATCTAAAAATATGCAAGCAATGATCCATCAGCAATAGGCAGAACAGCAGAAAGCCCAACGTTGCCCTCCAGCAGCAATGCAAAAACCACTGGGATTTTAACTCTGGGGCTGCCAAAGGGCAGGTCATTTCCTTCTAGGTGCAGGGATATTGCTGTCAATTCCACAAGAGCAGATTTATACACCAACACACCTTGTCCAGTGAGTGCATTCTCAATACAACATATCATAGAAGGGAAAGAGCACAATTTAGAACTATAAAGGTCCTGTCAAAACAATCTCAAGCAGGGGGAACGCTGATTTAGGGTACAGCAGCTCATGCTTGAATGGGGAATTGGGTGTCGCGACTGCCGAAGCTTGCAAACAAGCCAATCGCACTTGTGCAACACGACTTACCCCTTGAGTCAAAACAGATACACCATTGCAGCACTGCCTTCTTGAAAGTGTCTGCAACATCCAAAATTGCAAATTCTGCTGGGCGATCCTATCACACGTTATGAGCTCCCTTGTTTGCATGCATTTTTCCAGTTTGTGCAGTTTTATCTGAAGTTCTTTAATGCTGAACTGGTGACCATTGCATCAATTTTTATGGGCATGGGCAGAGTCTCCTACACACTTGTTGCTCAGGAAAGGGTTGCTACAGTACGAACTGCTCTCCTTTTCGTTGTAAAGAGTCTTCCACCATCATTGTTTGTTCTTCCAGGCCAAGTATGTCCAGCCAACATGGACAATGTGGCCAACAAGCAGCCAAACACATCTTGCCAAGGTGGCTGTATTCGCCTCCATTTTGGGTCGCAGATAGCAAGCCAGCATCATCGAAGCATATCCTCACATCATCGGGTGGTGTTGGTCGCATCCTGTGGTGTCTCCTATCCATGTGCACTTCGCAGTCATCAGCAATGCCTGTTGGAGGGCACGACATTTCGAGACGACAGAATGGGAACCACTCTCTTCGTGGCTCCTTGCCTTTCCCATCCAACGACAGGTCCAGGTATTGCACAAGGGCAAATCCATCATCACGCACGTCCTGGACTTTGGCCCTGAACCTGTGCAACATCACGTCGGAAGTTTGACACTGGCCCAAGGCAGTTGGTTGAAGGCAACGTTTTGGGGATCGCAGAATGCCCGATCAGGTTGCGGTGCTCTGCTCATCGTAACCTATGTGTTCTGTATTCACCACAAAATCTGAGAGCCCCTTTCCTCATTCCACTTTTTGTACAACACGAACATGCATAGCAATCAACCCAATGAACCAACTGGATACAGAAGTAGTCCACTTCGTTTGGTGAGAATAAATGGGGTTCGTTGGAGGCCAGCACATGAATTGTGAGCACGGGGCTGATTTCAACAAAACATTTCAGACAATGGGCACCAAAACCCAGCATGTATGTGTGCGAGACTCCAATGTCCAAGCCAAGGAAAATCGTGTTGAAGTCCTTGAGTACAGTTGGAAAACACTTGACACAAAGCACCACATTGCAGCAATCTAACATTTGCAGAGAGGGGGGCCTGCACATATAGAGGTGCAATTGCAAGCAGCCCCTGCCACTGCTTAATACGAGAAAGGGCAGCAATTTGCACCCGTTCATGAAATGTTGCGGTACAACGCCAGACACTCACCAGGAGCCCCCAAGTCCTTCCCCTTTGTTTGCGACCTGCAGGAAGGCCAGCAGGCTTTGTGCATCAGCAAGCATGCACACACAGCAACTATTCCAGCCTTGAAGGCCCAAGTGCCGCACGTCACCGAATCTGGAAATGTGCTATCCAATGGGTGGACTTGTCTAGAAAACAGCTTTTGTGGAATCAGCCACTTCCTACACTGGCAAGCCAGGGCTGTCCTTTGCAACATCGAATGGTCTGCCAGATCCCCTCGTCCTCCATGCTGGAGCAACTTGCATCTTATGTTCCTGGAGGGGAATCGCATGTTGTCTCGGGCATGTGGGTGCAAATGCATCCAATTGCTGCCGCGACTGCTTTGCTAAAGTTGCATGCCAGTCCGCTGATTCTGTAACATGTGTGCCGAAATCGCAATGCACAGTTACTATGTTGCTCAATCAGCCTAGAGCTTACAGCCAGAGCTTGCAGCACTAATCACATCGTGTACAAAAGGGGGTGCCGTGTGGCTCCACCTGCCCAACATCGCTTCATCAACACATGTTCTGTAACTGGCAAAAGCTTTGTGAAAGCCATCAAGTCGATTCTTCTCAATCCTCATGTCAACAGTCAGGCATTGGATTGATGTAGCAGAGCACATGTTCTGTCCTACATTGGGCATGAAGACTCTCCCACAATCATCTCACCTCCACACTGTCGCCTTTTGCAGGACAGTAGGCATGTGGCGCAGTGCTAGATGGTGGTCTGGTTCTTGGGCGTCCATGTCCTCTGCCACTGGTGGTGGGTTGCTGTTGCTTGCACACTTGTTCCTTTTGTTTTGGACCTCCACTGAGAGGTCCTGGGGTCCCCAAAGGCATCTCGTCAGGCTGTGTTTCGCAAGATCGTTCACCTTTTCCAGGACTTGTGCTGAGCAGTCCTGGGCCCCCTAATGACATCTCAGTAAGGTGTGCACAGTACGACACCTGTTACACAAGTGAAATGTGTGTGTGAGTGTGTGTGTGTGTGGATTGCAGGGTGCTAGAAAGAAGCAAAAGCCAATGATCACATCCTTGCAATAAAAGAGCAATGCCCCCCTGCCCTGCCAGGATGTTGCTAGGCACAATTTCATCCATTCAAAGAGGACAACTGTGTTGTTGACGTGAAAGGTGGAGTGAGTTAAATTGACATTAGTTGGCACAAACAGCCACCATGCAATGACTTCCTCCCGGCACCAGCTTGGAACCCAGAACAAGACCAATAAACCCCAAAGGACAAAACCCTGCCATTTCAAATGCAGGCTCTCCTCCAGGCAAAGTGCATGTCTTCCCTCCATGCATGATACGATCTGGACAATTTTTGTGCCAAAATTGGATTGAACAATGTATGCCAATGCCCAACATTATGTTGGCCAAATGCTAATGGGCACATCACAAGAGTGCTTTGGCACATTGTCCAGCCAAAAAGATGCCAAAACTCAAAAATAGATGTGGAGTGTTGGCTGGGATTGGTCCATCGATATGTTGAAAGTGCTGCGCACTCATGCTCATCCATACCACGTTTGGCCGTCCTTTCCACAACGAATGTGGGTGACCACAACCAGCATGGTGTCCACAGCCCACATAGTAAAATTTCCGCAGCAATGAAACAGCGGCAGTGCTCATACTGCAACACCCTATTTTCTTTTAACAACTAGACAATGACGATTTGGCAAAAAAAATGCTGGAGATCGGCCCAACTGAGCAACAGCATGCCACAACAACAGCCGTCCAAGTCAGCGATGGCATGCTGTACACGACAGCCTCCCAGCCCACCGATGTGCACGGCAGTTTCATTTTCTGACCTCAAGATCCTGCTTCCGAACATGCTCACAGAGCGGTTTGGTCAGGTTCGCCATCGTCACCCAGTTGGCGCTGATCTTCTCAACGGGTGCAGCATCCACAAGCACCTGATACAAAGTCAGGGACACTTCAAAGCAGTGGAATTTGCAAGTTTCACTAACTTCTGAGATTCGCAATGGAGAGAATCAATGGCCAGGGCTCCCGTTCAACACGATCTTGCCACACCATTTCTATTTTCGATGGATGGCATGACAAAATAAGCGAAATGCAGGTGCATTCCTCCAGATTCACCTTGCCACCAATTCGCCCCAATTCCAACCCGCCCCCTTCCCAATGGGCAGCACAACTGCGTTCCTTGGCATGGGCCACATCGCTCCCACGATCTTCGTGTATACGAGCAGCAAGTCCGGATCAAGGCACGACACAGCCTCACATTGACATACACATTCGAAGACCGGGGGGCATGGGCCGCAAACACAACATTTTCCGGCGCTCTGGTACTCCCATTGATCTGATGAACAACAACAACAAAAAAACGACGAGAACACGCCCGCGCTCTGACGTGCCACTGCGGAATCACAAAACAAAACAAGGCGGCTGCCCCCGACGGCCACCACCCAAACCTGATGGTCCGCCAGCACGCGCGCCAGCAGGCACCCCCCGTCCGGCGCGCAGCCCCTTGGCGACCATGCCAGCGACCGCGCTGGCGCCCTCCAGGCCGCGTCCCTCAGCCGCATCTCCTCCAGCGCCGCCACCGAGAACTTCAGGCACGACTGCGGCCGCTGTGGCACGCAGTCCGCCACAAGGGGGCCCACATCAGGGGGCGCTCCGGCCGCGCACGCCCGGGGCCCGCCCAGGTTGAAGGGATTCAGGATGACGACCACCGCGCCGGCGGCCACGGCCAGCAGGTCGTCCTGGGACCACTGGACGGCGTCCGGGTACGCCGGCGTGTGGGACAGCGGGAAGGAGAACTGGAGTGGGGCCATGGCGCCTGGGGAGGAGGCGCCACATCCGGGCGCTGCCTGCGCCTGCGTTTCTGGAACGGGACTTGACCGAAATAATATTACTGCCTGCACCAAATCGGTGACTGCTTGCACCAAGTCACGTGCACACTTTGTCCTAACCTCAGTTTTAGGTTTAGGTTTAGTTCAGGGTGAGTCTTAGGGTTAGGGTTAGGGTTAGGACATGTTTAGGTTTAGGTTTTAGGGTTTAGGTTTTAGGTTAGGTCAGTTTTGACGGAGTTGGACATGATGTGCACGTGACTTGGTGCAAGCAGTCACCGATTTGATGCAGGGAGTAATTTTATGCCGACTTGACCTGCGTGCGGTTTTTTTGGCCCGGTGGGAGTTTTGGCACATCGCTGCCGGATTGAATGCTCGATGTCGGGAGCGGTCACTAATGGTGTTGACGCGATCCCTGAATGGGGATCGCACGCTCGAGTCCACGGCAACGATTTACAGCCGAGGCAAAGGGACAACAGGGGTTCTGTCCCTTATATTCAGTCCGTTCATCAACGCCCTCAATGCAATTCCTAGTGCCTCATCATCTCTTTATGCATTCAGTTGTTAGTAAGCTCTAGTTACAACAGTGTTGCTTTAAGTGAAGGCGGATTGCAAATCCCAGAGCACTGAACGCCCAAGTCGTGGATGTTTGCAGCTCAGTGGTGCGTCCGCAGGGACGGTGGCGTGAGGAGGGCACGGAGAGACAGATGCAAGGCAGGCCCTACGGAAGGGCAAAGGGCCAGAAGCCGTCACAGCACATACACACCCAGGGGACTGTCAGTGTCCACCAGACGGGAATGTGTCATAACAGTGTGCAGTGCACACTGAGCCGAAACTGATTAAAGAGCTTGGGGTGATCTGGCGTGTAAAAGGTGACGCCAGCGGCAGGTGGGTGAAAGTGGACTAGCTGTCACAGGTGTTTGTGTCAGGGCGTGCGCAAGGACTTGGCCAGAGAATTGGCTGCCAGTTCTCTGCGAATTGATGCCAGCAGAGCTGCCGTGTGGCTGTCGGTGGATTCATACTTGTTTATAGCAGCAGCACATGAATGCTGTCGGAATCACTTGCTTGACGATAATGGGCATGCTACAGCCAGGGCCAAGGAAGAGTGCTGCAAGTCAGCTGGTGTCTCCGGGGCACTCGTCAGGTGGCGAGTGCGAGCACTTTCCAGCTGTCGCGCTCCCTTTGAATCACATGCCAATTGCGAATGTGTAGAATTGGGCAATTTGAACATGCTCGCCCGGGAAACCGGGTCACCAATTCAGTGACACAAAATGCTTTCCACCAAGCACAGTTGCAGTGTTGCAGCCATGGGGCAAAACAGCGCCCATTGAGCAGCTATCTGCTACCAAAAAGGAGAAAGGGCACATTTCAAAGCAAGAAAATTGGAGAGAAAGGAGTCAGCGACTATTAACAATGAATGTTACGTCCGGATTCGGATCCATATAGAAACCTCAAGATGTGTTACTTGGTTCGTATTGCGTTCGCGTTGCGTTTTCGCCACATATCGCGCATCCTGCAAAATGCCAACCCTCTAATTTGGGATTTTATTCACGCGCTTTTCTACATTCGGCACCAGAAACTCAAGATCGGACTACATTGATTTGTTTCCATGTAGAAACACTAGAGAGCTGTAGTAGCTGCCTTCACCATCAATCCTTTCACGGGATATTGCCTCGGGGGCTCAAACAACTTGTTTGTGTTTGCATTTGTTTCTCTGCGAAAGTCGGATACAGTGACACAGTTTTGGAACTTTCGTACTGCCCTTGGTGCAATATTTCGCTGGCGACCCATCAGGTTCTAAGGAAATGTACTGTGAATGCATACGTGCAGTATCCCGACTGTGGACTTTGTGATAAAACAGAAAATTATGAGAAGATTGTTCGTGCTGAGGTTCCTGATTTCCGGCCATGTGCCTTGCGTTCATGAGCGTTTTTGTATTGAGGCTAGGTACATATATATTTTGAGGCTGGGCACATAGATAATTTGGCTGCTAGTACATTAGGCATTTTGTAGTGCCAGGGCAAATGGCTCACGATTTGGTGCTCAGGTGACTTTCGACTGGTGATTTGGCAAATATATCATGTTTTAAGCATGGATGGTGGCAATTCTGCGATTCGAGAACTGGTGTTATGGGCTTGCTGAGGTTTGTGGACTGGCATCAAAGTAATTTTAGGGATGTAACTCGTGATAGAAACGAGCTCTCATCATCATCATCATCATCATCATCATCATCATCATCATCATTTTTCTCACACCAGCGGCAATCAGGACATTTGAGAAGAGGTCCAATTTGTTCCTTTGCTTTTGTTTGAGATAGTTTGTACCGAAACCCAGTCTGCAACAATGTGTTCCCTTTTTAAAACATTCCATTACGAGAAGTGGCGGTATATTCTGTAACTTAACCTGCTGATAATGCTTTGGAACTACAACTTTATTTCTCACGCAATTGTCCAACCCAGAAGCACCACATAAGAGTTGATGTGGCGGGCAGAAAATGCGTGGCCCAGCTGTCTGGGCGATCATCTGCTGCTCCCCCAGGTCTTGAAATCTGTCCCATAGGTTGTGCCCCACAAGGCCGTGCGAGGGCTGATTGCATGCGTCCTTGCCGCCATTGGCTGCATGCTTGGGTCGAACCGCCCACACGTCTTCAATTTCAGTAAAGGATCTGTTAATCGCAGGAAATTATGCAAGGCCATCAATACTCTAACCAATCAATCAACAATCCACCCAGGAACCAACGAACATCATTGGCATGCCTACAGCCACGATACAAAATTTCTTCAACTTAATCGCATTGGGTGATGTTGTGCTGTTCCCGCAAGCCTTATATATATACAATGAGAATATATATTGATAAACACTTGTATATATTCAATAAAAATATATATTGATAAAACATGTTGTACTCACATGGTGAGTTTCCGTTGCGGAATCCATTGATGCTGTTTCTTCGTGGGGCCATTACGACCACTGTCATCTCCTCATTTCGGAGACTACGTTTTGTGTACCAGTTGTTTGTACATTCACGAATCAGAGAGAACACGATGTGCGCCTTGCGCAATTGTGCACTGCCACAATCGCACTTCGGAGGCTGCTCAGCAGCAGCAACAACGCACTGTTTCCTTGCCTTGTTTGAGCGAGCGAGATACGCTCATCGACAATTCGTGAATATTTGCGGCGGCGGCTGCGAGACCACAATATGGCTGAGATAGCTCCTCTGTCTCACCTGTGAATTTAGCCTTGAATTAATTCACCCCACGCCTCCCATGCGGCTAATCAGTGCAAAATCTTCAAAATTGCCAACATGGGTAGAACAACGCGTGCCGTTCTAACCCACCACAATACTCCAACACTACCGAGCGTGAAATGAATGGATGAGTGAATAAAGACAACGAACAAACAAAAGATGCACATGTATAATTAATTACCGTAGTATGTTCAGCCCTTCCGTGCAATAACGTGACGCTTGGCTCTTTTTTGGCAGAGGGAAATTATAATAAATAGAATTCTTTTAATAAAATTTTTCGGAGCTACGTGAGAAAATGGAAATAACGGTATGAAGTGGAAATGCGGAGATAAAAGCGTTGCGGTAAATTGTTTGATGCGGAAGAGCTGAATATACTATGTTAATAGAATAATTGTTGGTAATTAAATCCATAATCCATCATCGCCCATTGAATATTAGCCCAAAATAATGTTCGCAGAGCCGCACCCGAAAGCGTATCGGGTCTCTGGAATTCCAAAAGTTGACGCCGTGCCGCTGTGGCGCTGATGCTCTCATAGGGCTTTGGAGCGGCAATCCCCACCCACGACGCCCCCCTCACGTCATGGCCCGTGGCATCCTGTCCCGGGCCCCTCCCAAAACCTGACTTCGCGTAGAACACGTTCTCCGTGTGGCCCCTGTTGAAGGCACTCCTATAATCCGTTTGTCCGTTGGGGCCCATGCCACCGCAGTCGTTGGGCCGGGGAGGGCGCCCAGGCCACGCTGCCGCGTTCCTGGACTGGTATTCCGTGGTGTACAGCCTGCGGACGCGCCACACAGCGCTCCTGCAGCTTTTGCTTGCACTGCACGGGGCAGGCGCGGAAATTTCTTGATTGATTGACTGATTGATTAATTGATGGGTACATTGATTGATTCGCAAAATTTGAGTAGCTTGCGCATGGCTTTAGAAGGTGGGAGATGTCATTCAGCCGTTGTGATGTCATCTAAAGTACTCTACAAGGGATGCAGGAACATGTCGTTGATGTCAAGCGTTGATGCTCTGAGGTTTCATTGGTGCAGGAGCCTTCACAAGCCTTCCGCCGGTATGGCGGCAGCCAATGCGGCTTCGGAAAACTTGGATTGTGTTATAACTCAAGATCACAGCACAAACCGCTGATTGAAAGGCTGTTTACCTACATGGGCGCAATTTGGCTGATACGAGGAGACAGTCCGTGACTTGCCCCTTGCCCACCTTCACCTTTTCTTGCTTTGGAGGGCAGGAAACTGCACCTGGCGGGCATTCCTGCTTCGATCTGCGCGCTCTTCGACCCAATTGTCCACACAAACGAGGGCGTCGTAGCTGAGCCCACCGCTTCGCGCTGGAAGCTTGCTCGATCTGCAAGAACCACACAAGGAGCAAGGCTTTCTATCCGCTCAACTTATCTAATTTAGATAAAGAGATAAAGAGATTTTAAAAATCTCTTGTTCATAAGGTGTGCACAGCGATTTGCCAGGTGTTCCTGGAAGCATTTTGATTGAAATTGGGCGGAAGTTGTTGCCGTTAGTGGAATCTTTTCTGCCTTGCTCTCCGTAATTTACTGTTTAGCGACAGACTGAATGCGAAATGCAAAATGCCCGGTTGAGTCTACAAAGATCGGTGACTTCGCAAAGTATTTTTTTTAGGTAGACCACATTTTTGGGTTCTTTTCGCTGTTGTATGAGATCCAGAGCCAGTCCAAACAGACAGATATGCTACTTGAGGAACCGCCTCTGTTCGCGACGTATCACGCAAGGGGATTTCGCTTTGATTAAAGAGCGCGATCGCGTTCCAGAATTCCCAGGTCGGGAACATCAGGCCCCGCTACTTTGCGGGTGTCACAGCTTGACGGTTTGTGGATGGCAACTGTATGCCGGAACACTTCAAATGAAGGCCCCTTGTGTGAAGCCTTGGGGTGCTGCCAAAACGGTGCGCGCAGGCCTTTCGTCTCATCCGCTCGATCCTTGGGGCCGATGCATTTGACAAGCCTGTGCTCTACAGCAATGTAAGGGAGAATTACTGAGCTTCACGTCACAGCATGGATTGTCTACAGATGTGCGTTCGACGCATCTGCCAGTCCGACGGCAGACGGGCCAGGCAGCAGCGGTGCCATGGACTGTGCATGATGGACGGGAAGAACGCCCACACCCCAATCACTGGTGAAGAGGGTCGCATCGAACAAATTAAACAATGTACAAGTCAAATTGATCGCTGTTGGGGCTGCATCATTAGGGCCCCTTTTCACGACTTGTGCATTGTGAATACAGCATTGAGATGGCCGTTCAGATTTTCATTTGCAAGAATCTCTGTAGCTTGCCCAGCTTTTGGGCACCAAGCAATTGCCGTCCCCTTGTCAGGAGGTTAAACCTCCAACAAACTTTGTTGCCGTCTCTCACAGCGATTAGCTTGTGAACATTTCAATCACACTATCGTGATGCTTGCAAATATTCCCAACGCGGTGTGAATTCTTCCCTGTAGTGCGCAATTATTACGCAGCGCTCCAAACGATAACAACAAGTTCTCAAGGGACAATTTCTTGCTCTTTCTGTGCGACACAGCAGGAAATAAGTTGCGGTGGGCGGTTGAAGGTGTTCAATTGGCACTTCAGAGGCTTCCTCTGAAATCGCAGCCTCTTAAGCTTTGGGTGTACCTTAACCTAAAAGTTCAGCTACTTTTGAGTCCTTCTCGACAGGCCACCTTCACAACGCAGCTCATCGCACGCGCCTCAAGATGTTCACATGGATGGACGACGGCGGCTCCACGACGTTGGTGGGCAGGCTCCGTTTCGACCCCGAGGGCCCAAGCCACTGCTGTACTTGTGAGTCCTTGGCGTGGCGGCTGGGCTCAAGGGGCACCGTCCGGGTGATCGACTGCACCGCCATCGCCGTGTGCCCCTCGATATTACCGAAGCAAGGGACCACGGCAAAGCGGCGCAAGGGCCCTCTACCCTCCGCGAATTTGAAGGATTCGTGGCCGCCCAGAGGCAGACTGTGTCGTGCTGAGTCGGGAACTTGAGGTGGGCGCGTTGCGAGACGGGAGCATCTTTGGCGTCGGTGGCCAAGTCAATGGCCGGTCAACGCAATGCGAGCAGTACTTGAATGTTTGAGGAGCAATGACCTTGGGTGCTGCCGCTGCGGACGTGGAGTCCACGGCCATGGTGCCATATTCGAGGCCGCGTCTTCCTCTGGGTACAGGAAGTTCATTGATTGGTGTGGTTTGATGTGGCATACAATCCATGATTGATTGATGGACCCAGTCGCATCGACACGGCATGGCGCCGCTGTAGTTCCAGGCAAGGCATTCGCGGATCACTGACAACTAGACAGCAGAGGGTCTCCACTTCATTGTTGACAGATAAACCAAATTTGGGCAGAACAAGTATACCATGATTTTGCAGAAAATCGATGATCCATTGCGCTTTCCAAATTGTTGAGGCTTTCAAGGGAATCATTCAAAGTATATACTCAAGACGTCAGGCAACATGAGAAGAAAATGTGCATGCTCCTCTGGCCCTCTCGCGGGTGTTGCAATTTGAGACACTTCGCGCCACCTGCTGCTGGACTCGCTGTGTGTTTGCGGTGGGTTCTCTCGGTGGCCGCCCCTCCATTTGTTGGCCGCGCGCACGTTCTCCAGTGGAATTCATGTGCACAGCATCCAAACCCGGGCAGGGACTCGGCCTCGTTCGGTTCCCATTTTGGGGCTGACAATCAGGGCAAACATGGCCACCACAAACGTCGGTTGGACGGTTGGGAAGCAACATGCCCGCTGCTGCATGGCAGATGCAGGCATGCAATTCTGCACAGCAGCCTGGGCCTGCAAATGCCTGCACGTGCATGGGTTGTGGGCCATAGCATGCTCCTTCGACTTTGTGTAAGGCGCAAATGACTGATGACAGCCTGCAAGCTTTATGCCGAAGCTGCAAACCAGGGCTTGATGCTTTGCCTCCCGGATTCAGGCATTCACTTTCCTACGCACCTGGAGGCCTTCAGCAACTTTCAGCGACCGTTATCAGAGAATTTACAGGACAACTGTTGGATTCATCCACTTTCTACGACGGCCATTGCCTGGGCGATGAACTGGCCCTAAATTATACGTCGGAGATCCTGCTGTGATGCAGTTTGGAGCCTTCCCAGAGGCAAGGCACGGTTCGAGAGGGATAACGCAGAGCATTCTGTCGCCGGCCGGGTACCCCTCACAGACCTTGTAGGACTTTTGCTTCTGTTTTTTGCCTTTGCTCCATGCGACCACCCAGCAGTACTGCACCGATCGGTAACAAGCGCGGTATGAAGTCGCCATTTGCAATGCAAACAGTTCCATTGTTGTGTCGCCTTAGTTTCCAAGGGATTTTGATCTGCGGAGGTTGTAGTAATAGCAACGTTTGTGTGTGGTGGATTATGTGCTGCAAGTCATATATACGATCTGGAGGCATGTGTGTAATGCGGGCACAGCATGCATTCGTCATGATCGTGCAGTGATGGCGGTGTCAAAAGCAGTGTCCGCTTTGGACACAACAGGCAATGCAAAACGACTCGACGCCGACGCTGCGGCCCCTGACGTCACATGCCATCCATATGACACCATTGTGCACGTCAGGGTTCAGCGGAGACAATTGCTGCAGCAACGGATTTCCTTACAGCTGCCAGCAAACAGCCTGCCGCGCACACTGCATGCCTTAAGCGGCGAATGAAGGCCCCCCAACGGCTGTCAACGCAGTCCTCATCAGACAGCTTCCGACATCGATTGCGTGACACCAGATGGTCTGTCCAGCAGTCAACCTTCCCGCAAGCTCAAGTCGGCTTGTTTATTTTCTTCTCGTGGCCGAGGTGCTGGTGGTCTTTCGGACGAAGTGGTAATCAACTCGGTGCTTACATTGAGCCCATGGATTGCCCGCAATGAAATCATGAAATAAGTCAGAAGGGCAAGCAAAACTGACAAAATGTCAAAAATTCGCAGCCTGGCAAAGAGTCCACGTGCGAAATGTCAGACCATGCCACCTGCAGTCGCTAAAGAATACGTGCCTCAGTGCCAGATGCACTGTGAACAAGGGCATCCCAGTGTATAGATGATGAACGGGACACCCGAAAGTGTTTCGAACAGGGGAGCAGACAAGAGACTGGCAAAAGCACAAAAACCACTTGACAGTGGTGATCATGCCGTCTCAATCATATTCCCCGCACCGCATCAACCTGATACTCCCAAAACCTAAGATGTAGCTCCGCTGCTGCTCATGAACTCACTCCTTGCAGCCGACAAATTCTGTGCATGCTTTCCAACGGCAACAAGATTCTTGCGGGACTCCCTCACGATCCGGCGCTCGATAAGGGCCACCGGCAGCCACTTTTGGGGCCGCACAAAGACGCTGTACGATAGGCGGGTGTGGTCAGGATCTTCTTCATCGCCCTGCATCCTCCAGAGGCCCCTGAAATCCTGCACCAAGAAGCTTGTGTGACAATGTTGCTCTGGACAGGATGAAGCGCTATTTGCTTTTACTTGCATCATGGCAGTGCTGCTTGGTGGCACAATGGCTCTTCAACGGTTTGCGGTCTGCCAATTACTGATTCTTTTGGCAAGTTTTTCTCCTTCGCTTTCATAGCAGCAAGCCTTGTGAACTGGTGACAACTGCCAGATGGCCGTCAGAAAACAGCTCTAATCGTTGCAACGGGCGCACCGTATCTGACCTGAAAGTCTCCGTCCACCATGTTGAAGCTGATGTCTCGGGGGCGTCTCCCATGCTCAATTCCATGTGCGCAGGGGTACAAGCCCAGGCTCTCGTCCCACATTGTGCAGGAGGTGGGTTCCAGTGCATTCGGGCCACTGAGCTCCCAGCACAAGTTGTCAGCCAGCCCAGTGAGGTGCTCTGCAACCTCCAGCACAGCACGCGCACAGAATTTGAGGCCCATTGCAACATCCTGCTCACCCACCTGAGTGCATGCACAGCAGCAGACCTCAGGGCTGTTCCATGGTGAATGGAGCATAGCAGGTGCAAAGGCAGGGTGTCACCATTCCTTGATATTCCGTATCTGAATATCAGATTCGATCATTTTCAGATTCAGATCAGTTCTACGAGCTGAGCAAAATGCTGACCAAGTTGCAGAGAGTCGCAGGCACCAGCAACAGCTTGTCAAAGAAAGAATGGGTCGTCACTGCCTGACAACAGCGGATTCTCAGCAAATCCACGTTTGCATTTCACCATTTTACTGAACGAACTATTTGGTGTGGGTCCATTCCGAGTGGTACGGATGGAGGGATGGATTCTACTGTTGCAGCCCCAGCACAGCATCACGAGACTGCCATCACAGGAGATCGAACAGCCGCTGGCTGGATTGTTTGTTGCCATGCACATCGACTACTTCCAGATACTGGGGCTTTGTTGTCACCTGTTCGTGGCAAATGGATTTCATGGAGTTCACATGTACATATGTCAAAGGACAGCATAATCTGCAGCATTGCACTCATGCATCAGCCCACTACCCACTGCCCCACTAAGAGCAACAACAAACCCACAGCATACGATTTCTAGCAACCGACTGTTCATTACCATGGGTTCCTCATGTGCTCCATGTGAGCCACTGCCAACAACTCCATCAAACTGCATAACTGATGTGAGGAAGCTTCACTGAGGTGCACTTTTCTGTGCAATCGACACTTTGTAGATGTTGCAGAAATTCAGAAGCTTGGGGCAAGGTTTCAGAGACTGGGTGCGATGCAAGGAGGAAGATGGCCAGTGTATGACAGTGTGCAAATTCATTTCCCTTCTACTGACCAGCTGGTTTTTGGTGCAAACCAAGTGTTGCGCATTTTTCAAGAGTTTCTTGGAGGTGGCACCATGTAGGAAAACCAGCTGCCATTGTCTGCCGGGGCATGGTGCACAGCTCCAACACCTGCAGGGCTTGAGGTACTCCAAGCACCGCCAGTCTTGTGCTAACCTGGTGTTTCCCAGGCTTGAGATTGTATACAATGGACACACCTGACATTCGTTCCATGGACAAAGATGTGACACTTTCTAGCGTTACTACCGAACGTCATCAGCCACCAACTACAGCATCCAGCACTTGCCCGTTGGAACTACAGAACTGCCAGCACAAGCACACACTCGATGAATTGGCGCAAGCCCCACATCTCTTCGGCTAAGGGGAGGCGGCAAATGGACTCCTGAGTGTGCTGTAAAATTTTGCAACATAAGAAAAAGACAAACGACAACAACAGCCCACCTGCTTCAGGAGGGCACCCTTCTCGCGCCGCTCCAAGCATTCGTTTACCACCAGGCCCGGAATGAATTCGTGCAGGCGCTCGTAGTCCGTTAGGCACTCCCACACGACGTCCACCGGCGCCCGAACGTCCACCGCGGCCGCCAGGATCCGGCTGTTGCCCGGAGATATCTCCAATCGCACGTCCACTGCCACGCAGGCGCGGACAGGCATCAGACACGGGCCCAAGGAGGCAAGGAAACACCAGGAAATGGCATGCCTGGGGGCTCAACTACAGCGACACTCGCCCTCCTTCCCGCCATTTCGCTCCCGCAGAGGCTGCATCTGGGCTGCGAACAAAACGTCCTGCTGAAAGTGGACTGATCGCTGGGCACACCAGAGAAAGAAACCCTGCCCGCCCAAAAGAACGAGCGCTCCAGAAACTCGTGACCCATTTGGGAGTCCATTGGGGAGGTTGCCGCCCCTTCGAAACCCTTCATCGGCGCTTCAAAGCGCTCCCATCCAACAAGCGATTCGCAGTGCCTCGCTGGTGTGCCTTTCGTCCCTTCTGGAGCGGAAATCCTCAATCCAAATCCAAATCCTGACTGACCAGGCAACGAAAAGCCGGAAGCAAGCGCGCAGGCGATTCCTGCACGACGACCACTGGAAGGCGATTGTCGAAAGAGACGGACTGGCTTCCGGGAGGGAAGGCTGCGCGTTTCCGTCCAATGACCGGACGGCGAAGATTGCCCACCATTTGGCTTCATGCAACATGACGGTGCCCTCCTCCCGAAGAAAGCGCCGCGGCCGGCACGCCGGTGGGCCGCCCGGCTCCAAACCAGGACTGGGACCCTCTCCGACGTGGGGAGGAGCCTCCCGGTCCTGTGCCTCATGGCTGGTTCGGCCGCCTTGTTCGGCGATTCACGGAGGTGGGTCACAAATAGGCGATCGATCGCTCATCTGGGGGTCGTCAGCGGGGCACCCCGCCCCGGGTGGGAGATGATGCTGCACTGTACTAGCTAGTACACTATGGTGTGGCCCCAGTTCAAATCAGTGCAGACCGGTGTTCTTGTTTTCGCTCAGCCTCGCCGGACATTGTCCGAATTGAGGTCGCTTTTTCAAAATTTGCCGGACACTTCTCCGCATTAAGATGTATGAGCCAAAATCTGCCAGACGTGGCTGCCATAGTGAATGGCAACGGCCTTTTGGCTGACAGTGTCACTCCCATATTCGCGATTTGCACAGATTCGGTGGCCTCGACGAGGTGGGGTGGGTGACTGGTGGGTCAAAGACGGGGAAGGGGGGAGGGGGCTTTTCACCACTTTGGGAGTGCTTACATCAGCGTGAGCGGCAGTTAATGAGCGGGCCACAAAGCAACCAGCTTTGCATGCAACAAAACCGTCGATTGCATGGATTGGAAACCTTGCTGGACACAAATCTATGGCAGCGCTCAACCTCCATTTGATCTGATGGAAAACAACAAAACACATACAGCTCAGTGGGCTCACTCGCTAATTGATTTGCCTGCACAGGATATCTCTGCGCTCCAAACTATCAAAACTTGCCGACTGTATAGAACGGAAAACTTGCCGAGCACAAATTAGCATGCAGTGCTCAGCCTCATCTAATCTGATGGAAGACAACAAAACACGCACAGCTCTATCGACAACCCCTCTTGTTGGTTCGCCTGAACAGGAGATTACCGCAAAGTGCACGTTGCAACAAGGCCCAGCAAGATGCCAAGCTGACAATTGCATCATGTACTGCAGCGAACTGGCGCATTGTCGTCATCGAAACGATGACTGAGTTTTCCGGAAATGTGACGATTTGGGCCCCACCATGCAGTTGAACCACTCAGAGATGTGCGGATCTCAAGTTTTAAGGCGAAGTCGTCGATTGTCGCCTGTCCGAAATGGGGCCAGTTTGCAGTTTTCTTGCCGGACATTGTCCGAATTAGGGCAAGTTTCAGCAATTTCGCCGGACGACTTGTCCGAGTTAGGGTCACTTTCAACGTTTCGAACGGGTCATTTGGAACCTAATTCAGACAAAAGTGACAATTCGGACGCAAAAAACAACCCTGGTGCAGACACGCTTGGGTGATCCGCCAAGATGAATGAACACCAACGGAGAGGACCCACGCAGTTTTGTGGAGCTGGTGTGGCCGGTTTCGGTACCGCTAAAACTTGCAGGGAAATCAACAAGAATCTTCTCGTTGACGTGAGATTTCTATCTTCACACAGTATCTCCATATACTTACCGCTATTATCAGCAAAGAATTCTCGTTCAGCCACTTTTTGGTTCGGGGGTGCTTGCAAGGGTGCTGTGTGTGCATCCCCGACAAGTCCTATGCCAGGGACACGCCCGTCCTTGCCCAAAAGGCTGGCGTGCAGCGTTTTATCATGTGACGCTGCTGCTTTAGAAGATGCGATACAAAGAATGGGCTCAAGAGTGGGGACTGAATTAATGAGTGAAGAAGATTTGGTCATTGTCGCCGTACTGGGCGCAAAGTTGTTGTGGTGCAAATCGCCCTTGATTTCCAAAATTGCGTACGGCATGCGGCAAAATGAGGGCAGATTCTGACGCAATTTTTCTGCGCCACTATCATCCGCGCGTGGGGCAGTCTTTTTCAACAATATCGGGTGGTGTCCAAGCCATGTCGCCACCTGTGCATTTACATCAGTTTCGTCGGCTTATTCAATAACTTCCAGGCATGGCTTCGCATCTGTATTTGCCCTGGTGCACATTCCATTCAGACATGGAATGCTGAATGAATCCAGCGTTACGTATCTCAGTGAAACGTGCAGCAGGACAATATTGTGGATCGAGCTCCAGTGGTGCTTCGTTTCGAGGTCCTGATTCGGATCTCTTCACCACAACTTCAGTCATGAGCATCCGCCGGCCGGATTCTCAGATATTCGAAATTTGATAGTTGAGGTTGCCCTCCATCTGCTTCCGATCCCACAATAACCAGTAATCATGCAGCAAATGCACTCCATAAGTACAGTGATACAATATTGCTTGACTGAAAGATAGTCTTGTGAATAGTTGTAGCGAAAATTGCTGTGACAGGGCTGTGGTTTAACGCCCGCCATCGCCTAATAGAGATATTTTTGGGGTTTGATTGTATTATTTTGACAACCTTTGACTAGAAATATTTCGGGAAGTGGTGTATCTTAGAACGCTCTGTGGATCCTTGAGACTGCGATTGGTATTGTTTCTGTGAAGTTGTAAACCATCTATGATAAGATGAAAATTGATGCAGGGGGTTATGGGACTTGCTGTTGTACTTCTGCAGCCCCGGGGGGAAGCATGAAACCTGCGATGTAAACATAATTCTGTCCTCAGTCATTGTGGATTTTCAGGATTCAAAAAGCTTAGAAATACTATAATGAGATTGGTATCAACCTTCTTTCATCAGCACTTCAGTGAATGGAAGTATAACGTCTTTTAAGTTATTTATTGTGAATGACTTATGGAAATAAGTAAATCTCTTGCAAAAGTACACGTCAAGTAAGCAATGAGCAAGAGAGCTTCGATGGACACGCGGAGCGCAAGATAACCACCTTGCGGTGGCAGGCATACATATCAACGATGGAGGCTTCGCGGTCTAATTTGGACATGTTTTTCCCTTGTGATCACTGCCAATGCGGGCACTTCTGCTCCAACATCATCTGATTCTGTCCCAATTTATGTGAGCGTTATTCCATCATGGTGGCAAGGCGCAATTTACAGCTTCAACATTAAGCCGTGAACATCTGTTCACTATAGAACTATCGACACCAGAAACAAGCGTTGCCATCCGGTGGCCCTCAAACTGCAGCCCACACTGTGCTGGCACGCGTCTGCAGCAAATTTGCTGCAATTTTCAAATTTAATTTTGAAATTAGAATCGACGCAAGGGCCACAAGCGATTTCACATTCAATGAGCATTAGTCTACAAGTTGCTTCCTCGGGCAACGATGAATTTGGCTGCAGCCGAATTCCCACCAGCTGGCACATACCGATTGCACCAAAAAAAAATGCGTGAAAGAGCGTAGGCGCGCAGGTTCGAACGGCAAGCGCATGCACAAGCACAGTGCTGCACTGTTATTACGAGATATGAGAGATATGACACTGAGATTCGAAAGAATGGTTTTCAGCAGCGTGATCACAACATCTGAGACGTTGCTGCAACGTGGCTAGAAGATTCTGGATTGGCTTTGTTTCCTGTTTTCCGGCCGCGGCAGTGGCATGCCCCTTCGTGTAGTCGAGATTTCAGTGCTCATATGTCCTGCGCAACGTCAAGCTGCCCGTGCATCCGTCCATCTTGACCATCATTGCTAGACACAGCTTGCAGTCTGCGCACGCAGTCTGCCATAACAAAAGGACAAAAAAGCGAATTTCGAGGGTTCTTCTCGCCTTTCTATCTGGCGCTCTCCTGTCGAATCATTTCAGTACTGCTGTGGCATTGTCTCGGTGTGGTGCCTTAAGCCTGCATGTGGGTAAGAGAGCAAGAGGCGGAGGTGGGAGGAGGACAACGGGCTATTGACGCCTCGCTGATCATACTTCGAAGCAATGCTCTTACCATGAATTCCAGTTATTGAAGTTGCCATACAAGGCAGCAGCGTAAATGGGAAAGCCGTAGCACCTTGCAGGCGGTGACGGGTACAGAAATACCCTTTCAGTGTCTGGCCAATGACCACAGGTCATGGCTACTCTGTCCGTTTACAGAACTTCAAATGTGCCTGATATGGCCGCCGTATCTCCCGAACCTCAGTGCACTTCAGTGCATGTTTGTTACAACGACAAACACAATGCGGAAGTACTGGGAGATACACAAGCTAGTACACAAACAAGAATTTTAGGCGCATGTCCTGCGTCAGCATCAAACAAGGCAAAGCGTCGAGATCATACGGCCACATGTCCGAAAAAGCACCCGACCTGGGATTCCAATGGCGCCTCCCCACATTCCGAAGTCATCATCGTTCATGGGACTTCCATCCCCCTTCCTGGCAGCCGACGCACCGGGGCGTTCGAGGCCTGGGGCACCTTCCCCCCCCTGTTGCCTTACGTACTGCGGCCCCATCCTGCCCCCCGGCCACCCCCTCTATTCCGCCATAAAACAAAGCGCCCTGCCCATCCCCAGACCGTGCTGCACGGCCGGCGCGCCGGCTGCCCGCCAGCGTTCGAAAACGCGTGAGGGGGGCCCCACGGGCCCACAGGCGCCATGTCGGCAGCGGAGAGGGCCGCGCGGACGCTGCTCCAGCCCGGCACCAGTAAGCGCGGGGCGCCCATTTCCTGCCGATTGAACTTCTTGCCACCGCCGATGCCATGCCCGGCCTAACGTGCATCCCCGTGCCCCCATTGTGCCATCAGCCACCGCAGAGAAGCTCAAGGTGGTGGCGGAAATCCGCGACAGCGTGGAGCTGGTGCACACGTCGTATCCGGACTTCCTGTACGCGCTGCTCCAGGTGCTGGACACCACGCCGGCCCTGAGCGACGACGGGGAGGAGTACAAGCTGCGGAAGTCGACGATCGAGGTCCTGTACAGGCTGCCGCAGGCGCCGGCACTGCGCGAGCACGCGCCCAAGATGGCGGCCACGCTGATTTCGGTGCTGCACAACGACAGCCAGGAGAACGCGGTGGTGGCGCTCAAGGTGGTGGTGGACCTGCTGAGGACATTCAAGGTGGAGCTGGAGGAGGCAGCCGTGCAGCTGGTGGAGTGCTTCGTCAAGGTGGGGCCACAGCGATGCGGCCGCACCGTTGTGGCGACCCGGCAGAGGTCGATCAGCTCGCCTCGCCAGGCCCCCGGGGAGCGCACATCCGCGCCGAAAATTCCGCGCGGAATTCTGCGGCCCACCCCCGCCGGGCCCGTCGCCTCCCGGGTCGGTCGGGCGCACGCCGCAAGACCGCGCTGACTGCTGCATGCCTGCCTCCCCACGCAGCTGTACTCCGGCCTGGAGGACGCATTCGCCTTCTACTTCGGCACGTTCAGCAGCGAGAGCGTCACGTCGCAGTGGGACGGAGAGCAGACCCTAGACCAGCAGCCCGCGAAGCGGTCCTTCAGGCTGGTGGCAGAGTGCCCCATTTCAGGTGACGCCCGGGCCAGGCCCCCCCCTCCCACCTACCTACCCACTCACGCTTTTTCTCCCTTCACGGCGTCGCCGAACTCCCGTCCTCAGCGGGACTCGGTCACTCACAAGGGGTCCTCTGCTGCTTTTCCGCCAATCCATTGGGATCCGCTCGCCAATCTCATTCGCCGCGGCCCCACACAGGTTGCCATGAGTCCCGCTCCGGTTGGGGAGCCAGGGATTGATTCTGGGTCTGGTGTGGCCGCAGTGTTGCACCTGAGCCAGCTGTACGGCGACCGAATCAGGCATCACGTCCGGCCGCTGCTGAATCTGATGGTGCAGCTGCTGGGCAAGAAGATCCCAACGGAGGTGCCCCAGACCCTGGCGCAGGTGTACAGGGACATGAAGTTCGCGCAGGTGAAGACCATCGCCTTCATGGCGCACTACATCAGGCAGGCCGCAGTGCTGGTGCAGCCCTTCGAGGAGGCCATATGCGACGGGCTGGTGAACCTGCTGCACACCTGCCCTGACGTGGTGATCTGGAGGAAGGAGCTACTCATAGCCACCAGGGCTGTGCTGGCGACGGATTTCAAGAAGGGGATCAATGCAAGGTGGGGACCTGCCTGCTCGCCCTGCTGTGAGTTGCAGCAATGCAGCACCGCATGGTTGGGATGTGATGTAGTGAGTAGGGGTGGTGCATGGAGGGGCTCGCTAACTAACATGCCTCATGCACCATAGTTGCAGGCATCTTTACACCTATGTGATGGAAATGTGTACATCAACGGTCATAGGCAGAGTGTACAGTGCATGATGCACCAAGTGTGGGTTGTTTCCTTTGGAAAATGTTATCTAGCAGCCACCAGCGACCTACAATGGAAAGTGCTGGTGCAGCGTGAGTAGTTTGTTGCTTTGTCCGCTGGTCATCATATATTTCCTATTCCATGTCAATATGTTATTGCAGCCAAGGTGACAATGATCCCACTTTTATGTATCCTTGTGCTAAACTGGTTTCAAATCTGTCCTGAATCCGACTCGCAGGTTGGATGACCTGCGTGAAGAGGAGGCGCTTGTAGGAAGGTCCTGGGAGTGCTACGAAGCTTTACGGCACTATGGCTATGCCGTTTTTGCAGAGATTGCCCACCAAACGCGCAGAAATTTGAAAATATCGCAGTTATCTTGGGTGGTGCACCGGAGCTGTTGCATCATTAATGACGCGGCAAGACCACCGAGCTCGCACAGCACGGCCGTCAGACTGCTGGGAAACTTGGTTGAGGTCATCCACCAGAACCGGAATGACTCTGATACAGCAGTGCAGAACAAGAGCAGGGAGCTCCTAAGAAAGATCCTGGACTCATTCGTCATCAAACTGAACCACATTGGCCAATCTGGGCAGCTGGTGAGCTTTCTTTCCATTCTGCTGTCATGTTCGCACATCAGAAACATGGTCAATCTTGTGGCTGGCTTGAATATGTAACCCCTTGCAGCCCGCTTCACAGCCTGCAGCTATTGGGATGAATAAGTGCCAGCGCATTGATAAGAAGGTTATTTCAACTGTGCCAGCAGATTAGTTGCAACTTGATGTTTGAGTTCTGATGCATTTGATACCAGCTCTACATGAATGGCTTTCCATGGTTGTCAGGCTTGACTAATGCATTGCTCATGCATGGTGCACCTAATGTGTTGCGCATTGATTCCTCTTTGCTGAAGCCATCCTCAGTCTTGCTGTGCTGCATTTGCAGACGTCAGAGGTCCGCAACCTTCTTCAAAATATTTTCATTGGTTTGCGCACTGTTCTGTACAGCCTCACAGCATTCACACAGTCAGGCGCCCTCAACCAGGCGACAGTGTCCTCCACAAAGCCAACATTGCTGGAGGAGGAGATCAGGCTCGCTGTCAGGTGCGGGGTGGAATGGGACACGCATGGATGGCACTTTCCTGATGGGATGGCACACTTGACACTGTATGGACTTCGGAGATCGACAAGGGAACGTGATTGCCACTGTGCTGTCCTGCGCAGGAGTAAGCTCTTGGCTGGACATTTGCTGACAATGGCAGTACAGCAGAGAATTGTACTTGGGGATATCGGGGGTGGCCAGCTTGCTGCGTTTGGATTGCCATGCTCTGGCTGCCTGTGATTCTGGGCTGGTGATACAGAACTAGTGGCAGGGTTGAGGTCACCTGCCAAGCCATGCATTTGTCATAAGTCACCTGGTCATGGGTGAATAGTTTGTTGCGCCATTTTCATTTAGATCTTGGCATCGACTCGCCAGTCCGCGCATGTTGGGGTTGGCGATGTTCCTTCAGCAAAGCCTAGAGATTAAAAGCAACTGCTGTGCTGTTCATGCTGGCAGGATCATAAAGGGAGGCATACAGTGTCTTCGCCTGTGCAACAAGAATGGCGGCATAGCAAATACAGTGGATTTGTTCACCGAGGTGTTCCGACTAATGCATCCCAAAGATTTTGTGGAGCTCATGTCCTCTCGAATGGACTACCTGTTTGACAACTTGCTGGCCGAGCCGGAGCTCATGTCGTTTGTGGCGTTGCTGCTGGATAAGAAAGCTGATCAGGCAGTGGACAAGAAGCTTATAAGCATCCATTTCATGGAGATCCTGGGGTCCTATCTGGTGGAGCACAAACTCCACTGTCTTGCCAGACCGGAGTCCAAGGTACCCTCTGCAAGTGCTCGCATATTGGCCTATCTTGTCTTTGGTCTGCAATGGGAATGTTTTGGAATGACAGTCCAATCACACGTGGCACACTGCCTGTCCTGTCCTTGGAAAGATGGTTGAGTATAGCACCATGGATAGCAGCATAGCACCAGCAAAAGATGGTGTAACCTGTGCCTATTCGGGCACAAAGGTTCTGAAACACACATTGCTGATGGGGACCTTGTCTGTCGCTTTCAATCGATGTCGTTGTTGTCATGCTTTGGCGAATGTAATCAAGCTGAATGTTTGTCACAGCCGGTTCAACCACAACCCCCTTTGGCAATCGTGTGAGAATAGGTTCAAGAGGAGCCATTGCCCCAAAAACCAAACAGCTGACGACTTTGAACAATCGCAAATGTGAACCATGGGATATTTTGGTGTTAGAGTCTCAGGTTTATTTCTGTGCATCACAGGAAGCCCAACTTGTGCAGAAGATGTTCAAATTCCTCTTTCAGATGTTGGTGCACAAAGATGTGAGCCGCATGCTGGGAGATGCAGAAGGGAAGTCGTTCTCTTTTGTCTCCACCCTGACTAGTCTGGTGGAGAAGTGCCTTGCACTGGTGGAGGAAAAGCCAAATCCACTGGGATACCTTCAGCTGCTCCTATACCTCTTCAAGCTGTTGCACAAGTTCAAGTTATTGTTCCAGGTGATATGTGTGTAATGGCATTTGGCTATCTTATGTGCATGTTTCTGTAAATTGATTGAGCAGGGACATGGGGAACTCCCTGTTTGCCGCAAAGTTGCTGGTCCAATTCCAGATGTCGTCTATGCACTGAGCAAGTGTTCATGCATCGTGGTTCCCTCTGCTTTATTCCATGCAGCTTCTCATTTGTGGACATACAAGAGGATGATCAGCAGACCCCAAAGCGATGAAATCTGCAAATTGGGTTCGAAATTTGTTTCTGCGGAAGCAGCCTGCATCGCTGGCAAATGGCCTCGCTACAGTTAACACTGATGCCAAGGTTTGACAAGGTTTATTGTGGGTTGTTGCAGGAGCTTGTGCCATTGATGCAGCCAGCATTGACTCTTTTCTTGAGCTTGCTCGATGGTCCTGATGTGGGAGTGGCTAAAGATGTGCTGGTGGAGCTCTGCCTGTTGCTGCCGCTGGAACTTGAAAAGAAGTATCCAGTGCTGCCAAAGCTTATGAAACCGTTGGTAATGGCACTCAAGGCAGAGTCGACTCCCGGGAGACAGGTGAGAGAAGAGAATGACCATTTGCCAACCACAGGTGCAAACTGATTTGTGGCCTTTTTGATATTTTTGCAAGTCACCATATTCCAGCAATGCTCAAATTAAGCATGTCCACGATGATATGGATCAGGTGCAATTGTTTTGTGTTTGGAGATTTGCCTTTGTTAGAAGCTAACTACCATTGCAGACACCTGCTGTGCAGTGAGATGTCCATCGATTGGTCTGCACTGCCAATTTCTGACAATCCGACGGAACTGCTATTTACAATTTCATGTTGGCTCGTTTTCCAGGGGTTTGATGATATTGTGGCACTGGGCATTGCCACCATGGAAGAATGGGTGGATCGTTTGAACCCAGAATTCTTGGAACCAGCCATGGCAAGTGTTGTGGAGGACTTGAATCTTGCTCTCTGGTCCCACCTCAGGCCTTCTCCCTATCCTCTTGGGCTCAAGGTATGGAACTGAAGTCTCGAAGCAGGCAGGCAGCCCATTGCCTGTGCTGCAGGATTCCAAAGCCCAGCACCTGTGTTTGCAGACAAGCTACCACTGGGGTTTGAATCTGATAGTTTCATGACAGCATCTGTGTATTGTGCTGCTGGCTTGGGTTGTTGCACTTTGCCACCCCAGTTTGAATCCGCTTGTCAGCAAGCAATGCTCTGCACACTGCTGCTTTCATTCATCCTTGGGACATTGCTGCTCAGTGTAGCACTCTACTGTGGTTGGAGGTCTTGGTTATGTATTGTTTTGAGTGTCCTGTGCATCACCCTGCAGGTCCTCCAATTGCTTGGCAAGCTGGGAGGCCGCAATCGCCGCTTCCTAAAGGAACCCCTGCACCTGGAGTGCAAGGAAAATCCAGAACTTGGACTTCGATTCATCCTCACCTTTCAACCCGAACCCAAGTTCCTTGTGCCATTGGACAAGTGCATAGCATTGGCCAAGAAGGGCTTGTTCTCCGTGGCAGGGAATGGTTCAGGTGAAATGTCTGACATGGAATGATAGCAGAGATTTTTTGGTCTGCAAGCTGCAGCGGACCACACCACATTGCACCAGGGTTTTGCCAACCAACCTGTGTGAAGGCGGTCAATCAGGATTGGTGTCATTTGTGGAGGGATGGTTGTGCATGTGCAGATGCATATCCGATACAGATACACATCTGCTGGTCTTGAACCTGTTCAGTTTCCTGTAGATTCTTTGCAGTTGAGACATGGAAGGTCTGCTGTGACCGGGTCGTTGGCACTGCCAAGCAAAGTCTCTTCTGACTGTACCATGCACTTGGACATCTGCTGCTGTAATATTTTAGCACAAAAAGTATCAAGATGTCTGCATTCAATTTGATCATGGGTCTAGAACTCGAGTGCCAAGAATTGGTAGGCACAGCACTGGGTGTTGTGCACATCACTAGGTATTGTGCACAGCACAATGCTGTCACTCATGCCTGTTGTCAAAGGGATCCATTGCGCAGTGGCAGTGTTCTGGGTTTCTAATTGTTTCTTTGCTTTGAATGTGCACCTGAAAAATGTTGGCATTAACCCCTGACTGGATGTGATCCTCAAGTTCTTTATGTGCTTGTCACAGGCCAAAACGTTTCTTACTACCAGCAGCAGGCCTTGAAGTTCCTTATTGTTTGCCTTGCTTCCATGATGAACTTGCGCATTCAGCAGGATGGGCAGCCACTAAACGTGACAGTTGCTGGCTTAAAGAAGATGATCATGGAGGGGCCAGGCACATCACAGCAAGATGGGTCCCAGAGTAAGGTGAGATGCACGCCAAAGTACTCTGGGATGCCTGGCAGAGGATGGGGTTGAAACACATCACTGTCCTACCTCATCCTGCAAGAGAAAGGACAGTGATGGATGTGCGCTGCCAATCGTATCAAGTGTTGGCTCGTGCCAAGGTGAAAGCGGCCTGCCGAATTGGATGTCTTCTCGTCTCAGCTCACAGAACATGCTGGGCACGTGTGTTTAGTGAGTCAATAATTCATGCAGCAAGGAGCAGTGCTGTTAGTCGGCTCACTGGCAGCTGGTGACCTAGATCATTGCTACAATAGGGTAATGCCACCTTTTCCCCCTGCGAGACCTCTTCATTGTTGTGCCTTTGTGCCTTCAATCTCATTAATGTCTGGCAGTAACAAGTGGGCAGCTCCTCATCAATAGGTGCTCTGTCAAGTGACATCTTAAACCAACTGTCCCAAGAATGGGCGTTCTGCACGTTGTTGTTGGTTCAACCAGCGAACAGAAAGCTGGCGGGTGTTTGCCATGCTGGATAAGTAGAAAGGGACAGGGCCCAATGTTGGAAGACAGCTTTGTGCACAGATGGCGATTACGGGCCGTGTGGAGCAAGCAGTGCACACTTTCAATGCACCATTGTTCCCATTGTAGGGGCTTTGCAGTCATGAGCACTGGAATTATGCTATATTACCAGAATTTTGTCGCAGTAGATTCATGTGCGGCTTGATGGTTAATGACACCAGCAATCTACTAAACTGCTTGTTGTGACGAGTCGATATTGTGCTTTGCAATGTTGCACTGGTCAAATCCTTTGTACTCACTATACCTTCATAATGCTGTGCGGTTTCCAGGAAGAGCATGGAGCCAAAACCAAGTCGCAATTGGCAGCAGAGAGACAAGTACTTGTTACCCTGATCAGTACAGTCATTGGTGAGTCTTCTGGCAGTCTAGCAGGAAGATGTTCCTGGCTGTCAGACTCCACAGGGGTTCAACAACGAATTGCATTGTTTCCGGCTAATTTCTGGTGCATCTGCAGGACACTTGCAATGTGAATTCTCATTCCCTCTTGGCGGCGGGCTTTGTCTGCCACAAAAATATTGTCCATATCAAAGTAAAGGGCATGATGAAAGCACAACCTGGACATTGGGGTTGAATGGGGGTGGCCACTCTTCATTGTGTGGGTTCCCCTTCTTGGCTTCATCTTCCACAGGACGTGCTAGGGCTGTGCTCAGTGCCAGCATTAGGAGTCAGATTGCCATTCTTGGCCAGGGTGCCCATTCAACGGCCTTGGCTTTGAAAGGTGTTTTGCAAACCAGAGCATGGTTCGTTGTGGCCACCAGCTGCCCACATTGACTTCGATGATTTGGCATGCAAGGGTGGCTGCACCTGGATCTAGACTTGTGCTGCAGTGACCATGGATGGCAATTTTTGCGTCAGTCTTTGTGGGGAAATTGATTTCTGCATTGATTTCTTATTCCTCAATTGATTAGTTGATCATCAGCAGGGTATGTACTCCATACCCTCCCATCCAGCTAAAAGCACAACAGGTCAATGTTGAAGCTCATCCAAAGGCATCCATTTGGCTGGGAATGAGCTATTTGCTAGGGCGTCTTGTATGCCTGACCAACCAGAAGCAAACATTTCCAGCATGACGTCATGGCGACCCACCTGCTTCTTCGGGTCTCCCTTGTGCAGGCGCGATTGCCAATGAAGAGCTTCGAGATATTGCGGAGCCCTTTGCTGTCGGTGTCTGCCGCCATTTTGCCATGCTGTTTGCTGCCGGTGTCGGCACGCCATCCCCAGCCACAAGACCACTTCGGGGGGCTGAGAACAGCAGGTCAACCCATGGGCCAGGCACAAAAGACCTGGATGCAAGGCTCTTTCTGGACGCTCTGGTCGAGGTAGGCACCACTGTGTGTCATCACAATAGTTTGCTGTGTGTCATGACAATAGGTTGTGCACCAGCCCGTTTCCAATGTGTTGAACATCAATTCTTCATCCCAAACCAAACTGTACCAAACTACCAACTTACCGAATTGTATGAATGCTATCAATGGAGTCACTCATGAACCATCAGCACTAAGGACATGGTGCACTGGGATTGTGTTCAGTGCTGCTTTGCTGCTTCACTTTCCCCTTATAGTGTTCATTTGAAGCAGTTCAGGTGTGACATCTTACATATCAGAAGATTTGACAACGTACGAGTCCTTCGGCATTCCAATCCTATGTTCAAGTTCGCGTCATTCTGTATCAAGAATGTTGACTCGGTCAAAAAGACTACAATGCAATGATAGGAGGTGTTAGATACCTGTGCAGATTGGCATTTCACTAAAGCATTCATTGTGCAATGGTGTCTTCCTCATGTTGAGAAAGTGTGAGGGTTCTGTGGTTCTTGCCAAAGGCCATTACTGAGCTGTGGCTTTTTGTCTGTCAATCATTGACCTGGTTGCTAGCCTAGCCAAAAATAGCATTGAGAAGCCTGTGAGGCCTGGTGAATAGCAGTCATTCCACATACCTTCCAGAGCTTGCATCTTACCCAGAAATTGATTTAAATTTCCTGCGATGGATGGGCACCGACCATTCTTGCCATTCTCTCGTTACTTGTTAGTTTCTGCTGCAAAAATTATGGTTTATGCCCAGGTGCTGTCAGATGCAAACCCAAGGATTGCTAGGACAGGGGAAATCGCCCTCGCAAAGTTTTTGAAGATCTTGCTTCAGCTGCATCGAGCAAAGCACAAGCTTTCACCTGGGGAAGATGGTGTGTTGAGTGCCTTGGAGAAGGGTGCCCTGGAGGACTCGCAGTCTTCGAGTACACACTCCAGGGTAAGGCAGGTGAAGCGCCCAGCATCGCTTGATTGTTGGAAGCCCTTTGACAGATGAATTCGATTTGTGGCACGAGAGGTTTGTAGAGTGTATGGATGGAATTTTGTATTTACAGGCAATGCACTCAGTACCTCATGTCTATTGTGGTTTCGATTGATGTGTTTGCATTGACAGTTGCATGCTTGTTGTGTATGCATCTAAGCTGTGGCAAAGTAAATTGGTGGCAACGTGTCATCACCTATTCATATGCTGCCTGTGAACCCACTTGCCCAATTGCATTGCCACATCAGTTACTCATTTCCCAGGCAGCCCAGCTGCCCCTTCAACAGGATTGCAGGCCGTGATGCCTTACTGTTGAAGAGGGTCACACTCTTTTGATATTGTCACAACTTGACATCAATGTACACACTGTGCAGTTCGTTCCCATCGCCAAAGACCTCAACTTGCCACTGGTGCTGGACGACCTGCTGCCACGCATAATCCACTGCTGCTATGGTGACGAGTGGCCACAGAGGATCGGAGGTATCCTTGGGGTCCGAGCAATCATCGCCGAGTTGCCCCCGGTGTACATCCTCTGTTGCGGCTCGCAGCTTGTCCATGCACTGTTGAACGTGTTGCGCTGCCTTCCGGGGTTTGCTGTTGCACAGAAGAACATCATCAAAGAGACTTTGTCGCACCTCATACAGAGGACTCTGGGACTGGAACAGGTGGGTGGACGCACCATCAAGGTTGCTTGGCACAAGGATGGGTTTGTGCGCTTTGAAGTCTGCTCTGTAGTTGTCAAAGCACAACACAGCGATAGCCTTGTGCAAGTCATGCATTCATCAATAGCCTAGGTTTGAGTCGCTATTTTGGCACTGTGCATGTTGGATGCTGTTGTGCATGTCTTCCTCCTCTTGCTTTTTCAGCTAGCATCGGGCGCATGGCCAGAAGGAGCTTTGTTGTGGCAATGACAGCCGGAATGGAGTACGCCAGAGGGCGAATGGAGGTTCATCCTCGTTAGCCGGGTGGCGCCGAACGTGCAACCTGTCAGCTTTTGCTGTTTGGCCTGTTTCTCCTTTCAGCGTCAACATCTTGCAGCCCTTAGTGTCCAGCTCGCAGCCTACATCCCATTTACTGCATTGTTTGCAACTTTGAATGCGACTGAGGAGCAATGTGCTCTCTGTCATGATGTGAAGGAGTCTGGACAAGCCGCGGACGCACAGAGGCTGTGTGAATACAAGCCTGTGAAGGACATGATATCAACCCTTGCGAGCTTGACTCTGTCCAAGGACACCATCCAACTGGTGCGTTGTCAGGCACAGGTGTGCATCGAGCAGGTGGCAGGTGCGCTGGGCAGGAGCATCCCTGAGCTGCTGGACTCGTCTGTAAGGCATGTGAAGATGGCCCTGGATGAGTGGAGACACACATACAACAAGGCACGCCATCAGAGATATCTGGTAGGTCAAAGCGCTCCTGCAACTGCTTCGAAATTGACAGCGATATTGCCTACAATCCTTGATCATAATTGTAAGTGAGGTCCTTGCAGGCAGCTGGAGTCGTGGCAGTGTTTGGCAGTGTCTGGCTGCCTTCAACTGACAAGGAAGTTTTTGAGGTGGAGATGCCTCTTTTCTGAGCCAGCCTGTAAATGAAGAGCTAGACTCAGTGCCACTCATATACAAGGGTTGCAGGCATGTGTGTTGTGAATGCGCCTCTGTTGCTGTTGCCTGGAAGGTTGCCACAACAATACAATGTGCTTGTATGTGGAGTAGCAGCTAAAGAGCTTTTGCTGCTCCATAAGCCAGTAGATCCTTGTGGTGTTTATTGGGTGGCTCTACGCTGTGCTTTTGTTAATCACACTTCTGCGATTTGGATCTGTGTGTAGAGCAGCTGCCCACTGCAGAAGAGAATTCATTGTAGCACTCCAGTCATGCTTTGATGTGCTAATTGGGCTGATCTGTTGGTAATTGTCTCTGGGTATGTGTGTGGCACTGGTCCACTTGTATTGCATACTGTCCCTTCTAAACTTGGACGTTCTATACCAGGGAGCCCGACCCTGATCTTTTGTGCCTCTTTTGCAGCACATGGATGGGTTGTCAAGGTTGTTGGCTTTTGCCATCAACCTCCGCCTGCCTTCCCTGGCAGCTGCAGACATCCTAAAGGACATTATTGACTACACTCAATCTGTGGTGATGTGTGAAATGGGCGATGAGCAGAATTGGCAGAAGTACGGTATCAGGCATCCAGGAAATCAGATAAAGGAGTCATCAGTGGGCTTGCTGGTGGCTGTGACAGACTGGGAGGCTTTCATTGGCCACACAGATGTGCCACCCAAACTCCCTGAACGCATCCTAAACCTGTTCTTCGCGAACCTCATTCTGCCCAGTGACAACCTGAGAAAGGTGAGGCTCACCAGCAGCTGTTTCTTGCCCTTGCCCCTCCACCGGCACACACTGAGAGCTAGGAAATGGCACTTGACCATGTGTTTGACTGCAATCGCTGCAAAACAACTGTTTGTACCATTTGATTATGTAACATTATGGAACTATACTCTTTGAAATTGTACCGCTCAGGCTGTAGGGCGATTCAGGGTGCAAGATATGCCGCCTGCAAGGGCCGTCAGCACCTCAGCTTATTCAATTCAAGCTGTCGTATTGTTTGAGGGTGGTTTCTGTGGCCTTGCAGCTGTCGAAAAAGGGTTTGGGAAACATGATGCGGCATGGGCCAATCGCTCACAAGGAACTGCAAGCATGTTTGAAGCCCATCTTGTCTCGCATAAATCAGTACACAAACCTGGACCTCCAGCTGCTGAGGGGTGCAGCTGACGCATTGGAGCTCCTCTCCGACTGGTTCAACAAGGCGCTGGGAGAGAAGCTCCTGGACCACCTGCGGAAGTGGCTGGATCCAGACAGCTTGATGAGCACTCAGAGGGCGTGGCAGCCAGGTCGGATTGAATGTTCCTTTGTACATTGTTTGATTTCCATCAAAGTAGTGCTATTGTGCCTGCCTGACTCCGTCAATCCCCAGTGGTGCATCCCCATTGCTGCTCTTTTTGAGGCTAGCTGACCTGGCTTTGAGTTTCAAGCCTAGTTTGAAGGAATCCAGTCCTTCTTGTGTATATATCTCTGTGTGTGTGTGTGGCATTGCAGAGCCTTGAGAAACTGTAGCTCAGGAAGGGTGCCCAGTGTGTGGCATATTTTCCTTGCTGTTGAAGAAAACCTCTCACAAATGCAGCTCTTAGAATATGACTGTCCTGGCATTTGCAGAGGACGACCCCAAGATTGCGGCAGCCCTGCTGGAGCTGTTCCATCTGCTCCCAAGCTCTGCCAGCAGCTTTCTGGAGACACAAAAGACTGGCACCGACCGCATTGGGCTTGTCGTGCTGACCATAGAGCTAGAGGGTCGGCTGGGCAGGATGCAGGGGACTGGCCCCATCCCACGCGTACTGTGGTCGCCATACCGGGGCCCCCTCACCAAATTTTTGGTCAAGTATGCAAAGGCCTCCATCAACTACTTCCTGTCCCCAACACGGATGCAGAACAGCAGCTATTTCCTGCGTTTCATAGACATAATCAAGTCCGAAGTTGGGCAGCCGCTGTTGGAGGAAGTGCTGAGGTCTGGAGACAAACTTGTTTCAGTGCTGAGGGGTGAACCCCTTTCGGATCCTCATGGCGGAGTCAGCTCTATGCCATCTGGTGAGCTCTGTCATTGTTGGGGTATTGTGCACCCATCCCCTGCCTGGGTCATGGACAGCCTAGGCTGCCAAAGGCTGTTGACTATGCATGCCCAAGTTGCCTTATTGTCTACAGCAGAGTCCTGCTGGGGCCTACGCATCTTTGCTATGTGTTGATCAGTTGGTTGGCAATGACAAGAAAAAATAGTGGAAAAAGGGTCTGATGTCCACGGCGTTGTGCCAGCGCAACGATGATGCAATTCAACACATGTACCATCAATTATCTCAAGATGCATGAACGTCTTGTGGCAGAACGCACTTGACAGTCTATGCTGGGCTTGCATTGCTGCGAGTTTCGCCAGACTCCTTCTACCCTGTGCTTCATCTGCATGGATTACATTGCCCTCATGAGCAGATTCTTTCAGAAGATATAGGGTGCACCAGATGGCAGCTGGTATTTCCTAGTCAGTAGCTGGACTCCCTTCCACAGCACTGCTGCAGTGTGTGCCAGACCACTGGTCAATCAATACTCTGTTTCCTTGAAGTTTCACCATCGAAGTCTAAGTCTGGGAAGTGCTCGGGGTGTATCTAGTATGAGGCAAAGTTAGCTACCCTCTCGTCCTTGTTTCACATGGTTTGTGGGTAGTTGCGGCAAGCCATGTCACAGTTGCATGAAGTTCTTATCATTGGCTAATTGCCAATGCATTTGCACCTTGCCTTGTGCCGAATTGCTGTTCAACTCTGACAGACATATTTCTTCGCATCAAGGTGCAGCAGCCAATGGCAGAGTGCCCCCAATGGCGTCGGTGCATTCCCTGCACCTGCTTCGCACGCTAGTGAAGCAGAGGCCAAATTGGCTTGCTGGCCAGGAAGCCCTCTTCAAGCAGCTGAAGGAGATGTGGCAGTCGCCGCTACGGCTTGAGCGGATGGAGCGCGAAGAGGACATGAACCGCATAGAGGCCATGGAAAGCAAGGTGATAGCCAAGTGTCTGCTGAACTACATCAGTCACCACCACGACGAGGTGGCTACCCTGGTGGACATCCTCACAATCTTCACGGTGAGAGGGGGAAGTTTCCTGTTGTGTGTTTGGGAGCAGTAACTTGATATGCAATCAGAAGCAGATGACTTCATACGATAGAACAGTCAGACAATGATTGGATGAAACAGGGCATCAGGGCAACTCGAGTTTTGCATTTTCCGCGTGCTGGGAATGCTGTTTTGTTTGGCTCTTGTCTCACTGAATGATACAATGCAGAGGAGCGTCATGTTGCTGTCCAACATGTTGTTCACCCCTTGGTAAGTTGTTATCAGAAGGTGTCTTTCCATCTGTAGCCGCTTGATACCGCCCATCGTATGCTTGGAAGAACCTGTGGCTGAATGCATGAACTTGGGTCCGCAACTGCTTGGTTGTTGAGCGGAACACCGCATGCGGTGTCTGGCCCCACGTTGTTCATCAAGTCTGCACACATCAGCTGGCTGAGTACGTGACGCCAGCCATAAACAGATTTAGCCGCAGTGCAATGAAGTGCTGACGTTGGGCAGATAACGGGGCTTGAGTTGCTTCTTTTCTCCTTGGAACCGGAAACCCCCAACATTTCAACACCTTCTGCTGTACCAGAAGCCAGGAATTGCCAGGGAACACGGAAATGTAGAACCTGGATTGTGTGCTCAAATGAGGAGTACCATTCATAGACATGCAAAGGAAAGCAGCCATCGGCGCACCACGTTTGGGACGGCTGGGAATCTTCAGAGCTCATTTCCACCTTCTTTTCTGGTCACCGCAGGTAAAAACAAGCGTGGACTTCAGTTTCCTAGAGACGTTCTGTTCTCGCGTCGTCGCAGAAGAATACACAGCAGCGGAAAGGCAGGCCGTGCTGACGTATGTCATACAAGAGTTTGCGTCTGGTCGGCTTGCGGCTGGCCTTGCTGTGTACACAATGCGTGTGCTGTTCCGTCCCATATTAGCAAAGGCGATTGAGAAGGGTGAGGGTGACGGGGTGCTGACGGCTGCGATGGTGAAAGACTTTGTGAACGAGATGAAAGGGAAAGAGAACGAGATGAAGACACAGGACCGAGGTGATCCATGGCCCCGAGTGATTGAGTTCTGCTTTGATCATTTATTTAACATCTGTGAAACTCATTTGTATTTAACTTATATTTATATTAAATCCATATCCGTATTTAAATTTAGATCTGTATTTGTATTTGTATTTGTATTTGTATTTGTATTTGTATTTGTATTTGTATTTGTATTTGTATTTGTATTTGTATTTGTATTTGTATTTGTATGACATTTACATGTATATTGATATTTATGTCTCTCTCTCTCTATATATGTTTATGTTTATATTTACATTTATGTTTGCGTCTATTCGCTGCTTTATTGTTTCTTGCTTTTGTCCCATGTACTTATATACTTCCTCCATGCCAAATTCAATGAAACAGTTTGTTTGGGAGGCCATATTTTCGCCACACACTTACTATTTTTTTTTGAAAACTCGGCTAGAGAACTACCAACGAATCTATTATATGCTCGCAAATTTTTGTACAAAACGGATGAGTATTGGTCAAATGGTTGTACTTTGAACCCAAAGGATTTTTCCGAAAGCCCAAATTTTGGCTGGGGATGGCCTGGGAGGGACTGAGTTCTGGACTGGAGTAGCGCAGGTTCGATGCCGAATGCAGTGTACTGAGTAATCGCACTAAGTAATCGTTCCCTCTGACTTTTGGCAGCAACTACTACATGTATAGTAGGTGCTGTGGTTGCATTTTCAAGAAAAACAAACGAGCACTTGATACAGATTCAGCCTCCCAAGAATCTGTCTCATTTAATTTGAGACGGAAGAAGCATGAGTTACTCAGTCCTGTACTGAAAGAAATAAGGGAAACACTGCCCTCGCACTCGCATTGCGCGATACCCAGAACCGTTGTTGCTTTTGAATTGCGTTGGCTGAGGAGCTTGTAATTGAATTTGTGAATGGTGAAGGCCATTTATGTTTCAGCTGAGGAAGTGATACAGCAAATACGTTTCCCGCTGGTGGTATAGGTGATTGTAGACAGGCAGTCTTTGTGGCCAACATTGAGGGCAGGCAATTCCCCACTGCATTGCTGCATCTGTGCCCGCTGCCTGTCAAGAGAGCGCCTGGCTGTAAAAAGTTGCCAACAGGCTTGAACAACAGAATGCTTTGCTTCTGTCAGTTTTCATAACGATTGTGACGTGAGCAACGGACTGATCTTGCTTGTGCATTGTAGCAGACGTGAGCCTTGAAGTCGAGCTGCTTGGGGCCGCGAAGCAGATCTTGACTGGCATGCCGCGTTTGCTGGATGATCACCATCGCAAAGAGCTTCTCAAATATGCATGGAATTTCTTGAAGTCGGAAAACCTGGACTGCAAGAGCCATGCTTTCTTGTTGGTAGCTCACATCCTGAGCTCATGCCAATTCACTGACATGATCTTCCTCCAGGTGAAGTTCTCTTGAATCTGTTTAGAATTTGGGTGACAGCAAAGCTTGAGCGTGAGGGCGACTTGCGATGTGTCAATGGCTTGAACAACATGCATATCCACTCGCCCCATCTACCCATTAGAGAAAGATGGGATGCTTGCTAAAACTGCTGCCTTTGAACAGTGGCGCTGTGCAACTGGTGAAGAGCTGGTCTTAGTGAAATGTCTGCTGCAGCAGCTGGCTCCTGGCGTCCTCTGGATTTCGGCCCATAGAAACTGTGGCTAGAATACTGAGAGCACCTTGATCAGTGGGTGGTATTCAACCAGCAATGCTGAGCAGGAACGATTCTCATTGGCTGTTGTGTCTCCTTACTATGGCGGCATTTGCGGAATAGCACCAATGCCACTGCTAACCTGCGTGCTCCATAACGATGGGTGCTATTGGCGAGGAAAATTTGGCTGAATAGCGTCGGGGCTGTTCCAAGACACCACTGCAAGGTTCTGTACGAATAGCGCCATGTGCTATTCTGGGGTGCTATTTGGCCATGAACAGTTGTATTTTGGGTGCAGACAGCACTGCTTGGGGCCGATTGTCGTTGGGGTTGCTATTGCTCCTCCAACCACTATGAATGGATTTTGACATGCGATGCTATTGTCATGACAGATGGCACTGCTGGGACACTTTCATCCACCGATAAAGATGCTTTGACAGTCTGTCTCTGGACAGGTTGCAACAGAATCGTCCCTGGGATCAGCCACTTATGAATTCTTTGTGGCACAATGTTATCCTTGTATTCTATGTGACTCAAATACCAACCCTGACTGCAGCAAATGGCAGAACATTGGGAAATGCTCAAAGCATGTTTTCCTGACATGGGCAGGGGTGCTCAATTTGTTAATTGCCTCTGTGATGGCCACTGGTTTGCAGTAGTTGCTGGTGTTGACATGCAGCTGTCCTGTGCTGTTTCAGGTGTTTGTGAACCTCTTGAAGTCTGATTTCACAGAATCCAAGAAGCACCTGGTGCGCGAGGCACTGGACGTGCTTGTGCCTGCGCTGGTGGAGCGCTTCCAGGGTCAGGTAACGAGATTGTCAAGGATTCTTGATACAAACGTTTCCAAATTTATTCTCAGAATTGCAGCAGCCAGGTTTGGTGAATTAGGAGCACTTGTTCTATCTGTTACTTGGAACGTGCTGGTCAAACATGTTCCTGGCCGGAACCTGAAGGTCCAGTTGTGTCAAGACACTGACTTCTAAGCAATTGGGAGTGCGGTGGGATGTGCACAGTGTCTGTGGACCTTTGTGAGCATCCTACACCCAACATTCACAGTGCTGTTCTTGAACTTCATGTATTTGAGGGTCTCAATTCTGCCGCGCTCATGTTTGCAATCAATCCATAAGACCATGCTTCTACAACTCAAGTGCCAGTTATAATGCAGAGAAAGCAGGGCTTGCAAGTCATGCAATGCAGCTGTTGGTGCTCTTGTGCCGCTTTGCTTCTTGTACTGTTGCAGCTCCCATTCCCATTATTGCTGTGAAAGTTTGCCACAACATTTGTGCATCTTCCCGTCTGTGTGCCTACACATATATGCTTCCAGCTGTTCACGTATTTTGCATCCATGCAGACAATTTCACTGAATCATGGGTGCACCCACAACAGCGCATGGTGGAAGACCTGTGGCATGGCATCCTTACACACTCTTCCAACTATCAGTTGCATAGGGCTGTGGCACTGGGCTGACATTCCAGTGCTTGTGCAATAACTAGGAAGATCAAGACTTCCCCATCTGGATACGCTATGCCCACAAGCACATGCTTGCCGAAGGCCACAAACTGAACCTCCTTGTGAACCTCTGGCAAATGGTCGTGCGGCACCCGGACCTGTTCTACAAGTTCCGAGCCCAGTTCATAGGCCAAATGGTGCAGACTTTGAGCAGGCTGCGCCTACCCTACAATGCCAGCACAGAGAACAGGAAAATGGCCATCGACATGGCGCGAGTGATAGTGGAGTGGGAG